GAGAAAATTGGGTAACAAAGCACAAAAAAAGAAGAAAGGGGAATGTCTGGGAGACAAAAAAGGGGAAATTTGAGATGTTTCTTTTAGAAGAAATGAAATGAATGAGATATTAATGAATATTTTCGGAAAGAAATGACAAAGATGAGGACTTTTTTTTGACCAGAAAACTGTTTTTAAAGATTGCCAAAATTTGCAAAAAGTTGTTGAACTTGAGCAATAAACCTAGAAAGCAGGCTTATCAGCTTTTTAAAGATACTTTTGTTTTCAAGAACGGAAGGTGAACTGGCTGAGCTTTCACAAGGGACTTTCACAAGGGAAGGTGAACTGGCTGAGCCAAATGCTATCCGACCTATACCATTCGACGCAGAATTTGATGCTGATTCCGAATCTATATTCCGTGTTTGCTAAATGACAATCTGTCAGGAGTTCTAAGCATCTAAAGTTTGTTAGGACTATGATTTGGGTCATTTGGGCCTTAGCAACCTCCTTATGTCCATCTATCGGCCTCCTTGTGGCCTTCTAGCGACCTTATGGCCTCCTTGTGGCCATTTAGCGGCCTCCTTGTGGCCTTCTATCGGCCTCCTTGTGGCCTCCTTATGGCCATCTAGCGGCCTTCTAGCGACCTTGTGGCCTCCTTGTGGCCATCTATCGGCCTCCTTGTGGACCCGATTCCGTGCAGCCGTGCCCGAGTGGTAGAGCCTTCGTTTCCCAAGCGAGACCTCACAAGTTCGGTCTCCGCTTTGGCTTGCTTGCGGACCAAATTGGACCAGTGATCATGGCAATTGCTCAACATTACCTTATGGTTTTTTATAAGGAAAGCGATATGCCAAATGGAATACGATTTTGCGAGCGCACAAAGAACAAAGATCACAAAGAACTTCTTGGAAAAGGCAAAAGAAAAGTTCAAGGGTTTCGCTCAGCCTCGACTTAGCCAGTTGACCCTTCCCTTGTGTAATCGCACTCTTTCTGGTACACTGAAATCTGCATTTTCTGCACAGCAATGGTCAAAAGATAAATGGGAAATCAAGTGCACCAGAAAGTACGCGTTTAACAAATCCCAAAGAATGTTCAAGAATTGCCTCAGTCGGCTTAAGGCTAGAGACTCGGCTAGGGAACTGTTTTAGCATTGAATTAACCCACCAAACCTAGTGCATCGGATTCTACGCAAAATTCTGAGCAAAATCCTCTTTTAAAATCAACCAAAGAGGCCCTTTAACCGGTGTAAAAACATTTGAAATTGGGAGCGCGAATTTTTGGAGCTTGATGATATAGCCTTCCTTCGACGCGCCCCCAGGCTGACCTGGTGGCTTAGTGGATAGTGTGCTCGGCTTCAGAGCCGATGCTCGCGGGTTCGAATCCTCTCGCGACCAAAGCTTTTTCTTTTTTTGCAAACAAGCTTAGTAATTATCGAACACTGTACAAAAAGGTGTCTAACAAGTGAATGAGCCGTCGAGGAAGAGGAGACAAGGAAAGATCGAGTCTGAGTCCTGAAAAACACCGGTTGCTCTTCGCCTCGAAAGAATTTCATCAACAGCTCTTTGTCAGCTGTCGCATTTCCTTTCCCCCCCACAAAACAAAAGACTCAAAAATGTCGAGGTGATCAAAATCCAACTGATTCCATGATCGATGGGATTTTTGGAAATCTGTGGATTCTGGGAAATGATAGAGAACAGAACAGAACAGAACAGAACCCAAAGAACACAACTTTCATGTTTTAGCTGACAAGCTGACAAGACAAGTGATTGAAGCAAAATTATTTTAAAATAAAACGAGTTGTATTCAGTTTTTAAGCCTCCTTTCGTTTTAAGTTTCAAATAAGCCTCCATTTCGGCTCTTTTCCTGAATCGTCGTTTTCTAAAGTCCCTTTCGTGATCTTTTGAAATTGTTTTAACGTATTTTATTGAATGGTGACTTCGACTACAATTTGCTGGATGAAGAGGTCGAAACAAATCCGCCACAAATCGTGATGAGACTCGAAAGCGAGATAATCAATAGCTGGAAGGCGACGCTGAGGATCCGACTGAAATGGCTGAGATGTTGGCCCTGACAGACGCAGAAGCCTGTTCGTGATTCGTTGAGCTGATACGCCCTAGCCGTCGATTGGCGAACAGAGCCATCACCAAAAAGAAACTACTGCCAATAATGGAAACACTGATGACGAGATTGCTCAAGCTGACGCTCAAGCTGATGCTGAAGCTGACGCTCAAGCTGACGGTCAAGCTGACGCTGAAGTCGTTAACGATTTCGTTCTACCTCTATGGGCTTGAGTTGGAGAGGCACAAACGAAACAAACAAAGGAAAATCAAAAATCGGACCAATAAAAGAACTTGTAACTCGATGGCGATCTTACAGCAAACATCCATTCAGAAGGAGAAAGCCTGTACCGTGGCCACTTCCAGCAACGTTGGGCGACATCGCACAGAATTCCTCGTGCTCTCAACAGGATATCGTCAAGTAGGCAAGGAAGTCTGTCTCGGCTGTATGTGAAGGCCAGCTTCACAAAGCTTTGAGCTTCCAGCTTTGAGCTTCCAGCTTTGAGTGGAAACGCAAGTCGTGCCAAGCCTGGGATGCTGGGATGCTAAAAGTCGAAAGACCAGGATACTTCTAATAGACCAGGAAGCTTTTAAAAGACCACGAAACTTCTAATAAACCACAATTCAAGGAAAGAGCCAACCTTTCAATTCTATATACTTTACCAATTCGCTTTCAAATCAACACTGTTTTCCCTGAAAAGCTGAAAACAAGCAATCAAATGTTTAAACTCATTTTTCAAGAATGCGGAAGAGAACCAAAAGAGAGAAAAGAGAAGAAAAAGCTGTTTGATGTTCAATCTAATGAAAGCCATTAACACAAGAGAAATAGCCTCAAAAATACTCTAGAAATGGTTGTTTTGTGAGCCATCAAAATCCTGTTTTCTTCTTGTCAAATGCCCTCCTCTAAAAGAGTCAGCTGACAGCGAAAATCGCGATCATTTTTCTCCCCTTCACACACACAACAACCCTCAAAGAAATACTATTGTTGGCTTGGCTTGAGCTACAGAGTTTTGTTTGGTTTGCTTTGGTTTGCTTTGCTTTGGTTTGCTTTGCTTTACTTTGCTTTGCTTTGGTTTGGTTTGGTTTGCTTTGTTTTGGTTTGCTTTGCTTTGCTTTGCTTTGGTTTGCTTTGCTTTGGTTTGTTTTGGTTTGCTTTCCTTTGCTTTGCTTTGCTTTGCTTTACTTTGCTTTGCTTTGGTTTGGTTTGGTTTGCTTTACTTTGCTTTGCTTTGCTTTGGTTTGGTTTGCTTTGCTTTGCTTTGCTTTGGTTTGGTTTGCTTTGCTTTGCTTTGCTTTGGCTTGCTTTGCTTTGCTTTCCTTTGCTTTGCTTCAACTCTAGTACTAAATTCTTGATTTGATTCTATTAGGGTGTCCGGAATGAAAATACCCTCAAACAATAAATACGGATTGGTGTGGACACCCTCAATCTGGTGTGGCACAACCCTCAGACTGGTGTGGCGCCCTCAGACTGGTGTCGCACCCTCAGACTACCACTTATTTCGATCAATGCACAACTTCCTGGCTGATAAACACTTCAAGGAACACGACGAAGTCCGAATTTGGGTCGGCCAATACCTCGACAGGCCTCAGGATCCTCAATAGCAGGATTTCTCAGTCCTCAGGATTTCTTCAGCAAAGGGATCCGAGATTTGAAAGAAAAATGGAGAAAGACTATTGCCAACAATATTTTTTAGATTTGGAGAGATAACGAACCAAATTTAGAGAGCACACAACAACCCCCATTAACCCTCAAAGAAATACTATTGTTGGCTTGGCTTGGGCTACAGAGTTTCAGAGTTTTGTTTGGTTTGCTTTGGTTTACTTTGCTTTGCTTTGCTTTGCTTTGGTTCATTTCATCTATATTCTTGATTTCATTCTAGTTTCTTTCTAAAATCTCATAAGATACAAAAACTAGAGACAAAATTACGTCGTTACGATTACGATAGTCGACAAGAGTTGACACATTTTCGAAAAAAAGCATTCGATTTACAGTTGAAAAGTTGAAGCAAATGGTTCAATTTAAAATTTAAACTGAAAAACTTTAAAAGATCCAAGATTTCAGCCCGTTATTTCTCCGCATCTCTCTTTTTAAATCAAAAATCAAGTCAGCAAAACATTTCGTGAATCCACCTCTTTCGCTGAATCGAACAAGAAGAAGAAATCGAATCAGAGAAGAAAAGCCGACGAAAATGATTCAACTATCATCGCAAATCAGCAAAAAAAAAAAAAAAACAAAAGAATCCCTCGACTGCTTTCGATCAAATGTTTGATTTACTAGAGCAATTCTCTCGTCACTTTGTAAACTCTTTCATTTACATTTCATTTACATAGCTCCCAAAATACATACCTGAGTCTAAGCCATTTAATATTTAAGCGATGACAATAAATTTCCATCTGAAGCGTAGATTTGTATTGCCAGAGAGGCGCTGCTTGTTTGTTTATCCATCTTTCAATCGTCAAGACTAAAACTAAAACTATAAGAACTTTATGAGTAGGTAATGTAGGGATGGGAGGTATAGTACTTGACTAGAGCTCAAAGCAGGGGCACATATTGCTTGATACATCTCAAGTTCTTCAGTTCATAGACGGTATTTTGAATATTGACTTACATTATGTCTCTCAAAGATTCTTGTTGTAAGTCAATATCTAAAATATCATTTTTGGAACGAAGAGCTTGGCACATATCAAGAGCACGTAGGGTACTACTACCCCTGTTCCCAGGGGTTGACCACTACTCACTGATGTCAGAGTACTTTACGTGTTTTCGGCACTGTAACCATATCAAAAAGCTTTGAAAATCATTTCAATTGCATTCCAATTTTCCATAGTTTTAAAAAAATTTATTATCTAAGAATCCACTTTGCGTCACATCAAAAACATTTATACTTGAAAATGAACAAAACTGAAACAAATACATAAATATATGCAAACCCGCTAAAATTAAATAATGAGAGAGAAAAACAATCACTTTACGGTTTTCGCAATTTTTTCGTAGTGCGCGGTGACGGAGAGAAGATAGGCATTCTGTAGAGATCTCTCCAAATCGCTCAATTGACCAACCGAAGCCGCCAATGAACGAGCGTGCCCCTCAAATGTGACACCTAAACGGAAAGGGTAACTTGGAGTTGCTGGAATAGATTCTAGGATACATTTGCTAGAAATGCTACGCTTACTACAAGCATTTTCACGTTGTAGCTTAACCGTTGTATTAGGTTGTTGCATAAGTTTTTTCGGCCCCTTTCACGCTTACGTTTAGAAATAATAACTTCACCAATTTGCCTACGGTTTGTTCCAAATATTTAGAAGATATTTATTATTTACTTTTCTTTCCTTTAAAGCCAATTTGAGTTTGAAGCTATTTTGAAGCAAATTTAAGTGTAAAAACTAGTTTTTTGTAAAATTCTATAAAAAGTTTGCTACCGAAAACAAAATAGGTTTCTTCGGCCAAAGAGCTTCAATCAAGTCATCAGATTTTTGCCTTTTTGAATCTGTTATTTTAAAACTAAACAGAAGTACGGAAGAAACCAAAAAAACTTATGCAACAACCTAATACTTATCGATTTAGATGAAAGGGCCTAACAAAAAACACTAATGCAAATTACTTTGCGTTCTCTTCGCTCCATAAATGATTCGTCCCTCAAACTCATCGGTCGGTATTTGAAAATCTGAATTGACGTGACCAATCGTCACGCCGAGGTGTTCTTCAACCTCCGCAAGAAGCTAAATAGAAGTTAATGAAGCTTTTTTAATTAAAAACTCACTTTCGGTTCATTGTACCAAATTGTGCATCCATTTTCCTTTATGTCGCGTGTCTTGTGACAGCCAACGCCTTTTGTGGCACATTTGTGGTACCAAACCTTTTCTTCGTGCGTCGAAACCAATGAAATTGATAATCCCATTCTGAAATTTTAAAGTCGAGTCAATCAGAACACTCCAACCTCTCAGCTCTGCCAACTCGACCAATTCGATGAACGTAGACAGCTTTGTCATCGGGAAGCGTAACGTTGATAACTAAATATGAATACTCAAAGGTCAATCGAAGCTATAACTTACCAAAAGGAATTCCGCTGACATCAATACCACGAGCGGCCACATCTGTACAAATGAGGAAAGCCGTTTCTCCACTCTGCAAAAGTTTGTTAGTTAAATAAAGTAGAGTTTGAACCAATAAAACGAACCTTAAAAGAAGCCAACGCTCGAGATCGTTCTTGTGGAGCTCGATCACCATGCAAACATGTCGATTGTTTACCTAAAGCATCAACTAAACATATCTGCAAGCCATCAAATACCATTCTGATTCAAGTAGGTTTCCAGTTGATCACATTGTTGTTTCGTTCGACAAAAAATGATAGCCTATAAATTTTTATTAGTGGACATTAGATGAGCCAAACATACCTGAACCATGTTCAACGCTTCGATGGCACGAAGAACATAAATTCCTGAAATTTCAAATAAAATAAAGCCTTGACCTCATAAAACAAACCTTTGAGAATTTTTGTTCCCAATGAAAGCGTTTCTTTGTGTCGCGTTCCGGGACGAATCTCATCATCCCTGTGTATAAAATCATCCTAAAATTGAGCATTAAACCATAAAATTAAACGATTACCTCCAAGCGATTTTTCGTGTGCATGATCCTGATCCATTGTTTATCTGCTTCTGCATCGACAGGGCAAACGACATGGTGCACCGTCTCCGCAACACTAACCATTCCCTAAATTAGCGATTTACTAGCAAAGCTAGTTATAAAATTGACTCACTTAATAAGTTAGCTCTGGATGCATTAAAATTTTCCTAATTAGACTCATTTGAACCTTAAACCAAACCTTCAAATCGATCCATTGTGGGAAGTGCATGTAATGATCCGCGAATCTTTGCACGCTAGCGTTTCGCAACGTTGCAGAGCAAACAATGACCTGAAAAGAATTTGTTGGTAACAACATTACAGAAAAAGAAAACTATTTCGCAGATTACAAAGAGATAGTAGCTATGATGCACCAATCCTGTATAACAACCTGTAGTCGAGATCCATCGGACGCCATTCTTGGAAGCTTCTCCATCAAACGGTTGAGAACACTTGCCATTGCTCTATCGCCCAAAATGTGGTCCTAAAATATCCTTTAGTACTTTACGGATATCGGGGGGCAGAAAAGGGAGTGATTATCGGGGGGAGGGGCAGCTTTTTTTCGATCACAAACAGTGTCTATAAAAGAAAATTACTCACTTCTCTCATTGTCCCCAAAGCGAGTCGGTTATTTTACCCTAGATTCGTGTTAATATTATATATTTCTATTAGTTTTCTGGGCTTTACTGTGTCATCTTGTATCACAATTCTTTTTAATTTTAGGCGATGTCTACCTACGGGGATCCTTGCCAACTTAATGAGAAGGCAGCGATTCGTTGTTTGGAATTCCACAATGTGATCTCAACTCCAACTTGTCCTCAAGGATACACTATGTCGTTGCAAACCAAGCAAAAAAGAGTCCTTCATTGGGAGTGCTGCCTTTGCTCAAAGAATAACACGACCACAAAAGGCTCAACCAAAGAAATCAGAGATAGGATTTGGCTAATGGCGAGCCGTCTTCATGTGCTGTCTATTGTGAAATTTCTTCGTCTCTGGGTGGAAAATCAAACGTCGATCAAATATGCATGAGCTCAAAATCTACAAGGAAACGGTTGTCAAGTGAAATAAATACGTCCGCCAAGCCTGTGCGTGAAAAATTTCTGATCAACTGAACGAAGCTACCGTAGGACCCGGATTGACGATTGAGTTGATGAGTCTTTGTTGACCAAGCTAAAACCACACAAGGGTAGGATTTTCCCCGAACGATGGCTATTTAGTGGCGTTTGCCAGGAGACGCACGAAAAGTTTGCTATTTTAGTGCCCGACCAATTTGTCCGCTACGCTGATCTCCTACATCGAGAAATCCATTACTCCCGGAAGCAAGATAATTTCAGATGGGTGGATGCCATATCAGCAATTGGCCGATCATCCCAACTACTCATCCAATTGGGTAAACCATTCAACCAACTTTGTGGATCCAAGTGATCCGACAGTACGCACCCAGACGATCGAAGCATGTGGCGCCCCGATAAAGATGCAAACCGCCGACGAAATGAAACTCACGGCACAATGCCACGTCAGTGAAGGCTTGTGGAGAGCAATTCTTCCCCGAGGGAAAGATATTTTTGAAGTGCCTCTAGAGGATATTGTAGCAGCAGCAGCGTTTTGGTCCCCAGGAAATGATTTTGGTGCCCTCCCTTTTTACAACTAATTCCGTTGTTGTGTTGCATAATGGTTTGTTAGCCGTTTTGTTTTGTTATTATGGGTGTTGGAAATAAAGAGAAGATGGGGCTGAAGTTTGTCCCTCATTGTGGTGGCCCTGGACAAGACCGAACACAGACAAAACAATCGACATTTTGGTTAAAGATGAAAAAAGGCTGCCCCCCCTTATCCGTAAAGAACCTATCCTTTACAAGCTTATCAAAATACAAACACACCGCCTCATCAATGACAATAAATTGTAATCCCTGCACCGACAATGCGTCATTTTCCACAAGATCGAGAATTCGAGATGCAGTACCTAAACTAATCATAGCACCAAATAAGCATGAAGATCAAACCTGTTACAATATCAGCGCCATCCTCAATCTCTGTTAAAATTTGCTTAATTGGCACTCCGGATGCCAGAAGACGGGACCTAAAGGCATTTTATTTCAAATGTTAACTATTATAAAAACCGGATTGGCGGATTTGTCAGCTTTTTCCCAAAGAGAACCAAGTTGTTGTGGGTTTGCTCGACAAGTTCACGAGTCGGCTCAAGAACCACACAAAGTGGAGCATTCTATATTATAAGTTTCGACAAAAAAAATGGTCAGTTGCCAACCGATAAGTCGATCCGAGCCAATTGAGACAGATCCTCAGAGTACCAAGATTGACAATCAGAAGAAGCCTGAGAAACGCCGACAAACGAACCTCCGGGCGGGAAAGCGAATGAAGTTTCACCGAAATTCAAGTGCAAAGCCGAACACTGGAGGAGAACAGACGGATGGAGAGCGTTTGCTGGATCACGCATCTTTGGTGGGATACTGTACGCTACTGGATATTGCTTGCCATTTTTTGACCACCTAAATTAAAGACTTTGCAGTTAAACAAACATAAAGTACAACAAGTAACACTATTACCCGCTTGAACAGCAGCTTACCAAATGTTTAAGTTGTCCAAATCAAGGTAACAGCCAAGAACATCGTTCACAGTGAAAGACTCTCCGTAATCTTCGAATCGCTTCATGTGGCTCTTCTTTCCAGTTCCGCCAAAACCGTACGATTTATCATCGGTACCTAAATAAGTTTTAACTTTGTTGAACTTATTTCAGCTACCCAATTGACGAGTAGCTGAAAGAGTAGACCATCCAATGCGACACAATCCGTCGTTCTCGATCTTCACTTCGAAGTAATACTTGCCTAAAATTACTTTTAATTTTAAAAAATACAAGAATTTTACCCTTAGAGTGAACGCCGCCTCGACATCGTGATCCATTCCAAATCTTCTGCGCTCGACTTTCACACACCATCCCGCTTCTGTCCACAGCCAAGCCCCCGTCTCGATCCATCACGTTCAACTTCCATTCTTTACAATCTAAAATTGGATTTCTTAAAACAATAACTATTAAAAACGTACCAGTGCCTGAATGAGGCTCCAAAACTTCTTTTCGTTTTTCCCAGACGATTTGTGCCACCGGAAGGCAAAATGCTCCAGTCTTTCCACTTCCCGTCTCTGCTGCCTAAAATAACAACAGATATACATTCACGTCTTAAAAAATTACAATAAGAACGTCTCCGCCACCAAGGATTGCTGGGATTGCTTCTGACTGGATTGGGGTCGGCAATCTAAAAGAAACACTCATCTCAATCAAAGACGATGCACTTACTCCCAGCCGATCTCGGCAACCGCTTCGCCCAACTCTGGAATCACAGCCAGCTCTTCAAATGCGGTCATCTGAATCAAATAATAAAGAATTAATGCTCACAATGGAATTTCAACAAGGTATGATGCCCAATTGACATGAGCCATATACTAAGCGACGTAGAATTTTGCACTGATTTCGAATATGCTTTCTTTTTTTGCCACGGAGCACTCTGTCAAAAGTTTTAAGCGCTCAAAGTTGTATGGAATCGTAGAAAGCCGACACTGAGTTTATAAGTTGACTTACCAGAGAGGAAAATCTTCTGTGGTGGTCGAGTGGCAGTAGACTTGAATACGGAACAAGGACTCAAGGGTTCGAGTCCGGCGTTTGACCTTGATTTTTGCTTCTTTTAGCTTTGAATGGTTCGAGTGTTCTCTATTAGCGCGCACAACCGTACAGCATCTGGCATACCATTGCCTGGATATACAGCCAATGATGGCCACCAAACATCGTCAAAACGCTCAAACCATTCAAAGATAAAAGAAAGCCGGACTCAAACCCGAGGGTTCTTGCATCGTATCCAACCCCACTGCCACTCGGCCACGACGACATCCTTGCTCCTTTGGTAAGTCAATATAAGCTCAGGATCGGTTTTCTGCTCATTTGTCATTTGGCCACCATACTTCGTCAGTGAATAGAAAAAGTACGAAAGCGCATGCTGCTTCTTTTCTACTCGCTTAACCACGTATCCAATATCCACAAATGTCTTTTAAACTTTGAACAAAACCTTACTATCCTAACCGAACAAACATCCTCACCTTTCTACCGATGTATGTGTTTGTTTTGCATTTTTAGCAATTTCACTGCTTCAAGCGATAAAAAATAAACATGTGTTTATACTGAAAGGATTCAAAGAAACAACGAGAAACACAACAATTTATTGTTAAACAAATTTAAGCCTTCACGGCATATTTCCGGGTGGGGAATGCCTGTTGTCTCGCTTTTTGTTTGTCGGTCTTCAATGACAATTCGTGTTTCGTCAGGGCTCTTCTCTGGGCACGAGTCTTTCGGTAGCGCAAATCGAGTGGCTTGTACTTCTTGCCCTAAAAGTACAGGAATAATTTTGTTAAAGACATTTACTTCTTTAAGAATTTAAGAGTGTCTGCACTATGAACATTGAACACTAAACACTAAAAATGTCGTCCCTAAACTTAAATTTAACGTGGTAATTCTCGGCTATACTATTTTCTCCATTTAAAACGATTCATGATACTCAAGGTAAATCTGCTGAGCGACGAAGTGATCGTTTTTAAGATATCAAAACTAACTTTTGCACTATAACTTTGACCCCTACTTTGAGTCCAAAAGGAAAACCCTTACTTGGTAAAGTTTCCTGAGCTCAGACTTTTGTGTTTGATTGTAGACGGTCAGAACGCGAGCGATGTTCTTTCTGACTGTGCGGATCTTCGACAACTTGGATGCAGCTCCTCCGGTGACTTTGGATACCTAAAGTTGAGGAATAATAAAACAGCTATACAATCAGGATTAAACATCTGAGAAGTTCTAAAGTGCTGTGCTCAAGCACGAGATTTCTGTGTAGTATCTTGCATATTTATAACAAATAAAATGATTAATAGCTATTGCTTTTAAATTTAGCATTACTCCTCCTCTACTCCATTACTTTACTCTACTCCATGAAATAAGGCGAAACCATTATCAAATTGATATTATCGATTGTTTTTGCTCATCATACAACCTCAAAACAAATGATCTCTAAGTAAACCCGTACGCTTCCAATGATGTATGAGTATGAGCAAATTCTAACTACCACTGACTAAACATCTTTTAAATTCAACGCAACAAAATTCAAACAAACCCTGAGTGAAGCGAGCTCGGTCTTTTGCTCCTCGAGTTGCTTGTTGAGATCCTCTCTCTTTTTCCCACGGAGATCCTTGGTCTTCAGCTTGGCCATATCTGAAAAAAACAAAATTGGTAATGGTTTAGCTAAAACAAATAACTTAACAACCAAAAACAATAAAAAAGAATGAATCAAATAATTTTTTCGAAGAAAATCACAAAAATGTGAAAAAGACGAATCCTAAAGGAAACGGCGCAACGGTTAGGGTTACGGTAGAAGGTCCACACTTTAGTGCCAACAGGTTGCACTCTTACTTAAACAAAGAGGGGAAACAACTATAAATTGTAGATTGGGTCATTTGTAAAAAGAAATGGAGATCATTAAGAGAGTCAAAACAGCTCGCCAGTTTTAAATGTTTAACTCCAAACACACCAGAGTTGCCCCGGATTTCCTTCTGGATCTAAAGACGAAGAAACTCGCCATAAAAAAAAGAAATTCAAAGTTTAAAAGTTTTTCACGATGTCCAGTCAATGCGGGACCTTAAGTCATTCAATTTGGAGCTTAATTTTGAGTGTTTTGAGCATTTCAAGCGTGATTTTGATCATTTTGAGCTGATTTTCAGCATTTCGAGCTCGATTTTAAGCATTTTGAGTATTTTTAGCTTTATTTTGAGCATTTTGAGCGTGATTTTGGTCATTTTGAGCTGATTTTCAGCATTTCGAGCTCGATTTTAAGCATTTTGAGTATTTTTAGCTTTATTTTGAGCATTTAAAGCGTGATTTTGGTCATTTTGAGCTGATTTTCAGCATTTCGAGCTCGATTTTAAGCATTTTGAGTAGCCTGAGCTTCATTTTGAGCACTTTGAGCTTGATTTTAATCATTTTGATGTTTTTAGCTTCATTTTGATCATTTTGCGCTGATTTTAAGCATTTCGAGCTCAATTTTAAGCATTTTGAGGATCTTGAGCTTCATTTTGAGCTTGACTTTGAGCATTCCGAGCTTCATTTTGAGCATTTTAACCTCTTCACTGCCACTAATGGAAGAAAGGCAAAGAAAACTTGAGAAAAACGATGCAAGCGGTCAACGAGTGTGTCACAAAAAAAAGAGAACAAAAGACATGATGATTACCCGAGTAATGACTAGAAAAGGTTCCTATTCACTTGTTGTTCTCATTTCTATTCAACGAAATGAAAACTCTGCTAAAAATTTCACTAGTTGGCCTACTAACATCATGTTTTTTCCTTGTCATAGCCGCCTCATTCTTCCTCTTTTCATTGTTCAACGAGATTCAATCAATGGATACCGAATTATATACGGAAATGGGAGCATTTAAGGCTAGTTTCATTTTCGAGAATCTATTAAGCTTTATTTCTTCAAAGTTTTCCATTTCCATTTCCAGATTTTCATTCTAGATACTCTCTGATTCGGCTTGGATCGAGCTCAGAGCTCTTGGCTCGATAAAACCCCAGAAAGTCCCTATTGAGCCGTTGAAATATGATCCGAGAACTGTTCGAGTCGGTGATTCGTTTTTCCGCTTTATCGCTGGAAGAGCAAAGCGAGAAACAAACAGCTGCACTTGTGTGGAAACAGCGAATAAGTTCCAGAAATTAGTTAAACTTTTAAAAAAAGGAAGTTTTAGATGTCCAGCTGGTAAGCCAGGGGCTCCAGGAGTTCCTGGAACTCCCGGTCAAAATGGCCAACCCGGGAAACCAGGTGAACCAGGTCGAACAGGACTTCTCGTAGTTGACAGTGAAGGGGGTTGCTTTATCTGTCCACCTGGGCCTCCTGGTCCTGCAGGTAAAAGATTCGCTCAGTACTTGAATAAAATGGTAAAGGAACCCCCGGCCACCCCGGAACAGTAGGCCCACCTGGTAGGATTGGAGAAACTGGTGCCCACGGGAGAATGGGAGAACCTGGATACGATGGTCGGATGGGTGACGCTGGATCTGATGGCAAACAGGGGCCGGATGGTCCGCCCGGTAAACCCGGGAGAGAAGCAATTACAGGTAACGTTTAAAATACGCCTTACCTACCGTAAATTCGCCACCCCATAATGACGGGCGTACAGTCGCGTAGTCTAACTTTGAACGTCTCATTCTCCGCGCTTCTTTATGCTACAGTGTGCTACATGGTGTCAAATGATAGCCCTTGAAATCTAGTTGTTTTAGAAGTTGGGAAAATCTAGAGACTGACAAGAGAACACTTTCGCTGAGCAACTGGCTGAGACAAATGCTATGCAGCCTATACCATTCAACACAGAATTTGATGCTGATTCCGAATATATATTCCGTTTTTGCTAAGTGACAATCTGTCAGGAGTTATAAGCGTCTAAAGTTTTGTTAGTCGTCGTTTGGGTCGTTTGGGTTAGAAAATGTGGTCATTTGGGTCTTAGCAGCCTCCTTATGGCCTCCTAGCGGCCTTCTTATGTAGAGCTCTATCACTTGGCCACAACTGCACCGGATCGGGTCCGCAAGGAGGCCGCTAGATGGCCATAAGGAGGCTGCTAAGGCCCAAATGACCCAAATCATAGTCTTAACAAACTTTAGACACTTATAACTCCTGACAGATTGTCATTTAACAAAAACTGAATATATATTCGGAATCAGCATCAAATTCTGCGTCGAATGGTATAGATCACATAGCATTTGGCTCAGCCAGTTCACCTTCCCTTGCGATTTTCTAAAAAGAAGTTAAACTACGCGACTGTACGAGGAGATGTCGTTTTATTAAAGTATTTACACTACTTTCAGCTCGTGGTGCTCGGGGTCTTCCTGGTTCTCGTGGATCAAAGGGATTTCCCGGTGAACCGGGCCATCCAGGAGAGCGAGGCACTCCCGGACCACAAGGACCTCCGGGTGTTTCTGGCAGAGAAGGACCAAAGGGAACACCTGGATACGATGGAACTCCTGGCTTTGATGGAGATGATGGGAATCCGGGAGAAGATAGAGATTACTGCCCATGTCCTGAAAGGTTTTCACGAGTTTTTATATTGAACATTGAAAAAACAATTCCAAACATTGAAAAACGAAATTCAGAGACGAACCAGGATTCCCATTGAATCCACGACCAAAGCCAGCACAAAGACCTCCAGGAAAAGGACGTGCTCCATCGTCAAATAGCGTAACAGCTTTTATTTTAAATCTATATTTCAAATTTTAGGTTGGAAGAGTTTCTGAACAAGTGGGGATAGAAGAGGGAAATGAAGAGGCGTATATCAAAATTATCAAGGTAAAATCAAGATCATTGAATTAGATTTAAAGCTTTTTTGTTGAAGAGAGATCAAGTAAATCGTGGTCGAGTCGCAAAAAGTCTCACTGGTTCTCGTCAAAAAAGCGTTGAAAGAAAGCGCATCGATGGGATCATTCGAAAAAGTCGAAGCGATCAACCAAATCACCAAACTCATGTCCACCAAGAAAAAGTCGTTTTGGTAAGTACAAGGAATGTTCGGACGCGTGAACAACCGTAAATCTCACAAGAATCAAGATGAATAAAGCTTTATTCTCAAAAAAAACACTTGTTTAATAATTGATCATGCAAAGAGTTACAAAAACAAAATTGATTTGAAAACGAATTGACAATTGGAATTGAAAGATTGGCTCTTTCCTTGAATCGTGGTCTTTTAAAAGTCTGATGATCTTTTGAAAGTTTGATGTTCTTTTAAAAGTATCTTTTAAAAGTATCCTAAAATTGTCCTGGTTTTTAAAAATTTTGAAAGTTCTATGGGCGAAAAAGGATCCTCGGAGTACCAAGACTGACAATCAGAAGGAGCCTGAGAAACGCGGACAAACGAACCTCCGGGCGGGAAAGCGAATGAAGTTTCACCGAAATTCTACGTCCCTGAGTATATGGCCACCATACCGTGTCAGTGAATAGAAAAAGTCCAAAGCGCATGATGCTTCTTTTCTATTCACTTAACCACGTATCCAATATCCACAAATGTCTTTTAAACTTTGAAAAAAACTTTATTATCCCAACCGAACAACCATCTTCAACTTTCTACCGATGTACTGTTTATTTTGCATTTTTAGCAATTTCACTGCTTCAAGCGATAAAAAATAAACATGTGTTTATACTGAAAGGATTCAAAGAAACAACGAGAAACACAACAATTTATTGTTAAACAAATTTAAGCCTTCACGGCATATTTCCGGATGGGGAATGCCTGTTGTCTCGCTTTTTGTTTGTCGGTCTTCAATGACAATTCGTGTTTCGTCAGGGCTCTTCTCTGGGCACGAGTCTTTCGGTAGCGCAAATCGAGCGGCTTGTACTTCTTGCCCTAAAAGACAGGAATAATTTTGTTAAAGACATTTACTTCTTTAAGAATTTAACAGTGTCTGCACTATGAACATTAAACACTAAAAATGTCGTCCCTAAACTTAAATTTAACGTGGTAATTCTCGGCTATGCTATTTTCTCCATTTAAAACGATTCATGATTCTCAAGGTAAATCTGCTGAGCGACGAAGTGATCGTTTTTAAGATATCAAACCTAACTTTTGCACTATAACTTTGATCTCTACTTTGAATCCAAAAGAAAAACTCTTACTTGGTAAAGTTTCCTGAGCTCAGACTTTTGTGTTTGATTGTAGACGGTCAGAACGCGAGCGATGTTCTTTCTGACTGTGCGGATCTTCGACAACTTGGATGCGGCTCCTCCGGTGACTTTGGATACCTAAAGTTGAGGAATAATAAAACAGCTATACAATCAGGATTAAACATCTGAGAAGTTCTAAAGTGCTGTGCTCAAGCACGAGATTTCTGTGTAGTATCTTGCATATTTATAACAAATAAAATAGCTATTGCATTTAAATTTAGCATTACTCCTACTCTACTCCATCACTTTACTCCTACTAGCTTTACTCTACTCCAATAAATAAGGCGAAACCATCATCAAATTGATATTATTGATTGTTTGCTTATCATACAACCTCAAAACAAATGATATCTAAGTAAACCCGTACGCTTCCAATGATGCATAAAGTATGAGCAAATTCTAGCTACCACTTACTAAAGAACTTTTAAATTCAACTCAACAAAATTCAAACAAACCCTGAGTGAAGCGAGCTCGGTCTTTTGCTCCTCGAGTTGCTTGTTGAGATCCTCTCTCTTTTTCCCACGGAGATCCCTGGTCTTCAGCTTGGCCATATCTGAAAAAAACAAAATTAGTAATCGTTTAGCTAAAACAAATAACTTAACAATCAAAAACAATAAAAAAGAATGAATCAAATAATTTCTTCGAAGAAAATCACAAATATGGGGGGTGGGACAAATTCGACCTTTTTTTTGCTGGAAAAGGCCTTAGGAAAGGTCGTAGAGCTTCAAAAATGTTTCCATACTAGGGAATCGTATGCGTAGATTCCGAATTTCGACAAATCAAAGCAAATCAGACCTCGCTGACACGTTAAATTTGAGTTAAAAGGCAAAAACTACGCAACTTAACGCTTTTCCGCAGTTTTTGCCTTTTAGTCCGAATTTGACGTGCCAGCGAGGTGTGATTTGTCGAAATTCGGAATCTACGCATACGATTCCCTTATACGGAAATATTTTCGAAGCTCTACGACCTTTCCGAAGGCCTTTTCCAGCAAAAAAAAGGTGCGCAAATATCCAGGTGCGCAAAAAAAGGTCGCATTTGTCCAATCCCCCAAAAATGTGAAAAAGACGAATCCTAAAAGAAACGGCGCAACGGTTAGGGTTACGGTAGAACGTCTTAAAAAGATAAAGAAACTGACCATAAAAACAAACAAACAAACAATTCAAAGTTTCAAAGTTTACCACGATACCCAGTCAACACGGGATCTCAAGACATTCAATTTTGAGCATTTTGAGCATTTCAGCCTTGATTTTGATCACTTTGAGCATTTCGAGCTTGATTTTGAGTATTTTGAGCATTTTGAGCTTGACTTTGAGCACTTTGAGCTTGATTTTAATCATTTTGATGTTTTTAGCTTGATTTTGAGCATTTGAAGCTTGATTTTGATCATTTTGAGCTGATTTTCAGCATTTCGAGCTTGATTTTGAGTGCTTTGAGCATTTTGAGCTTGGTTTTAAGCATTTTGATGTTTTTAGCTTTATTTTGAGCATTTGAAGCTTGATTTTGAGCATTTGAAGCTTGATTTTGATCATTTTGAGCTGATTTTCAGCATTTCGAGCTCGATTTTAAGCATTTTGAGTATTTGTTGAGCTTAATTTTGAGTGTTTTGAGCCTTTTGAGCTTGACTTTGATCATTTCGAGCTTGATTTTAAGCATTTTGAGTATTTTTAGCTACATTTTGAGCATATTGAGCTTCATTTAGATCATTTTGAGCTGATTTGCAGCATTTGGAGCTTGATTTTGAGCATTTTTGGCATTTTAGATTTGTTGGAGGCTGCTTATCCCCTTCCCCCAGGAGCTACAGTACAGTACAGTACCGTACTATGCACTGACATCTGGATCCAGATACCCAATCCAGATCGTTGGAGGGCAGAAAAGCAAGTACTGTAGATCGGTAGACGGAGATGGGTTTTGCGGGTGATAAAAGCGAGAACATCAGTGTCTCCTCTCGATCTTTTCTTTCGTTTTCTCCATTCTCTCTTCATCTCAATGATTGAAAGATGAAAAATGGATAAAGAAAGAGAGAGCAGAGCCTCTGGCAATGCAAATCTACTCTTCAAATGCAAATTTATCACCAAATCTATCACCATCATTCAAATTTTCTTGTTTTTTCATACTTTTATCTATTATTTTTCTATTTCTATTACTATTATCTCTTTCGGAATTTTATATTCTCAATTTGTACCTTCAAAGAACGAATTAATATCATAAAATACAGAAAATCAATTTTTTTTATGTCTCGTCGCTTTTCTCTTTTCAAATGATCCGATTGGACAAGAGGGTGGTGGTTTTTTTTCTGAAATTTGCATAATCTCTTCCACAGTCCGTTAAATTGATACAAAAAGCTGCCAAATCGATGTTAGATGCTTTATTTTTCGTATTCGAAAGTTTAATTGATAGTTCAATTGATAGTTTCATTGATAGTTTCATTGTTTTTGTTTTTTTTGATCTGTCTTCGCACTTAGGGGTTCCTATTTGCGCAGCTCACAATCAGCTTACACATTTCTCTATCCCTTGCTATTGTCATCCAGTGTTTCCTATCTTGGTTGTGCCTGGTTCGAAGTCTTCGACTTGCTTGTGCTGGTTGCACTCTAGCATAGTGGCGTCCTTTCTCTGACCGTCTCTGCCACTCTTGTCCTCCACCACATTGCTGGTCTTCCGTTGCTGTCTTCCGTTGCTTGTCTTCCGTTGCTGTCTTCCGTTGCTTGTCTTCCGTTGCTGTCTTCCGTTGCTTGTCTTCCGTTGCTGGTCTTCCGTTCCTGTCTTCGTATTCGAAAGTTTAATTGATAGTTTCGTTGTTTTTGAGTTTCATTTGCTAGATGCATTAGGTAAATGCATAAGAAATGCGAATTTCAACATTTTCATCAATTTCCAACGATAGAAAATCTGATATCGATGAATGTTTTAAACTATTTTAAAGTTGTAAATCTCCTCTACAAAATAGGCTAACAGGTGTTTCAATTGATCGAACCATTGAATTGATCGAACCAAGTTCGGGTTCGAACTAGGGCCCAGGAGACTTAGAGTCTCGCGCACTAACCACTTAGCCACGAGGAGATATATTCGATGGCCACAAGACCGATTTAGATATTAGATATTCGGAATCAGCGAAAAATTTGCTACAAAATAGGCTGGATTTCACTTTGAAATCGTAAATAAACACCGATTTCTAGTAAAGAGAATTCTTTTTGAATCAAGTCGCCAATATAATTACTCGATTTGTTCAAAATACTTCAAAAAACGTTCATCAATGTCACAAAAATCATCCCAAAATTTTGCCCTTTTCTCAAAAATAAAAACCATACCAAAAAAAGAGATTAAAAAGAGCGCGCAAATGATCAAAATTGATGTTTATTTGAAGAAATTACAACAACAAGAACTTGATTTTAAATGAAAAACGTACTTTTGAAATCTTTAAATATCAAAATATAGTTATTTCTTTTCGTGAAAAGATTTGAGTAAAAAAATCGGCTCCTCAAAAGTTTCCTGAACTTTTTCCGAGCAAAGTATCTTCCTTTTCGATGATCGTTAAAACTTTCTCTCAATCAAAATCCGTTTTTCTTTATCAAGGGAAATCTTTTAAACCACAATTTTGTTCAAAAAACAAATTTTGTTCAACTTGATACCACAAAACTTTAGTCATACCCATTTTTATGGTCTTTCTTTCTTCATTCAACTTGTTTCATTACTTGTTTCATTTCTTGATTCATCACCTACATCTTCTTCTTTTCTTCTGATCCCTTTTCTAAATCATCTAAACTTTCAATTTGATTGAATTTGATTGAATTTGATTGAATTTGATTGAATTTGATTGAATTTGATTGAATTTGATTCAATTAGATCCAATTTGATTCAATTAGATTCAATTTGATTCAATTAGATTCAATTAGATCCAATTTGATTCAATTTGATTCAATTAGATCCAATTTGATTCAATTAGATCCAATTTGATTCAATTTCATTCAATTTCATTCAATTTCAATCATTTTTTGGTTCATCGTCTATAAAATGGATCCTCGCTTGGCCCCAAATCGACCAACGATGAACCAAGTACTGTTTTAGATATAAAAATCAAAATAAAGAACGACAATCAAAGATAAAAATCAAAATAAAGAACGAAAATCCAAGGTAAAAATCATTGTTTATAGTAATCCTTTTCAATTTTCAATAGCTTCATCTTTCAGCAAGATTTCGAAACCCTCTATGGTCGTTTTGAGCCAAAAATCTCCACGAAAAAGCGAATAAAAAGGAATTTCAAGTAATGATTTACATTTAGACCTTTTAAATACCTATTTCTATATCCAAACCAGTTTTGTAAGGATCCAGGAAATGAGCTTTGCTTTCGTCGTTTCCATTCATTTCCCCAAACCATCTTGCAATTAGTTTTGGCTTTCATTGTGACGCTACATAGCCGGGCGACTACGAAAAGTTCATTCTCCACTCGGCTCCAAAACGGAAATAGATTTCTCTCTCATTTCAAAAAGAAACACAAAATTTATCGCGTCAAAAAATAATTTCAATTAATCTGACAAAAAGAGGGAGTGGAACAAATGCGACCCTTTTTTTTGCGCACCTTTTTTTCCGCACTTAGCCCATTAGCGCACCTTTTTTCGCGTTTTAAAAAAGCTCTAAAAGCTAATATTAGCCAATTTCTATTCCAAAAGTTGTTTTTCTAGGTAATTTTAGGGCGTAGAATCGAAATTTTGGTATATCAGAGCTTGTGGAAGCGAACGGACGGAGTTATACAAAGAGAAAAATCGACAATTTTCTGTAATTTGATCTAGCCGATTTGTCTTTCAAATTAGTTCCACACACTCTGTTATGTCAAAATTTCGATTCTACGCCCTAAAATTACCTAGAAAAACAACTTTTGGAATAGAAATTGGTTAATATTAGCTGTTAGAGCTTTTTTAAAACGCGAAAAAAGGTGCGCTAATGGGCTAAGTGCGGAAAAAAAGGTGCGCAAATGTCCGGGTGCGCAAAAAAAGGTCGCATTTGTCCCACTCCCGACTAAAAGACAAAAAGAATGAAAAAGAAACGACGACGCGACGCTCCCATCGACTACCTCCAAATGGCGGGGATGTCAATTGGAATGCAACGTCGCGCGAAAATATCATTTAAAATTTGCGACGAATATTCAAATTTAACATGAAAGCGTCTCGAAATGATTCTCTAATAATCATTCTAATCTACAAATTACAGATCTTTCTTGTTATTATTATCGTTGTTAATCTAGAAACAATGGTAATAGCAAGAAAGATACAGTCGACTCTCTCTATAACGGAATGGAAGAGATCAAAGAATGTTTTCGTTCTATAGAGTACAGTTTTATATAGCTTAGCGTCGGCCGGGACCAAAATTTCATTCCGTTATATAGAAGCTTTCCGTTATAGAGAAAGTCAACTGTATTTAATTTCTAGAAAAGCCACTCTTCGTTGTATCCGACCGTTAACAAGTCTGAAGAATTTCTGGCAATCACTCATTTCATTCATCCCGATTCTTCAATGGTTACCGAAATACAGTATAAAGGTAGAAATACAGTACCGATTGCGTCACAATTACCGCCTCAAGGCTTCTGACCTGATAAATCACCAAAATACAAATTTTAGAATGATTATCAACGTGTAACAATCAGAATTAACAGTCAAATTTCAAAATTATCATCATCTGCAAGCTTGTAAGCGTTTCGGGAAAGGCTTAGGAAGTAGGGGAAGAAAGGGCTTAGGAAATAGGGGAAGAAAGAGCTTAGAAAGTAGGGGAAGAAAGAGCTTAGGAAGTAGGGGAAGAAAGAGCTTAGGAAGTAAGGGATATCAAGTGTTTCCCAGGCTTTCTCAAGTGCTTTCTTCAATTTGGCGTTTGAGTTTTGAACAAGGCCTCAAGAACGCTATAGAATAGTCCATTGGATTGAGAAGAGTTGCTTGTTCACTTGTTGAATTCAATGAAATCGGGGAAGTTGTTCAAGCACCAACTCTGAATAATCCTCGCTTTGTGAGCCGGAGCTCCATCTTGTTCCCGTGTGAGCTGGAGCTCCGTCCTGCTTCCGTGTGAGCCGGAGCTGATAAATCCTCTGCAGCTCTTCTACGGTCCTCTACGTCTTCTGAAGTGGCTCTGTGTCCAGGGAAGCAGCTTATTCTTGAGTAGGTCGAGATTTATTTTGGCCATGGCTATTGGCTATTGACTTTAACACCTTGTGAAACAAACCAAAGGTGTTTTTCCATCAGCTGTTACTCCTGCGAAAACCATTACTGAATCAGGATGTGCACGAAAACCATTACTGAACACTTATTAGACGTGCCCATTACTGGGCGTGCAAAACAGAAAGATGTGGATTTGAAGCAGCATCTACTCGATCATTTTGCTTATTAAGAACTTGTTGAACTGTGAATATCTTCCCATCAGTAAAGAGAATGCTGCGATGAACAGAAAACGTCTCTTGTCCTTGTCTTGTCCCGGAAAATGATTCAGAAGGTCTTGGCATAGGTCTTCACGATTTTTTGAGCTGCCAATAATCCTCGACATCTATTTTTCTTGTAAGCTTTAAGTTTAAGATACTTTCGAACAATTCGACGCACCAATAGTTCACTGATTCTCATTTCACGAGCTATTTGACAAACGGAACGCCATCTGACGAACAGAATGACAAACAGAATGTCATCTGACGAACAGAATGACAAAAAGAATGCCATCTGACGAACGGGACGATGAACGACGTCAAAATTCGAGCCTGGTCTTTTCGATCCTCTTGATATTGACTTTGATGGTAACGGTTCTCTTGTTTCCTCGTCCAGAGTGGTCGTTTAAAGTTCCAAGCTTCTTGTATCTTCTTGTATCTTCTTGTATCAAATCACAATACTTCTATCGACTCCTAGACGTCGAACGTGTCCCATAGCCATAGCCTCAACATCCATATCCTCAACAGCCATAGATAGCCTTAGACGTGCAAGTGGATGATCGAAGTCCTGTGAAGTGCGCTTTGCCATCACTAAATTAAACGTTTTTTTCAGTGAAAACAACAAATGTTAAAACAAAAAAAACAAAGAAAACAAAAAAACAAAATTTAGAAGAGTTTTCCTTGGAAAGCAGCTAAATTCTATTGTAAGAGAGGTGAGGCGGTAATTGTGATGCGCTCTGTCTAAATCTCATATTTAAATATAAATGTACAGTATAAAGATTCAAATTCTTTGCCGTGACTGCAAAAATGCTTTTTAGCACGATTTTCTTTGTGATATGATCGGCGGAATCACAACGGGGGTCATGCATGTCCCACAAGGTAAACAAAGGCTTGAAAGAGTGATTGAGAGTGATTGAGAGATTTCATTTGAATAAGATATTCAGTTAAAGTATTCATTGATTGATATTCAGCCAAAGTACTCAATATTCAATAATATTCAATAATATTCGAATAAGATATTCAGTTAAGGCATTCATTGATTGATATTCAGTTAAAGTATTCAATATTCATTGAAATAAGATATTCAGTTAAGGCATTCATTGATTGATATTCAGTTAAAGTACTCAATATTCAATAATATTCAATAATATTCGAATAAGATATTCAGTTAAAGCATTCATTGTTCATTTGATTAAGATATTCAGTTAAAGCATTCATTGATTGATATTCAATTAAAGCATTCAATATTCATTTGAACAAGATATTCAGCTAAAGTACTCATTCCTCTATCAATGAATCATTCCCAGGCATTGCCTACTCAGTCCTCGCCGGTGTCCCTCCTGTAAACGGCCTCTACTCCTCCTGTTTCCCCGACTTTTTCTACATGATCTTCGGCACTTCAAAGTATGCGTCAATAGGTAAAATTTCTAGACCTAGCTCTAGATCTAAATCTAAATCTAAATCTTAATCTATTGGGTTGATGCATAATTATCCGGACTTCTTTTATAAATGATTTTATTTAACAAAAAATAACATAAATAGTTAGAAAAATATGTTTAATTGATTATTCTGGAGCAATCACCGCCACATCAATAAGATTGCCATTTGCTGAAGACGATCGATTCCACGAGCGAAGAATAAACGACTTTGGAGGCAATCCACGCTTTAACATCGTCTATCAAGTCATCCAAATCGTTGTAGATCTTATTTGTTTGCCAATTTTTGAGCGATCGATTGACGTGGTAGTCCGTTGGGGCTTCTCCAGTTCTTTGAGATCGCGAAACGACTCTGCGGCAGACCATCCCTTTTCGAAGTGGTAGAGCATGATATGGCGAAGATGGATATGATTGTCGACACGCATTTTGTTCACTAAAGAATAACGAATATTAAAAAAAAATAGACAAAAGCTCAAAAAGCAGCCGCAAAAGAGTCCGATAATTATGCATCAACCCAATAAATCTTAATCTAAATCTTAATCTAAATCTAGATCTAAATCCAGATTTCCAATGAATACTTTAGGCAGTTTCGCCGTGGTGGCTCTGCTCGCTGGTGTGGCCAACACAAATGTACAAGAGTCTTTGAAAGTACCGGATGAGGTTGAGATTAAAGCTGTTTAAAGGATTCTTGTAAAATCCTGTATCAAGATACTGTTTAAAGATTTAAAAATCCACCTAAGAATCCACCTGATCAAGCTATCTACCAAAGAATCTACCCAAGAATCTACCTACCGTAAATACTGTAATAGTGTCCCACCCCCATAATGACGGTGCGGAGTGTTGCGTAGTCTAGCTTTGAGCGCGTTTTTCTCGACACTGGTTTATGCTACAATGCTCGTTTAGGCATCAAAAAATAGCCCTGAATTTCAGCTATTTTTTGATACCAAAGACGTATTTTTTGAAAGTACGGGTGCCTTGCAAAAAATGAAATACTAAAAAGCTCTTGCGACTACGCGACTGTACGAGGGGGCGGTGGGGTACTATTACAGTATTTACGGTATCTACCAAAGAATCTACCTATCTACCTATCTACCCAAATCTACCACTTTATTCAAAAGTTTAAAACTTGTAAACACTTTTAAGTACTTATCAAATTCAATTTCGAGAACGGAACCCTCATAGCTGGTCCATATTCGCCTGTGGAAATCGCGATGACACTCACGTTCGCTGTTGGGATTGTACAGGTACCTCACTTACTATTTTAGTATTTTACTTACTATTTTAGTACTTTACTTCCTATTTTAGCTCTCTAAATTACCCATAACTCTTAAGATTTTCATTTAAAAAACCTTAAATTGATCTGTGTACACTTCCCCCGTCGATTTCCAGTTCCTCTGCGGTCTCCTCCATCTTCAATTCCTCACCGCCTACTTCTCCGATGCTCTTGTTTCCGGATTCACCACAGGTAGATAGCAAAATATCTGAAAATATCTGATTGTACAGGTACTTCGCTTACTATTTTAGTTTTACCTGTACTTTTGTGTCAATTGTGTCCTTTTCCCCATTTGTTCTTTGTCCATTGTGTCCTTTTTCTCATTCTTTGAAAATTAAACGATTCAATTCCCGCCTGCAATCCTGATAGCCATTCTAAAAAAGATTTTAAAGAACAAAAATAAAGTTGTAGGGTTTTCTGAGTTAAGGAATCAATTAGAAGTGTTTGATATCTTCAACAGAGCCTTCACAGAAGCCAGTGAGCTACAGAGGCTGAGTTAATCAACTAAACTAATCATTTATTCTCTAGGTGCTGCTGCTCATGTTCTCATTGAACAATTCGACGATCTTCTTGGCGTGAAAATCCCCAAATATTCTGGTCCAGGCTATATTTTTCGAGTAAGAAAAGAAAGAAACGAAAGAAAAGAAAAGAAATGAAAGATTCAAAGATTTTAGAAACTTTTCGCCTTGTTTACTTCAATACCTGATGCAAAAGTGATCACTCTGATCACTTCAACGTTAGCTTTACTTTTTCTTTACATCGGAAAAGAATATCTCTCGCCATTCTTGAAGAGGAGATTTGGATTGAAATTCCCGATACCGTACGAATTGATCTTGGTGAGGGTTTTTTTTAAAAGACTTTAGATTACTGTAACCATTGAATAGGTTACTATAATCATTGAATAGATTACTGTAGCCGTTCAATAGATTACTGTAACCATTGAATAGGTTACTGTAATCATTGAATAGATTACTGTAGCCGTTCAATAGATTACTGTAACCATTGAATAGGTTACTGTAATCATTGAATAGATTACTGTAGCCGTTCAATAGATTACTGTAACCATTGAATAGGTTACTGTAATCATTGAATAGATTACTGTAGCCGTTCAATAGATTACTGTAACCATTGAATAGATTGCTGTAACCAATCTCTAACTTTTTATCCAGATGAGTGCGGCATCCGGTGTCTCGTTTCTGATCGAAATGAATGAAAAACATGGAGTCCCAATTGTGGCTAACATTCCGATTGGGTTCGTCCTTACAGTTCTTCTAAAGCTCAACTCAAAATCGCCATCTTCCCCTTTGCAGTGTCCCCTTTCCATCAGCTCCAATTCTTCCCCTTTTGTCCGTTTGTTTCGGTCAAGCTCTTCCAATCGCTCTTGTCGCCACCGCTGTGCACATTTCGATGGCAAAAATGCTCGCCAAGCAACATAATCAAAAGATTGATTCGCAACAGGTACAAGAAATTCGCAACAGGCACAAGAAAAATTGAGCTTGACTTGAAGAATTGAGAAATTTCATTCTCCAGGAACTCTATGCCCTTGGAATGACTTCTCTTCTTGGTGGTCTTTTTCCTGTTTATCCTGTCTCGACGGCTCTCGGTCGAACAATGGTCAATGTGTCGAGTGGAACGAGAACTCAGGCAAGAAATTTTCTCATTTTTCTATCGCTTCAAATTTCAGCTATCCACCGTTTTCTCTTGTCTCCTTTTATTGACATTGATTCTCTGGTTGGGTCCACTCATCGAGCCACTTCCAATGGTTTGTTACTTTGTGAATAGTGTAAAGGCCTAGCCTAGCCTAGCCTAGCCTAACCTAGCCTAACCTAGGCTAACCTAGCCTAGCCTAGGCTAACCTAGCCTAGCCTAACCTAGGCTAACCTAGCCTAGCCTAACCTAGGCTAACCTAGCCTAGCCTAACCTAGGCTAACCAAGCCAAAGCTTAAGCCTAAGCCTAAGCCCAGTATTCCATTAGGTTGGTCCATAAGTATATCTTGCCCATCCAGGGAATTTTGCATTTATCGGAAACGATGATAATTTGATGGGGCAAGGTCTGGAGAATAAGGAGGGTGAGGTAAGTCTTCCCAGTCAAGGCTGTGAATTGTGGCACGAGTGAGCAGAGAGGACATCCTTGGCAGCTGTAACTCCTACCCGTTGACGCTTTTTTTGAAAGTTTTCGGTGCGAATCTACTCGTCTCTTCTCTTCGGTGATAATCCACTTCTAGTCTCCTATCACTAAGCGCGACAAAAAAGATTTCCGTTCATGTCTCGAAAGAAGCGCAGCTGAAATTGCTGATCTCTGCCTTTCATAGGGTCCCAAAGGGTATGAGGTACTCATTGACCATTGAGCAGCTCATGAAGGTGTCTTTCAATCGTTGAATGTGAGTGCCCCAATCGCATCCGCTATTTCACAAGTAGAAATCCGAGGGTTGCCTTGGATTTTTTTTTGAAGAATCTCTTCATTTTTCAATTGAGAAGGTCTTCCCGCACGCTCTTCGTCTTTAAGGGAATTCTCACCATTTCTGATCTTGGCAAACCAACGTTGAATTGTGTTTTGAGAAGGAGTGTCATTGTCATACACGTTTTCAATATTATTCTGGACCACCAGCAAAGAAGAAAGTCGGGAAAGTCGAGCGTATAAACAATTATTTCAAAAAAACAAACTTTTACCAAGACCAAGACCAAGAACAAACTGTTACCAGGGCCAGTCTAATACAATATCTTTTCAAAAAAAAACAATAATTTTAGTGTATCCTAGCCGCAATCATCACGGTTGCTTTGAAAGGAATGTTCATGAAATGCGCCGAAGTGAAAGCCCTTTATAAAGTCTCCAAATTGGATACAGTGAGTGAGGCCTAAGTCTAAGCCTAAGCCTAAAGTTTAACTCAATTACGGTAATCCTCTTGCAGTTGCTCTGGTTTTTCTCTTTTCTCTCCACTCTTTGCATTGACGTTGTCTGGGGATTGGGTGCTTCAATCGCTTTCGCTCTCATCACACTCATCATCCGAACACAATGGTTTGTCTTTGAAAATGTCCAAAACCTTAAAAAACCAGTCCAAAATCAATGCAAAATAGTCGAAAATAGTCCAAAATCAGTCCAAAGCCAGTCCAAAATAGTCCAAAGCCAGTCCAAAATAGTCCAAAATAGTCCAAAATAGTCCAAACTCAGTACAAAACAGTCCAAAATAGTCCAAAATCAATCCAAAATAGTCCAAAACAGTCCAAAGTAGTCCAAAATAGTCCAAACTCAGTACAAAACAGTCCAAAATAGTCCAAAGCAGTCCAAAACCAGTCCAATCCATTTCCAGGCCTCATTGGCATCATCTCATCCATCCAAATCCACAAATCACCTCGAAAATCGTTTCCGATTCAAAAGTTTCCCTCTGTGTCCATCGCTTTGACGCTCCACTAATCTTCGCCAATGTTGAGCGGTAAAAAATAAACATCGAAATGGATCTATTTTCAATTTAGATTCCGTAAAACTGTCGACAAATCACTAGATGATTGGATCCCAAAGAAACGGGTAAATGAACTAAAATGAATGAACCAAACCAAACCAAACCCAACCAAACCAAACTAAACCCAACTAAACCAAAGCAAACCAAACCAAACCAAACTGATCATTTCTAAACGAATTTGAAACCAAACTGATCATTTTTCCTGTTAATCGCTTTAAAATTCAGATAATTCCACTTGAAATTGACGAAAAACCCGAAAAGTTAGAGTTGGAAAAAGAGCAAATGAGGTAAATTTGGATTCATTACCACCTCATCCTCATCCATTAAACAATTCAGAATTTTGATTCTCGATTTCTCCACCATTTCTTATATCGATCATATGGGAGTGAAAGTTGTCGAAGAGGTAAAAACAAATTCAAAATTTGCTTTTTTTTTTGGAGAATACGGCCATTTTTGGCTAATTCATTGTTCATTGATTTGGCTAAATTACCCAAAAATCCTACCATTCAAAGGCTTTCAGGTGGCAAAAGATCTCGCGAAGCTCCGAATACTGGTCTACCTAAGCGGGTTTAACGGTTAAAGCAAAAAAAGGAATGCAAATCTAATATTCAAATTTCTAGAAAACGTGTTATCGTGTCTGCGTAAAGGTGAAGTGATTCCATCGCTTATTCCCCTCATCCACTGTTTCCCAACCCTCCGAGATGCAATCGACTCAAGTACAAGGTGAATTCAAATCACAATTTTCTTATTCACATCAAATTTCAGCCCTCAACTCAACCCGATAGTTGAAATGAATGATAGGCTATGAATATCTTAAATAAATTATTTATTTTATCAAAAGCTCAACAGCTCTCAACAACAAAATATAACAAGCGAAGAAGAAAACGAACAAATTGACTAGTTATCAAAAGTCGATAAACTATAACAAAATTGTAACTTTTAAATATAAAATTATAAATTCTATGCTAGAATTCTAATCTAGCTAGACCCTATCTAAGAAACTTATTTAGCCATATTGAAGAGAAGTGGGGCAGCGAGATACGACGATTCGGAAAGACCACTAGCTAAAAAGAAAAAGTCACCACTTCTTGAAAAAGTACCGATACTTATCAAATACAATACGCTAAATACATAAATGCTAAAAAATGCAATACGCTAAAAACCCACTTAGCAAAATCCAGGTTTGTAGAGCTGCTCGCATCTGTTCCGTCGAAAAACCCGTGAAATTGATTCGACGAATGTAGCAATGCTAAAAATATAACTTTTAAATAAATCCATAATAAGAATAGTATTACGTTAAAGATAGCCCATTAAAGCAGCATCCAATTAAGTAAAGCCGGTAAAAACTTACAAAAACCAATTGCCGATCCGTTAACTCATTTAGCGAAAGCACTCGATCCAATCGATGAAGAGCCTTCGATCGAGAAATGAGACGTCTTGTTAATCCTGGCAATGGAAGAGGGATGAGGCCATGCAAACGGGCAAGTGATGTCTAAAAATGAAATGTAGACTTGTAAAAGCAAAATTTGATTTAAAAAAATTCTAAAAAAAACACTCACCGTTTTATCTGTATCCAAATCCGTGATACCCGGTAGCGCCAACTTCTCGACGGAGCTCTAAAGATATTCTGTCTTTTAGACATTTAAATAATCACAAACCGTCTTCAAATCTCCTTTCAATGATGCCGCTTTGTCCTGTGATGCTTGAACCTCTTTTGCGAAGAACTCAATCCGTTGTGCATCGGTCCAAAAGTGGCGCGTCAGTATTAAGCGTGGGAAAAATATCCTAAACATTGATATTTAACGAAATTTAAGCATAAGCACTGACACGGCGGCTCCAATAACGTAAACGGTAAACGGGAGGGGAAGCAGGGTAACAACCACACCCAGTTTGGGTCCTTCACTCTCGAACTAAACAAATGATGACGGTTTAGCCTGGGATGTGGATACATTAAGTGCTTATGGACCGTTTTTAGCATCCACTTATTAGAAACTGATTCACACTACATACAGTGTTACTGGACCAAGTTTTGAGTAAAATGGAGTGTTGAGGACTACTTTACACCGTTAACTTTCCGTGTCAATGCTTCTGGGTTCATCATATAAATTTCCTGAACATGCTTACGCTAAAAATATCAAGATCTCTCCCAATAGTGGTGGATCGAGACAAGCAGCGAGTAGACAAAGATGTCGGATCTCTCGGCCAGCCTGAAGCAATTTCCCAAATAATTTGAAAAACATAGTCATTATGAACCCAACGAAAACCCAGAAGCAAGGACATGAATCGTACTTTTCATTAAGTTTAAAGACAAAAATTTTGTGAATGAAAGCCTACACGCGCCGTGCCAGTGCTTTGAAAGAATGAAACTTTGACAGAATCAAACTTACAAGAGCAGAATGAGGATATCGCCAGGCCCAGGTATTTGCAAAATCGTGAGCAGAAAGCTCATTTTAAGGATGTCCCTTCCACTCTGTAAGTTTTTGTGAAAAAAAATGACTGGCAAACACCAAAAGACTGGACAGCACTGGTACGACACTAAAATAGCAAAAAGTTAGGTGCAAATAAAGCTTTTTATCCTTTCGATTATGTCACTACAAAATTAGTTTTAATGTCAATGCCCGGAATTAGTTTTAATATTAATCAAGCAAAATACCTGAACTAAAACTTCAAGCTCTTCGACCGAAAGTTGTTCCAACGTCCGTCGCTTCGATGAGATATCCCTCCGAACTCGAATGTACGTCTTCACATCAGAAAAGCACCAACGAGAGCCTAAATATTTATTGTAGAATAAAAACTTTAAAAGAGCTTACCATCCACTACCATTCTGTGTAGTGCCAAAAACTTCGGCCATCTGCTGATGTATCGTTCGTATTTGTAAGACAGTGATCCTTCCTAGAACTTTGAATAACAAAATTTTCAAATAGCTTTTACCTTTGGTGGATTGGGCAACGGTCCCTGTGATGTACATCGTATTGCGCATAGAGCTGTCGGATGACTTCTGATCAAATACGTCAATCTAAAATTTTCATTCATTTACGCAGCAAACAATATCTTTTATAATTCAAAAAGCTAAAAATAGTTTTAAACGTTTAAACTATCATCATTCAGCTCAGCTTCATTCATTTCACCAATATTTAACGCATCATTAAGCTGTTCGCTTATTTTTTTCCTTTAACGTACCTAGTCGACTGCATGTGGAAGGAAGATGTGCAGAAAAGTCTTGCGTTCTCGACTTTCTAAACAAATTTACAAATTACCTAGATCTAATCAACGATAATATTTGAAGAAACCAGAGTGAAATTTCAAAGTCACAGTTGCAAATTTTTAATTTAATCATTTAAACAAAACTTTATCAGATATAATAAAGGAAGAAATATCACAAACCATAATTTCACAAAGAACCATAATCTTAACGCTATTATTAAACAACCCGACAATGAAAAGTGAGCAAGTAGTAATTGGGAATTCCCCTCAAACAAAATGCAAACGTAGGTCTTATTTCAAGAAAATTGCAGAAAAAAGAAACGCAATAATTACCTACTTTATAGCACAACTGAAAATCTTGAGCAAACAAAAAGGCATTAACAAGCTAATCGAGACACCGTGTACGGTAGAAGAGGCACAAAATTGCAAGGTAGAAACTCTAAAAACTGCAACTGTTAATTGATAAAATTCAATTACATCTCGTATTTTAATCTACTACACTAAACAAATCTTACCAAAGTCGCGTCACTTGTGAATCATTGAATAGGTCCTCCATTTTGCTAGCAATTTGATCCGCGTGCGAGTGGAGCCTTTTTGTCGCTGTTTCGTCTGTGTCCTCATCCGGATTCAACTTGATCACATGTGTGAAGGCCATTTGTAACTAAAATATTATTTCCAGGATTACTAGTCTAACAGCAAATCAAAAACGAACCTTCTCAATTTCATCCTCTTTATCATCCTCCATGCTTGGGTTCTTTGCTTTCTTCACACCAGAATCCAACCGTGCACTAAAATTTCAGATTTTCTAAACAGATTAAACTAAATACCTGAACTTCTTAAAGCAATCCCTGTTGAACTTGAAGGTGTCAAAGTGGAATGGCTTTGAGTGCGTTGAAAGCTTCCAAAATGATCGTTGAGATTCCCCTGATGACGGTAATGAATATGAAGCAATCGGCATCTTGAAAGAAGCAGCCAGCTGTGTACAAAGATCTGCAAAGAAATTCGTGACGAAACTAGCAAACCAATACCTGCATTTCCGGCCAAAAGAACACTCTCCTCGTGTTCAAGTTCGAGCAACTCTCGTTCTTTCATCGCCAATTTAAGCTGAAGATTTGTGCGCCTAAATTTATGTACAAAATGATAATCTAGCAATACCTACTTTGTTTCCTGCTCGCGGATGCGTTTCAAATCCTGATACACAAGCACGAGTCGTAGCGAGAGTCCAGTAAAGAGTTGAAAGATTTCTGACGTTGAGTAGCCCAAAACTTCTCGTCCATTAACGCCAACGATGACATCACCTAAAAGAAACGATTTGATAAAAGAAAGCAAGTTCAAACCCATTCGGAGGCCTGCTCGAGCTGCAGGTGAGTCGGCAAAGATAGCGTGAACGACTTGCACTAATCCATGACCATCGGGGGTCGACGCTTCAAATGTCTTTGATCGAATTTCCTTAAATGAACGTTAAAAGAAATGAAGAAAGTTTATCATAACACACCTTCAATCGAAATCCAAAATCCTCTTGCATCGATTGGCGCTCCAAGACAATTGTCTTCCTCGAATGGTCCAAATCGACACGATCGCGTAATACCGCTCGATCATTTGCTAGACGAAAATCGATATCCTAAACAAAATTAAACAATAATTTTTCTTGCAAACCGTAAATTCTAATGCGTTTTAGATAATAATTTTAATGTCTTACAATATACCTAAAGAAGTTCCTTGATTTAAAATATAATCTGCTTGTAACAAAACGAGTTTGATTAAACTTACGCCCTCAAATTGCGAAAATGAAGCGAGTGATGATCCCGAGTAGCCACTATCGTTGCAGTCTTCCTGTTCGATTTGCGTTCTAAACAAAAAAATTTCCTGAGTCACTACAAAATATTTTACTTACACGAGAGATTAAAATAAAAGGTTACTGTGCACAAAACTGGATTTTTAAATAAGTTAACACAAAAACACTTACTGCAGGTTTACCAAAGAAATCGTCTCAGTCATCGATCGCTTCTTGTAGTCGACAAAATCTGCAAATGGATTGTTCAGTGCTTGAAATTGATTTTAACCCAGAGAAAAGAAAAAATGTGTCTCAAAAACGTAATCATGTTCGCGAAACCCAGTTTTCCCTATCTCTTTCCCGTGAAAAACTGTGAAATTTGGCGCACACGCAAAACTTTTTAAGAACAATCAGACTCAAAACATTCCCCTTTCAAATCTACACGATTTTTTCTTTCAAAACGATGTTTGTCTCACCCTTAAGCCTTTTCAAATGTTTGAATCGAATAGGTAAAAATCAAGTCTACGACCGCAAAACAATATTGTTTCAATAAAATCTGTTTATTCAACCAATTGCACATAAAGCTTTCAAATCATAAAGAAAAGTGGATAAATAAACAAATGAGATCCAAAATTCACAAATTCACAATGATATTTATACATAGTTTATACTTTACCCAATGGAAACGTAAATGCGAGTTGGTCCGTCCAGAGAAGGCCTTGACTTCGGAACCACTAAAAACCGAAGTATTAAAGGGTGAAAAGACTTTAACAAAATTTGTGCAATCTATTTTAACATTTTCGCGTTCGCGTTTGCTCCTTAAATCTGCTACGTTAATCAATGACAAGACTGACGCATTGACAATGACTCATTGATTAAACCATAAGGAAAATAATACCTGATAAAACGTTTCCCACGCTGCGATTATAATGAGCCACACTATACATCCAATCGCTGACAATGTGACATAGGTTCGAATCTTCTTACGAGCATCTGATGGTGGTCTAAATTTAAAAATTGATTTCAATGATTAATTAGTAGACAGATTACTTTATACTAATCACTATGAAACTTGCTTGCGCACTAACTATTGGAATTTTCCATGAATAAATGCTAGATTTAATATCTACCATTTTCTTCAATTTTTTTTTTATTCTTAACAATTTATTCAGTTCAACAACAACACAACAACACTACAATGATCCCTGTAAAAAATAAAAAGAAAAAATAGTAGTGCCGGCGCCACCATTACAGATATTACGGTATCAACAATTTGGTTTGTTTATTTTTAAGTTTAAGTAGTATATCCAACAAAGTCAACTCACTTGCAATAGGCATCTCGAAAAAAGCAAACGACATTTGTGAGCCAAACAAACGGAAGAAAGGCGAGTCCAATAAAAAAGTATCTGTAAAAGGAAAAATTAATCGAAAACAAACATAAACTTACTTCCGGCTAAGATCGAGTTTGTCGCTGTCGCTTAATTTCGCGGTGTTCATCGCATAGTAGGTTCTGAAAAAGAAACATTAAAAATTGGATTCAACATAGCAAAACTGAATAAGGAAAAGATTTTTAAAGGGGCATGAAAGTTAAAAACTTAAGAATGTCCAAAGTTTGGGGGCTTTTAGAATTTCTTGAGTCGAAAATCTAGGTATGTTTTGATGCTTTGAAAGCTCGATTGGAGCAAATTTTACTAAATCTCAATAAAAATAGTACTGGAAACGGAAGTTAAAATTTGAAAAAAAGTGCCTAAAGATTCGATAGACAAACCCTTTCCCTTTACACGCAACTCTTTTCCTCAAGCGTTCATAGAATGGTCTCGTTTTATACTTGAAAACGTTGACGCTGCATAGAATCGGCTGAATATCTTTCATTGCTCATGCTATTAAAATATTCAGCTAAAAATATTTTTATAAAGCTTTGCTGAATATCTTTAATTGCTCATGTTATTAAGATATTCAGCTGAAAAATTGATATAAAAGTCAATCTCTCTTTCCTTTTCCCATTCTCATTCTCTTCTTTTCATTGCTTTTCAAAAAAATTGACATTCTTTTTGTTTAGATGCGTCAACTTCTCGTTTTCGCAACGATTCTCTTCATTACCAACGCCAACACGGATGTTATCACATGTGGGAGTGTACTGAAGTTGCAAAATCAAGGAGACAACACGCGGTTACATTCACACGATGTAAAGTGAGTGTTTTATAGTTATTAACTTTCGATAGAGCTTGTCTACTTTAATAGAGTTTAAGTATTTCAATGAATCGCGCGTCTTATAGAATTTGTGCAATTTTTTAAAGTTTCTGCGGTGGGATAGTAGTTGGGCGGGGGGACAAAATTTTTTTTTGCCAAATGAGCTGATTTTTTGCACCTAGGGGTTTTTGACTATGCTGAATCGATTGGTGATGGTTTCACACAACATTTCGCAACTTGTAACAAATTTTGCAAGCAACGCAAGAATGAAAACCTAATGTACTTATTCTGGGATGAAGGGGCCGAAAAGTACCAGTTGTCTTGAGTCATGTGCTCGTTGGTAACTTGCTGACATTTTGTTGTTGTTATTTTTGTTACTATTTATTATAAACGTTGTTAAAAGTTGTGAAATGTTGGATGAAACCATTACCAATCGATTCAACATAGTCAAAAAATCGGCTCATTTGGCGAAAAAAATTTTACTATAGCCCCGTTTCTCCACAACATTTTATTTAATTTTAGATATGGCAGTGGAAGTGGGCAGCAATCCGTAACAGCCGTGCAGAATTCGGATGATCACAACTCTCATTGGCAGCTTCTTGGAGGTATTTTTTAAGTTTTTGATGGTTTAAAGCTGATTATTTAATTTTATAACTGTTGAATAATCTGGAAAGAACTTAAACTTAAAAAAAACTTAAACTTAGCCTATGGTGAAACGTGTCCCCGTGGAACAGGAATCAAATGCGGATCGCTTATTCGATTTAAACATTTATCGACTGGATGCTTTCTTCACAGCCATCACTTCCAAGGGCCTCTCAGCAAAAATCTCCAGGTAATTCTTTAAAAAAAATTATTGCCTTTTACAGCTTTAAATTACTTTTTGAATTTTAGGAAGTTTCATTGAAAAAAAAATTGATTTTAGGAAGTTTCCTGTTTCGGTAGTGCTGCGCACGGTGATACTGGAGACAATTGGGAGGTTTGTGTCTGTTTTAAGCGATCATCAACAATTTTTAGGTGGTTTGTTCGCACGAACATTGGGAAGAGTCGGATCCGATAAAGCTGCGTCACAAAGATACAGGTAATAATTTTTAAAATTGCGTTGAAGTATTGTTTTTATCTTTTGCTTACCTAAATTTATATTTTCTTTAGGAGTCTACTTGGCTCTCTCCGGTCAAGTATTTGGGCGACCGATTCACGGACAAAGAGAAGTCATTGGAACGACAAACACGAATTCGATGTCTCATTGGTTGGCCGCTGAGGGTGTTTACATGGATCTCAAAGATCAATAAGCTGTTTAAAGGTCAGGGTTTTTAATGTTAATGTTATAAATATTATGAGACGGTGTTTTACAGTTCTTTTGTTTTTTGATTTTTTTAACGTAAAAAGTTCTGTAATGAAAAAGATCAAGCGTGAATCTAAATTTTGAATCTTAAATCGTCTATCAAGAAAATTTTTTCGCCCCGGGTTTTTCCGCCTTATAATGTGATCTAGTTTCTGCAATTGTTGGGCCTTTCTAGGTTTTTAAAATTTCAGCGTTTTTGTTGTGTTCATTATCATTGCCATTACCCTTGCCCGTGAATGTGATATTTTTGGGTGCAATATCCCAGGTAATAATCTTTTTATGCATTTCAGATAAAATTATGAACGAGAAAATGAGTTGAGCATCGTAAATGCAACCGTTCTGCAAAGTGTAATATGACATCAACACTGATATGTGTAAAAGCAAAGAAGAAAAGAAAAGCACAACGGGATCAAAATGAATAGAAAGGATTAAGTTTCCCTAAAAAACGGTAAGTGATCACAAAGAAGTAGGCAAGAATGGTGCAAAAATTGACGAGTTTTATGAAAAATTTGTAAATTATGAATACTTCCTAAGCGGAATAGAAAAATTCGTAAAGCTTTAGGTATACCCGAAAAATTTGGATGTTTTAAGTGGATGATCACAGATTATTCAATTTGAAAGGTACACAAATTTGCATTGACAGTGCTACCGTACTCATCTAGTAAAGAACTTTGCAAATCAAGTGTTTCATTAGGTAGATACGGTAATATTTTCCGCATTTTTTATATTATTCTATACTTCAGACAAAGACCAACTCCATGTAAGGCGTAACTCGTTGAGCTTTTTCGTGAAATTTGTCGTACTGTCATGACAAGCGGCCAGGTATTTGTTCCCCTTGGACCAACTTGAGCCAAACATTGGATTGACCAGCTTCTCACAGAATACCTGGAATTTTGGCTGCTTATCACTTGACTTAGACGGTAATTCTTATAACTGGCTATGTTTTATCAACTCACATCCAAATTCTCGTTCATCCGATTCCCGCATACCATGTCGGCTGTACAACGAGCCTTGCAATCACCTGAATAGTGTTTGTTTTGATATATTATAGCTGTATAGAAGGGATTTTTCGATTCTCGACTCACCAATCACACAATCCTCATCACTGGCACAAGGCTTTTGGTGGAAAAGCGCGTTCAGCCGAGATTCCGTGTACAAAAGGTCACCGTCCATAATAACGAATCTGAAATTGTTTGGCTAGTTAACCGGTTTAGTTATCCAAACTTTACAAATTGATATCAAACAAAAAAAATTTTAAAAAAAAAAAAAAAAAAAAAATAAAAATTTTTTCTTTGGAAAACAAAAAAAATATTTGGGGGGGGGAAGGAGAAAAAAAAAAAAAAAAAAAAAAAAAAAAAAAAAAAAAAGAGAGGGAATATCTAAATAACTGTACCTTTTTGGATAATCAGCCGATAATCCAAGATTGTCAAATCGAGCATCACACCATTGAAGGGGTTCGTTTAAAAACTCGTAGAATAACTTCAGAGTACCCATCAGATGAACGAGGATCTGGATTGACAAAAGATAAAAAGGATTGACGAGTACGATCATGTTCCGGGAATCAGCTTTCTGTTACAAATTTGAGACTTATCTTTAACGAAAAGCAATGAACTAAAATTTTAAGCATTGAGGAGATCCCCTTCTTTCCTCTCCTAATTTTTCGTTTTCGATTTTCAAAATAAAATTTGGGCAAAGGGAGTCGAAGCCTGGACTTTTCTTCCACGCTCTACCCACTGACTGACTGAGCCAGTGGCTAGAGCGTCTGACTGACTGAGGCATAGACGCTTCTCTCGCCGGCGCAAAAGAGGGTAGAAGAAAGGGCGGAGCGAGAAAGCAATACTAGCTTCTCAAGTTCTTATCCGAAAGAATTAGCATAGCAAAATTAGCATTAACCGATTATGGTCGATTCTAGCAAACTAACCGATTATTATGGAAAAAGGTCGTATTTTTTCAAAAGATCTCTTTACAAACCTTTCCCTTCAAATTCATGTAATATCCCTTCATTCGAAAAGCGACTAAAGTCTCCGTTTGATAGAAATGACCACAAGTGCCGATCACCTAAAAGAAGAAATAAGATGTTTAGAGTATAAAAACTAAAACACTAATCAAATTTCTATTTTTCTTACCTTTGGTGTAACCCTTGACAAAGGAATTACACGGAAAGTGATGTACTCTTCTTGTTGTAACAAAGCGGCCAATGAAGTTCGATCGGCTTTTGTGAGTGGCTGGCCGGGGGTTCTAGAAAGGCCAATATTAACTGAATATCTTGAAACAAAGACGGGATTGGCTAATTTCCGCCATTTTATTTGAGCAACAGGGTCATTTGCACCACTCGCCATAACTTTCTTCTAAGTCAGCCAATCTTTATGATTTTGATTTCATTTTGTAGATCTCAATAAGTGCAACAAAATGAAACCAAAATCATAAAGATTGACTGAATTAGAAGAAAGTTATGATTCATCTAGGTTCCAATACGGTTCTTTTTAGCTCCAATACGGTTCCAATAGAGTTCCAATAGAGTTCCAATACGTTTCCAATACGGTTCTTTTTAGATCCAATACGGCTCCAATACGGACCATCTTCCTTCCGACTCTTCTGATCAATAACTTTCTTCTAAGTAAGCCAATCTTTCTGCTCTTTGTGTCATTTTGTAGATTTCAATAAGTGCAACAAAATGAAACCAAAATCATAAAGATTGACTGAATTAGAAGAAAGTTATGATTCATCTAGGTTCCAATACGGTTCTTTTTAGATCCAATACGGCTCCAATACGGTTCTTTTTAGATCCAATACGTTTCCAATACGTTTCCAATACGTTTCCAATACGGTTCCAATACGGTTCTTTTTAGATCCAATACGGCTCCAATACGGACCATCTTCCTTCCGACTCTTCTGATCCATAACTTTCTTCTAAGTAAGCCAATATTTCTGCTCTTTATGTCATTTTGTAGATCTCAATAAGTGCAACAAAATGAAACCAAAATCATAAAGATTGGCTCAGTTAGAAGAAAGTTATGGCAAGTTGTGCAAATGACCCTGTTGCTCAAATAAAATGTCGGACATTAGCCTACCCCACAACGACGTCTACTTACCGCAACAAAGACGGCCAAACAGTCTCTACAAGGTGTCTCTTATAATGTGATGGCCATCCAAGTCTCAACAAATCGTTCACACGATCAAGTACCTAGATTTGAACAAGTAAAATCTGAATCGAATTCTAATTTCTTACATGATCCGTGAAAGCATCCTCATTTTCATCGCTTGCCACCGGGCGAAAATCGTCGATGAATGGATGAGAGCTCTTGAAAACAGCTTGTTGTCCACCGTCTTTCACAACGATCACCACCTGAGATTAGATTTATTGTTTACATTATTACAATACGATAATGACTACTAGATATGTGCATTTTCGATCTTTTCGTCGTTTTACAACGGAAATTCACCTCTTAAGCTCTTTAAAATCGAGCTTTTCAAACGTTTGAAAGTATTTATAGAATAGTATTTATAGAATAGAATTTATAGAATAGAATATTTATAGAGGGATTTCACGTATTTCCTGTTTTTCTAGAACGAATTTTTACTTAGAAAACCATGAAAAATGGCAGATTGCCGTGGGATGCTTGCGGCGATCTGCCGGCGATCATTTCGAAGGCCAGTAATGGTCAAAAACTAGCTCTGGTCAAAAATCTTTTATTTATTAATGATGCTGAGAATTAGAGCTTTCAAATGGTACCTAATGCATGCTACTTTTTGTAGAAAGTTTTTGAAAAAAAAATAGTTTTCTAAAAACTGGTTAATGTAACTGTGGGACACCTATACAAAAACACATCTATACTAACAAAAACCACTTGTTCTTCAGCACTTGACGCTCCTAGACTCACTGGACGCTCCTAGAGACTCACTGGACGCTCCTAGACTCACTGGACGCCGCTCCTAGACTCACTGGAGTCTAGGAGCGTCCAGTGAGTCTCTAGTTGCTATTCAGCACTTGCTATCCAGCACCTATTTTTCAATCTTACCTTGTTTCCTTCATAAAACTCCGTGACTTCCCATTTGTCCTTGAAACAAAGCCTCATACAAGCATCACCGGACACCTCGTGCCGTGAATAAGCTGCACAAAGAGTCGACAAAATCTCGATTGGTCTAAAGTTTGATGTGTTATACTATTTGCAAAACAAAAGCAAGCTTTCAATGAACACAGCACTGGACAATCAAATATCATATTTGAAAAACGATCGTCACTTTCGCGCGTCTGTAACTTCCTTGTCTTTGAGTTTAAACTATTAGTGTTATACATTTTCTGAAAGCTCTTTTCAAGGGCTACACAATGGTAATATTAATATTTAGAAATACGACAAAGACAAGGGAGTTACAGACGCGCGAAAGTGACGATCTATTTTCAAATGTGATATTTCATTGTCCAGTAGTGTATTTGAAAAAAAAGCAAGATTTACCTTGACGCGTTAAATGAAATCTTCGGCGACGGAACTTCACCAAATCCATTCACACTTCGAGATGGGTCTGATTGAATGAGAGCTGGAATTAGAATTGAATTAGAAATGAATTAGAGTTGAATTAGAATTGAATTAGAAATGAATTAGAGTTGAATTAGAAATGAATTATTGGGTTGTCCAGTTATGAATGCGTGTTTTTTTACTATTTTGTAAATTTCTCAAGATACCGAAATCAAGAAAAAGATATATATGAGTATTATTCGAAAGTTGAAGATCTCCTCTATATTTTGGTCTAAAAAGTTTTTGAATTTGTTCAGCTTTTGGGCAAATTGACTGCACAGAAGAAGGGGTGGCCAAAAAAAATGGAAGGGTGCCTTTGGATCAATTTTTGGCTCCGCTTTGATTGAGGTAACCGTTTGATGTTTGGCCAATAGGATATATCAATACAACTTTTTTAAAAATATAACAATTTCAGAGCATCTTTACTTTTCTGGCCGGTTATTTTACACCATAAAACCTGAGGAATAGCTAAGCTGAAATGGGTTTTTTCGAAAACGACCTCTCCCTTTGTGCAGTCAATTTCCCAAAAAGTTGAATGAATTCAAAAACTTTTTTATTCCAAAATGTAGAGGAGATTTTCAGCTTTCGAATGATATATAACACTCATATATATCTGTTCGATATCTTGAGAAATTTACAAAATAGTAAAAACGCGCATTCAAAACTGGACAACCCAATAGAAATGAAAATGCGATTAGCCAAAGATCTCACCTAGATAAAAGAGATAAAATGCGAGAATGATCATCAAAAATATGCAGAGACGACCGACCCGGGAACAGCAAATCACCTAAAAAGATCGATTACATATTTTGATCAAGATCAAGATTAAGATTTTACCTGTAACGGATGAATCGGCGGGAGATCTTTGCCCGGTTGAGATTGAGGATTCGAGGAACAGCAGCTAAATTTGAAATATTAGATAATCAAATAAAGATTGTAAATTGAAAGATCAAATATCTAAATAATATTAAATATCGGGGGTGGGACAAATGCGACCTTTTTCTTGCGCACCTGGACATTTGTGCACCTTTTTTTTGCTGGAAAAGGCCTTAGGAAAGGTCGTAGAGCTTCAAAAATGTTTCCACAGAAGGGAATCGTATGCGTAGATTCCGAATTTTGACAAATCAGACCTCGCTGACACGTCAAATTTGGACTAAAAGGCAAAAACTACGCAACTTAACGCTTTTCCGCAGTTTTTGCCTTTTAGCCCAAATTTGACGTGTCAGCGAGGTCTGATTTGTCGAAATTCGGAATCTACGCATACGATTCCCCTATATGGAAATATTTTCGAAGCTCTACGGCCTCGCCTAAGGCCTTTTCCGGCAAAAAAAGGTGCGCAAATGTCCAGGTGCGCAAAAAAAAAGGTCGCATTTGTCCCACCCCCATATCAAGTATCTAAATAATATTAAATATCAAAATTGAATCAAAATTGAATCTAAATCAAAGATCTAAACTTATTTTTAAGAGAAAATGAAAAGTCATACAAAGAAACTTTTTTCAGAGAAAAGCTGTCAAGAAAGATTCTTTTGATTGGTCGTTTTGATTCAAAAACTCTTTTAGTAATTGAGTTTAGCTTTTTTATAAAATGTTCTTATCAAAAAGATACTTATTAAGCTGTTTTTTCGTTTCTTTTCGTTTCTTTTCATACTTTCTTTTAAAAAACACAAATTCACCAATAAACCTATGGTTTGCTCTAAAGAAAAATGTTTTTTGAAAAATAGAAAAATAATTGGCCTTTCTAATGAAACAAAGCGTCGGGTCTATCTCAAAACAGCGCCAAAACAGCGCCGAACAAAACAGCGCGACCAAAACAGCGCCAATGCAAAAACGCCCAAAACAGCGACGAGCAAAAAAAATTATTTTTTAGGTTTTTGCTTTTGCTTTTTCTTTGCTGTTTTTAATTTTTTCTGTCCACTTTTTGTGTTTTTAGGGTAAAAAAAGGCGGAGAATCCGATTTTTTAAAGCTTTACGCATAGGTTTCTATGCGTAAAGCTTAAAAAAAATCGGCGATAGCGTTTATGAAAGTGATTTTAATCAAAAATAACAAATTTTTTTGCCTTTTTACGGCCTGTTAGCTTTTAACGTTTTCACTTTAAGCCTTTCCCTCCGAGCGCCCCAGCCCGGCCATCGGAGTATCATCGGCTACGACAACTACACTTCTGCCTCAGTAAATGTGGAAGCGGGTTGTGATCTGCGCTAAGTGCGAAGACCGATCAAATCATTATTACTTTAAGCCTTTAACGTTTTCACTAACTTTTTATTTCTACTACGGATCACTTGAAAGCTCTAGCCGTTTATGTTCATCATCGAAAAGGAAACATATTTGTAGAGAAAAGGAACGAAATCTGTAGAGAAAAGGAAACAAAACTGTAGAGAAATAAAAACATATTTATTATGATGTTTTAGAGTCTCTTGGACTATTAATTTGATGCTATTTTGATGTTTTTTATGCATCGTTTAATTGTTATCGTTTATTGTTGTTGGTCATGTTATTTTTAAATAAATTATCAAAATTAAAAGCTGCTAATAAAAAAAATGAATTGTACATTGTAAAAGAGAAAAAAAACTTTGTTTTGCATCGGCGCTGTTTTGCATCGGCGCTGTTTTGATCGGCGCTATTTTGATCGGCGCTATTTTGATCGACGCTGTTTTGATCGGCGCTATTTTGATCGACGCTGTTTTGGGTGGCGCTGTTTTGATCGGCGCTATTTTGATCGGCGCTATTTTGATCGACGCTGTTTTGATCGGCGCTATTTTGATCGACGCTGTTTTGGGTGGCGCTGTTTTGATCGGCGCTATTTTGATCGGCGCTGTTTTGATCGGCGCTATTTTGATCGGCGCTATTTTGATCGGCGCTGTTTTGGGATAGACCCAAAGCATCGTTTAATTAATGCATTTGTTGATTTTAAACGAAAGTACGAAAATAAACGAAAAGAAACGAAAAGAAAACTTTCTAGCCAGCTTAATATAAAAAGTTAACATTTTAATCCTCAAAAGTTTTAGCATAGAGGATTTTGAAGATTTTAGGGTTTCAGCTGGGATTAGCCTCAATGGATTTGTCTAAGAGGCCAGATTGAGTGAGATGATAGGAAAGGAAATGGATGAGAATGGACATGAAAGGAGATGCGAATGGGCAAATGGAAATTATATTCAGTTAGAGTAAAGGATTCGCGTCAGGGAGGACAAAAATGAAACGAATATAACAATAACGATAACGGATAAAACAATGAAATGAAAATAACGATAAAACATAATCTTATATCCAAAATTCTCCTCAATATTCCAACTTTTCTGTATAACTTTTCCAGTGAATAGATTCTAATTGGAAAAAAATGAAAAAGATAATGAATCTAAAGGAAAACTTTCTGCTTCTTCACGGAATATTGATTCATTTTTGGTCTTTTACTCAAGAAAGACAAAAAATTATAATGAAAGAGCAAAAAATGGAAAGAGTCGAGGGAAATTGGTCTCTGAGAATAGAATTATTCGTGAAATCAGGGAAATGGGATTTTTGAAGGAAACAAGCGAGCAATGAAACAAGGCAATTGGATCTCTAGGTGAAAAGTGGCAACAAGTTCAGATAAAAACAAATAAAGTGAGTAAGTAATCAAAAGAAGAGCGCCGTAAGCAAAAGAAGAGCGCCATAACCAAAAGAAGAGCGCCATAATCAAACGAAGAGCGCCATAATCAAAAGAAGAGCGCCATAATCAAAAGAAGAGCGCTGTAAGCAAAAGAAGAGCGCCATAAGCACAAGAAAAGCGCCGTAATCAAAAGAAGAGCGCTGTAAGCAAAAGAAGAGCGGCGTAAGCAAAAGAAGAGCGCCATAATCAAAAGAAGAGCGCCATAATCAAAAGAAGAGCGCCATAAGCAAAAGAAGAGCGCCATAATCAAAAGAAGAGCGCCATAATCAAAAGAAGAGCGCTGTAAGCAAAAGAAGAGCGCCATAATCAAAAGAAGAGCGCCATAATCAAAAGAAGAGCGCCATAATCAAAAGAAGAGCGCCATAAGCAAAGAGCGCCGCCAAGAAAGCGCCAATGCAAAAACGCTCAAAAGAGATTTTTGAGCCTCAATTTTTTTCGTTTTTCTTGATGTTTTTGCTGGTTTTTTATGTTTATTTACATTTTTTTTTGTTTTTAGGTAAAAGAATGACGAAGAATTCGAATTCGCCGTTGGTTTTGGCAGAAAACGACCGGTAAGTCAAGGTAAGCCGCATTTGCTCAAAAGAATTCTTTTTTTGTCATTCTCTCTATAGGAGCGTCGTGTAGTCTAAGTTTACACTCAAAGAACCGCTCTTATCTCGGCGCTCAGACATTTGTTTCAGCGCGCTTAGGTATCAAATTAAAGTAGAGAGAATGGGTGATTTTTTGAGATATAACACATATTTTTAGCATTAACCAGCGCTTAGAACAAAATGATTGAAAAATGATGAAAAATCGGCCTTTTTTGGCACTCTTCAATCATTTTGTTCTAAGCGCTGGTTAATGCTAAAAATATGTGTTATATCTCAAAAAATCACCCATTCTCTCTACTTTAATTTGATACCTAAGCGCGCTGAAACAAATGTCTGAGCGCCGAGATAAGAGCGGTTCTTTGAGTGTAAACTTCGACTACACGACGCTCCTATACTATTACAGCTTTTACGGTAGTCCCTTAATCGACGTTTTTTTGGTCGATTAACTACGAGTAATCCTCTTTACAACTCGAGTAAATAATAGAATATCATTACATTTGAAGGGAATTCTCCAACAAATCAGATAAATAGCTGAATTTATTTAAAAGGAGTCGTATTTAAAGCGGCGCTCGTGATTTTTACGCAAATTTTTTGTTTTTTCAAAGTACTTTTCGCAAAAGTACGGTAATTTTTCCTAAATTTACGTTTTAAAAAACGCATTACTCGTGAGGAAGACACTCTAAAAACATATTTAATCTAAAAGATTTACTATTGCAATTGCTTTTTCCTATCTAGGGTTCAAATAAATTCGATACGCTGCCAAAAAAAAAACGCACAAAGAAGCTTTTAGGGAGGAGAGTCCCTTTGTGAGAAAAGGGGAAAAGAAAAGGTCAAAAGAAGCTTTAAAAAGTGATCAATGGCAGGAGGGGAAGCTATAGAAAAGGGGCAAAAATGGGGAAATGAAAAAGAAGGAAAGAAAGAAAGGATATTGAGGGGAGGAGGGCAGCTCTCTCTAGCAGAGAGCGACCCATCCCCCTTATAAACAATGCATTTGTTTCATTTACAGCTCAAAATCTCATAGGGATTATTTTAGAAATAGTTAGACAAAGGTCTGGACTCTTTTTTTTGATCTAATACGGTTCCAATACGGTTCTTTTTTTGATCTAATATGGTTCCAATACGGTTCCGATACCGTTCCAATACGGTTCCAATACGGTTCCTATTTTGATCTAATATGGTTCCAATACGGTTCTTTTTTTGATCTAAAACGGTTCCAATACGGTTCCGATACGGTTCCAAAAAAGACACTAGATCTGAACACTAGATCAAAACTTCTTGTCATAAACAGGGATATTGACTTTTTAGCCTAGCTAGTCAGACTCAGTCAAAAGCCAGGTTCAGCCTTGGTTCTAGAGATTCTAGGGACTCAGCAAAGTCAAATCAGAGTTGCAGCAAAGTCAAATCAGAACTGGCAGTTGACTGGCTGTGGCTGGAGTGGCTTGGCTACACTACTAAGCACAACAATCCAAGCTAAAACTATGTACTAAAGGAATAGCCATGGGAACTGAATGGGAACTGAATGGGAATTGAATGGGAACTGAATGAGAACCATATGGGAAACATCAAAGAAAAACGAATGATTAGGAAAAACAAAATGAAATAAGAAAAATGATCGCTCAGTCATAGAAACTATTGCAAAGCGAGTGTTTGCTTTAGCGATCAATTTGGCAAGTGGCAAATTTCTAGAAAAACCTTTCTAGAAATTTCTAGAAAATCTAGAAATTTAAAGTTGCTATAAACATTTTTGATCAAGAATCAAAGGTTGATCTGCAAAAGATACACTTGTTATTTGCCCGTGACGAGAACCGGTTTGGAAGGGAATTTTTGAGTGGATCGAGGAATAGATTGAACAAATAGTTACTCCTCTTGGCCTTCGAAATTTAAATTCCAAGGAAGAAATGTAGAATTGGGAACAGGTAAGTCATTTTTTAGACTAAAGTTATCTACCTTGGGTGGGTTTTAACCTAGACTTTGCCTAGGAAAAGTCGAGAAATGGATATCAGACAAAAGATTCATTTGATAAGTAAATCAGTTGGATAAATATTTCTAGATGTTATAGCTGATTTGCTTTTTCGACGAATCGGCTTGGACTTGGTGCGAAGGCTAGCGGCTAGCGCCTCGCACTAAGTCATAGCAAACCGGCTACGACATATATATCAATTCGATTGAACGGTTATAGCTATAAAAAAAGTGATGATGGGGAGAACTGAGCACTCACCAGATGTGTGAGAAGAAAGGGGAAGGAAGGGTTGCCAGACAAAGACAAAGACACCAGCCTCTCCCCTTCTCTCTCTCCACTTCCCTCCATCACAACCAGTAAAGTGTGGTTAGAACTTTTTGCATAAATGCTACCAAAAAAGGTCTAGTGAATAGAAAAGAAGAAATTTCTAGAGAGAAACTGAGAAAAACTAAAGAACTCACCCCGTTGAGCAATTCTCGCAGATCTCCTCGTCATCGCCGGCCCATCTAAAGAAATGAATGATTGAAGTTTGATTGGAATTTTATTGACAAGTTTATAAAGCTAAAGCAGATTAAGCAGAAGCTTCAGCTAGAGAAGTGAAATTTTCTGAATGCTGAATACTGTAAGTACGGCTAACCTCAAATATTCGGCAGCTGCCAAATCATCATCTCTCATAATCGATTCAACATCTCCACTTCGACCCTGAAGATTCTAATTTGATATTTAGATAAAGATAACTAGATAAAGCAGTAACTTATCTATTGTTTTATTCGATAAATTTGTTTCTTCCTAAGTCTAAGCCTAAGTCTAAGTCTAAGCCTAAGCCTAAGCCTAAGGCTAAGCCTATGCCTAAGTCTAAGCTCCGAGAACTCGCTGAGATCCAAAAAATGGGGGTTCAGCCCAAACCCATATAGAATTAGTGCTAGGCGCTACCCGCTAGCCTTCGCACTAAGTCCAAGCCTAAGCTTTAGCACTTTCCCATGCAAAGAATGCTGAAAAATCCAATGCTATACAAAACATTGTTTTTCTCTCTCGATCAAATGATTCATCGATCAATTCTCTTATTTCCTTCTCTCATTTCCTTTTCTCATTTTTCTTTCTCAAACCTCGTTTGGTCGAATGACCGACAAGGGGACACGATAATAGGAAAGAGGCAGTTTGAATAAAGAAAAGGAATTGTAAATGAAATACGGTAGGGATAGCTGGGTAGTAGCTATCTACTGGACGATAGAGCCTGTTGATATGGATTAGTGTAAGTCAAAGCACAATTCAAAGTACTAGAAGTATGTAAATGAATACTGGAGATATTGCAGATCAAATTTAGTGAAGGAAGAACTTGACAGCTTTTGTTGCCACTATTCTGTAAGCAAGTAAGCTTTTCGAGTAGGAAAATATGGGAAATGGGTTTGAAAGGCAGGTTTTAAATGAGTACGAGTGTTGAATAGAAAGCAATGAATGGATTTGAGGTGAAAGGAAAGGAAGAGAAGGAAAGGAAGAGAAGGAAAGGAAGAAAAGGAAAGGAAGAAAAGGAAAGGAAGAAAAGAAAAGAGAAGAGAGAGAACAAAAATGGGATCGGCTTTGTTGTGATGGGAATTGGGGTTGGGAAAAACGGAAGCCTTTTGCAGGAGACTGGATTTTAGGGAAATTACGAGAAAAGAGAAAACGAGTGTGGAAAAATTGGTCAGAGATTTGAGATGCGAAGAGCAATATCGTGGTGTGCCTCATGCTCATCGTTAGACGTTAAAAATACACACTTTCCGGGACACCTAATTCTCTAATTTCTTCGTTTTTAACGATTGAACATAAGAAGAAAAAAGAAAATCTCATTTTTCCAAACCTCTCACCACTTTCAACGGGGCGAGCCGGCGAAAACGTCGACTCGAAACTCTTGAGTACATCGTTGAAGAGAAAATATTCAAAACCGTTCTACAGAACGTTAAAGAATAAAAATGTTCTACAGTAATAATATAGAATAGTGGCAATAAATTGAAACCACTTCAAAAGATTTGAACGGATGAGATGGACGAAAATAAATAGATGAACACCGAAAAAGTGTCATTCATCGATCAAGGGAAAGATGAGGGATTAGTTGGGGAAAGGATAACTGGGATAAGGCACGGGAAATGGTGAAAGTTAACACTTTTAAGTGAGGAGACATTAGAGGGGAGACTTTGAAAAGGCAACAGTTGTTGGGAGTTGAAAGGGGATAGGGAACTCGGGCTCATTGAGGGCTCTTGAAAGGCGAGTCTGAACACCTCCCACCACTCCTCATCCCCACACACGCCTGTCATCCGTTCTCATATTTTCCCTTCTTTTTCTATTTTTTAGACTCTTAGAACTAGACTAGAAACTTGACCTTAGTCCTTTGAAACTTTTATTAGGTTATTACCTAAATAACCGGACTTATTCACTAAAAATTGGTTACAAATGTTTACAAATGTTGAATGCATCAAATAAAGTACAAATAAAGTAATAAAGGAGCTATAAAGGAACCATAAAGGAACTAAATAAGAACTATAAAGGAACTATAAAGGAACTAAATAAGAACTATAAAGGAACTAAATAGGAACTATAAAAGAACTAAATAGGAACTATAAAGGAACTAAATAAGAACTATAAAGGAACTAAAAAGGAACTAAAAAGGAACTATAAAGGAACTAAAAAGGAACTATTAGGTTGATGCAAAAGTCTTTTTCATTTTTTTCGTACTTCTTTTGAAAAATAACAAAGTCATCAATTAACCTATGGTTTGCTCTAAATGAAAAGTGTTTATTGTTCAATTTCCCATCTTTTTAAGTCAATTTGGGTTCACTTTCAAGCAAATTCGAGAGTGAAAACGGGTTTTTCATAAAAATCTATAAAAACCTCTATAAAGAAATTGGCTGGATCAATTTCTCTGAAAATCTGAAAAAATATCTAACTTTTTGTGCTCTATCTTTTATTTATTAACATCAAGATTGGTTTCCTTAGCTAAAGCGTCTAAAATGCATCATCGAGCCGTCGCCTTTTTTGACTACCCGACTTCAGGCTCTCAAAAAAATCTAGACATAAGACATTTTAAACTCGTTTTAATGTCATTTTGCAGAAAAATAATTGGCCTTTCGAATGCAATAAACCGTTGTTCAATTGGTGCATTTGTTACTTTTTAACGGAAGTACGAAAAAAATGAAAAAGACTTTTGCATCAACCTAATAAATAGGAACTATAAAAGAACTAAATAGGAACTATAAAAGAACTAAATAAGAACTATAAAGGAACTAAATAAGAACTATAAAGGAACTATAAAGGAACTATAAAGGAACCATAAAGGAACTAAAAGGATAAAGGACAAACAACTTTCCGATGCACCATTGGAAAGATCTATATTTCCTCTGCAAAATGGTTGTTATCAATTTAGAAAAGCTTTCGTTTTTCGGGAGCGCAAAGGCGAGTAGACAAAATTGGCGAGAATCGACGGTTGGCAACTTTTCTGATGGGAACTGACACTAACTTTCTATGCCTAAGAATGATCAATCTCTATCACATTTTTGGGAAAATTTTCAGTAAAATCCAAAAAATTAAAATTAATACTTGTCAAAAAAACTTGCGACCTTTTCCGAGAAAATCCTGGGTTGGCACTTTAAAGCTTGGTAAAACTACCGTACTCCTCTTAATTTGCGCGAAATTTCATTTTTTTTTTCATTCTTCATTTAATTTTATTCTTTTTTGCGTTTTTTTCAACGTTTCAACGTTTTTTCAACCAAAAAGTGACAAAAACTAAAGCTAAACGCCATAAAAAATGGCAAAAAACCACTTAACTTAACATTAGTTAGCATCGATTTTGTTGAGTAGATCTGAAAGGAAGCAAGTGGGTCTAAATAAACTCTAAAAACGGGGGTGGGACAAATGCGACCTTTTTTTTTGCTGGAAAAGGCCTTAGGAAAGGTCGTAGAGCTTCAAAAATGTTTTCATAGAAGGGAATCGTATGCGTAGATTCCGAATTTCGACAAATTTGACGTGTCAGCGAGGTCTGATTTGTGGAAATTCGGAATCTACGCATACGAATCCCTCATATGGAAATATTTTCGAAGTTCTACGACCTTTCCTAAGGCCTTTTCCAACAAAAAAAAGGTCGCATTTGTCCCACCCCCTAAAAACAAAGCTTTCGCTAGAAAATGATAAAAACCACTTAACTTAACATTAGTTGGCATCGAGTTTGTTGAATAGATCTAGAAGGAACCAAGTGGGTCTAAATAAACTCTACAAACACAGCTTTCGCTATAGAAAATGATAAAAACTACTTAACTTAACATTAGCTGGCAACAAGTTCGTGGAGTAGATCTTCGGGAAGCAAGTGGGTTTAAATAAACTCTACAAACAAAGACTCCGCCATAAAAAAATGCTGTTAAAAACGTAACTTAGCTTTATCCTCTTTGTTTCCTGCAAACGCGACCACATCAGAAAAAAGCAAAAAGAATAAAATGAAATGAAAAAGAATGAAAAAAAGTGAAATTTTGCGCAAGTTAGGAGGGGTACGGTAGTTTTACCACGCTTTAAAGCGCCACCCCAGGATTTTCTCGGAAAAAGGTCGCAAGTGTCAAAAATGCTGTAAAGTCGGCGCTTTTCTATTTTTGTAAATTTTGGCAACTTTTTGTTTACAACGTAAGGCTCGAAGTCTATCTAAGCACTCTGGCTTGGCTATAACAGCTAAATAAATTAGATAAGCTTCATTTTAAGTCGAAATAGTTTTAAAATAAGGAAGTAGGTTAGTTCTTGAACTAAACCCTTGAACTTTTCAACTCAAGAGTTTGAGTTGAAAGGTGATAGAGCTGAATTGACCCCTTCTTTACCCTTTTGCCCCTCGACTTTGAAATTCATTGGCAACCGCATTGGCAAATAGATCAAGTTTTTGAGAAAATGACAAAGGCCACGAAACTGATTGTCCATTCTTTCTAATTGTTTCAATTTCGTTCTGCTTTAAAGTTTAAAGTAGAAATTTGACTGTGTTGACTCAAACACGGAAAAAAAGTGAAACCTCGGCTTGATGTTGTCGATCGAAAGAGGGAGGAGCAGAAATTTGAGCTTGAATAAATTGTGTCCAACTCAGCTGTTGAGCGATTCGGATATCACGAAGAAGACGGGAGGATGAAGAGGAATGAGTGGATGAGCGATGACGGCGAGAGGAGGAACGACGCATAATCCAGGGGCTTAGAGAGGCATTGTGGAGTGAGATGGCTGACAATGAGATGCAAATGTTTTGATATTGAAGTGGAAAACAAGAAATGCGGAATGGGGAATTGATTGAAGAAGAGAGAATTGATTTTGGTGAAGAAAGGTTAAAAAGATCAGATTGATTAATGTTATTGTTCACTTTTAGAGCTCAAAGATTGACAATGATTTGTAGAAGAAAGCTGGGTAATTGTGGCGCCATTTTCGGAATGATTCGAGGAACTTTGGGGCAAGTTTTTTTCTTCGAAAGTGCTTTTTCTAGGGCAGTTTTTTTGCGTAGATTACGAATTTCATAGTGGGAGCTTGGGAAAATGTGTTTTAAATCGACTTTCATGGTCCCGAAGTCGCCTGCTCTATAGTGTACTTCATTGTAATCTGTCAGGGATGACGTCTGTCTGTCTGTCTGTCTATCTGTCTATCTGTCTATCTGTCTATCTGTCTATCTGTCTGTCTGTCTTGTTTCTCTGTCTCTGTCTGTCTGCTGTCTGTCTTGTGTCTGTCTGTCTGTCTGTCTTTGTCTGTCTCTGTCTGTCTGTCTGTCTGTCTGTCTGTCTGTCTGTCTGTCTGTCTGTCTGTCTGTCTGTCTGTCTGTCTGTCTGTCTGTCTGTCTGTGTGCACTACTCCATCTACTAGTCGAGTGATTAACACGCGCATCGCTCAAACGAAAGTAAAAGAAAAGTAGCCGGTTTGACTCCTCTCGCCGCCAATTCTTTTGCCTTTTAAGATCTAATTTTGCTATTTTCATGTTCTGGACACACAATTCACCCAAAGAAAGTGTTTTTTGCAATTTTGAAAAAATCCTCTGAGGCCTTAAATGGACTCTTCTTATACAAGCCCGCAGTGAAGCACTAAAGACGGCAATTTCGGGACCGTTTAAAGTCGGTTTAAAACACATTTTCCCAAGCTCCCACTATGAAATTCGTAATCTACGCAAAAAACTGCCCTAGAAAAAGCATTTTTGAAGAAAAAAAAGTTGTACCCAAAGCTGATGTAAGTAGCTAGAAGATTTTAAGGAATGATTTATGCCAAAAGAGCTATAAAGCGCTGTAAATCAAGTCAAAAATCTGTTCAAAACAGCTTCTATTTTGATGAAAGAAGCTATTCAATCAATTACAACAAAAACTATCAAAACAAGCTCAAAGAGATAACTCTTTAGGGCAATAAAATGAGGGCCTTTACCCTTCAGGCAATGAAATCGACACAACTTGAAGGGGAGAGTAAAAGTAGAAAATAGGAAGTGAAGAGAAAGAGGTAGAAGAGGTGAGGAAGGTTGGAAAAGAAGGAAGGGGCATTTCCAATTCAGAGAGAATTCTTTTCTCCTTCTCTCAAAATATCTCTTCTTTCACAGGAAGCGATTTCGTCGTCGCGTTTCAGAGAATGCATAATGTTAACAGAGGAATTGAGAGGAGGTGAAGCTTATGAATTAACGAGAATATTCTGATGATGAGTTAAGTGAACTGGCTACAGTTTGGATAGTTGAAGACTTGGCTTTTCTTGGCTTAACTAGAGGCTTGGCTTGGCTTGGCTTAACTAGAGGCTTGGCTTGGCTTAACTGGAGGCTTGGCTTGGCTTAACTAGAGGCTTGGCTTGGCTTGGCTTAACTAGAGGTTTGGCTTGGCTTGGCTTTTCTTAGCTTAACTAGAGGCTTGGCTTTGCTTTGCTTGGCTACTGTAATAGATTTGATTATCTCTAGATTATCCAAGTTACAATAGTTTCTAAAATGTTTCAAAGCTATAATAATCTTGCTTCTAGTCTTTATCTAATCCATAATCCAAGCTAGTTTGTTTTAAAGGCTTGATTCAGTTTGAGATTTGTTTCTTGACTTGGCTACTTTGTTTCTTTCTTTCACTTAAATGCTTATAAAAATTTAAAAAAGAAACAAATCAATAAATGGTCTTCGCTACTGTGTTCCGATTGAGCTTTCGAAACAGGCCTAAACTCGTTAAGATTGGTTAAGTTTGAGGCCATCCCCCAGCAAATCCGTCGTCTTATTAACCAGTCTAATAGATTTGTTTAGACGCCTAAATTCCCAAATTTTAACACAATCTTTTCTTTTATTTTTTCCAGACATCAGTCAACATTTTTTTTTCTCTTTCAAGATTAATTCAGAATTCAATTGACTATGAATGCAAATCAACGAGAGAATAAAAAAGGAGGGATAAGGAGAGAAATAAAGAGAGTGAAGAGGGGAAAGAATGAGAAGAATAGGAAGAATGGGAAGAATGGGAAGAAAAGAGGGGAAAGAAAAGGAAGAATGGGGGAAAAGAGAACTTGTGATGAAATGAACTTGTGAAATGAGATAATACAATCTAGGATTTGATAGGTAATGATGGGAATTGGATTAGTGAAATAAAGAATTGGGATTTGGTACGAGAGACGGGACCCTAGACAGATTAGTTTCTAAAAAAGTGAGCCTGGAAAAGTTACTTGGCTTTTTTAAAGGGTAAACTGGCTGGATTACGGTAACTTTTCGTCAGCGCATCTTTTAGAAAATATACTCAATACGCAAATCTACTCAACTCATAAAAAAAGATACTCAAACTCTACGGAGAACAGTTTACTGTAAGTTAGAGAACAGTTTACTGTAAGTTGGGCTACAGTTGACATAGAAATCCGGCTCAAAACAAGTGAGATGAGTTTTCGGAAAGACAAAAACCCATCAATCGACCCTTTTGCAAATATCCAAGACATAGTCCCATATGGGAATTCGTGTCGAACTTGAGGAAATGTCAAGTATGCGGTGAATGGATAGGGGAAAGAAGGGGACAGCCGGACAGCCGCACATTCAAGACCCACACATTTATTAGAGATCGACTCCTCCCTTTTCTCCTCTCTTCTACCCCTTCCCAAGAGGTGTCAAGGGGAAAACATTTTATCACACGAAAGGGTCTCTAGAAAGAAAAAACGGGACAAATTTTTGCCCCACCTTGAGTCATGAAAGTAAATCAATGAGGGCTAATTGGGATCGAATAGAAATCGAATGGAAAGATTATTTGGTGTTCCTCTTGGTCAAAGGCTTTGTAGAAGCTGGGAAAAGCTAGCGTAACCCTTAAATTTTACCGTGACTCTCTGTGCTGATACTCAGAATTACTTTTAAAGACTAAGACCTCACTATCAGTTACAATTGGATCCAAAACAATGGTCAATTTGCAATTTGCAGAAAAATGCTGCGGTTTATAATGCGTTTTTTCGGATCACTATAGCAAAGCTATATGTATAAAGCGATTTTCATTTGAAAAATTCATTATTTTACTTAACCCCGAGAACTCTGCTTTTAGCTTTTAGTTGTTGACTCGATTTTCCTTTTATTTTTAAAGTTAGCCCTATATTGAACCTCTTCACCAACCTGTTGAAACAAATGTTCGCGACCCGAATTGATAAATTCCATATTTTGTTGCTTGAGTTAAACTCAAAATAGCATAATCCACCTGAAATTTATGATTGTTTATACTTTAATCGAATATAATATCGAAAAGATTTCTTGCTCAACATAAAAAAATAGTTGATCTTTGCGGCCTCTGTGTGAACGCTCCTTTCTGTGCACGGGTAGCACACGAAATTTACCGTATCATCGCGTATTTCATAGGGTTTAGGGTTTCTAGAAAATTGTTGAATTTCTAGGGCTTCTAGAAAATTGTTGAATTGTTGAAAAGAAAATTGTTGCGCTTTCGGATTTATTTTTTTGAAATTTGTTTATGTTTGTTATTTGTTATTGAAATGATTGATGATGTTATCTTTTTTCAGGCTTGGAAGCGGTTCTACGATGACGATCGATGAGGAGACGCTTGTTCAATGCTACAACAAAGGATGCGGCATCAAATTCGACCCAAAGGCAAATGGATCTGGTGCGTGGATTTGGTAACAGTAATAGAAAAAGAGGGGTATTGCTCTAACTTTACTGCCTTTTATAGTTAAACGTATGCTAAAATGACATACGACTAGATTTGTTTATTGATATTATCGATACAAACGGCAAGCTCATGTTTGACCGTTCAGATCCCAGTTTCTAGAACAGCTATCAATCTGAAAATTGTTTCATTGAAAACCCAAGAATGTCAGCTTTTGATTGCTATCTCACACAGAGCAAATTCTCATAGGTGAGTGCCTTAAAAAGCTTATCCATACTTATTGATACTCGAATATCGATAAGGTTTATGAGGTGCTTGCTCATTAAAAGTCGCTATATATAAAATAGCAATCAAAAGCTGACATTCTCGACTTTCCAATGAAACAATTTTCAGATTGATAGCTGTTCTAGAGACTGAGATCTCAACGGTCAAACATGAGCATTTGTATCGATAAGCATGAAGCAATCAATACTTGTAAAGCTTTCTCTTGTCATACTAGAACGTTGTAACGCTATGTGGAAAGCGGGACTTTAAGTACTAATAAACTAATCTTATTTAGTTACAAATCTTCGAGGGGGAGCACTTTGACCGGACTTAGTCAAATTGTATTTTTTTGACTGGTTTACCAAAGTTATTTTACTTTTTGTGGTGTAATCAAATCTATTGCTAATATTTTTAGAAAGTTTTGAACCATTTTTATCGATATTTTGTTGAGCTAGCTCTAGTTTAACCTCTACGGTGTTGCTAAGCTTGAAAATAAAGAGAGGAGCAAAATACAAAGTGAAAACTTGTTCAAAACGCCCGTCAATCGATTAAGCGTATTTGATTACCCCAGCAAATGCAAAATCAGACTAGAAAAACACGCGTAAAATGGGGCCTGACCAAGTCAGGTCAAAGTATATCGGATTTTATGCAAACAAGATACTTATCCTTGTAAAAAAATATCCGTATTTGATTCGAAAGGAATTCATTTTGACTCTATAATTTTCTTTATGTTTAGATTCGTGTATCTACCATCCCGGGCCTCCTTACTTTCACGACGCGTACAAAATTTGGAATTGTTGCAATAAGAAGAGCACCGACTTTGGCACATGGCTTAGCTTTAAGGTTGAGTTGTTGGCATTGTAAAAAATAACAAATTTTGAATTTTAGGGTTGTACAAAAGGCCCGCATAATCCGGAAAAGCCGGAAGATATTGTGCGCATTGCGTCAGTTAAAGAAATACGACCGGAAAAGGTAACTTTTGAAAATAATATACAACTATGAAGCTCATTTTTAGGAAGAAGAAGTGATTGTCTGGAATGGTCTCAATAAGCCAGCGGAACGGAGTCGACAAGCGGGAAATGTGATTCTTCTCGGAATTGAAACGACTTCCGGAGCTCGAGCTGCCATTGAACGTTTTCAGGTATGGAAATTTTTATTTTAGCCAAGCTTCTTGCTAGAAACCGTATAATAGACAAGTTTAGGCACAAAGCGGCGCTTCATCCGAAGAAGGTAAACTGCAAATTGGTACACCCTGTCAAAATTCCGGATGTGATAAGGTCAAGTTTGCAAAGAACCCTGAAAAGCGACGCACATTGATTTAGACATTTGCTGGCCCGGATTCGGAGCTATCCGAGTGTGTTTATCACCCAGGTACGACACTTTAACTTTTTATTCAAATATTAAATTTAGGTGTGGCCATTTTTCACGAAGGGATGAAGTATTGGAGTTGCTGCCAAAAGAAAACAAGTGATTTTGGAGCCTTCTTGGAACAGAAAGGTTGTGAACACGGGAAACACAATTGGACAAAGGTTTGAAACAAAGTTATTCTTACGATTCTTTTAGAATGAGAAAGTTGACAAGCTTCGAGAAGATTGGTTTTCAAGCAATGGATCGATTACAGTCAACGTCTATTGTAAGGTACCTTTTAAAACATTAATCTTAAAGCTACTGCATCATTCAGGGAGCAATGCCCGAAAACATTCGAGCCGAAACGGACGGACTTAACCTGCGGGTGGTGCTCGTTCACGGCTTCGGGACTAAGCAATCGACTCTCAACTATGAGCTTTTTGGGGAAATCATTGCAGCTGAAAGCCTTGTTCGGGTTGGAGAGAGAAAGGTTGGTTTTGGTGGATAAAATTTGGCTCGTTTGGAAATTTAGTAAATAGGTTTTTGTTTTTGACATCGAAAAAACACTATTTTTATCTCTGAAAAAACACATTTTTAGGTAGAGCTGATTTTGAAGCAGAAAGATGTGGTCAGCTGGCCTCGACTGCGTTACGAACTCCAGGCCAAGGATGAAAAAGAAATCGACGCTTGAACCAAGAACATTCCCCATTTTGCACACACCCAAATGTCATTCATTTTTAGACGTTTTAGAATCTTTTGTTTGTGTTTTACTGAATCTCGTAGTCATTTGTTAAGATTGTTTGTTATGCTCCTTGTGTACGGATTAGCTTTATGAATGCTTGTGTACTATCTTAAATAAACTTTTTTATTAAAAGAAACCTTTGCCTTTACGTAAAATGCGGATATTACCTTGTATGTAAAGGAAATGTAAAGGTTTTCCGGAGGTTCTGACTTACATATGATTTCAGGCAATCAATTGTGCCAAGCGACTTTGTGTGTGATGGTGAGTTTCTTTGATTGTACTCCTTTAACTTTATATTGGGTAGAGAGCAATAAGTGATACGTTTAAACAAACCTTTTGTTGACAATTGACAATTCAGTCAGATTTTTAGGGTTCACGGTTAGAGGCAAAAATCGAGAAATGTTTGGAAGTCGGGGAGTTCTACGAGGCGCACCAAATCTACCGGACGCTCTACTATCGGCTCTCAAACGCAAAGAAATACGAGGAACTTCTGAGTTTGTTGGCTAATGGCACCGAAAACATGATGAAAGGTTCGTTTTGATGAACTATGCTAGTTTTAACTTTAATTTAGCAAATCAGGCAACAAGTGCAATCGATTTGGCCGAGCTTTACGCGGATTCACTTCTTGTATCAAAGGCAACGGCAGGAGAAACAACACTTTCAACTATTGCAAAGGTTTTCATTATTGAGGATATAATCTTATGTTTTTTAGATTTTCTCTATTTTGCCTTCTCATTTTGGTGATAGTGATGGTGAAAAGCATCCACAGGAAGACAAGAGGACGAAATTTGTTTCGAAGCTGATTACTTGGTTTGCTTTACTAAAGTAGAAAAAATGAATTGCTTTTTAGGTCTCAAAGCATTGCAACAACAAAGTGGGAAACGAAAAGAGGACTAACGGCTCTACACGCACGTCTTGGTGCAGTTCTACGCAATGAAGGATCCCTCGAAGCTGCCAGGAAGCATTATCTACTTGCTGACAAACCTGAGGTGCGTTAGAATCAAATGGTTATCTGCATCCTTTCAATGTTTCAACTGATATTAAAGGCTATTTAGGAAATGGCTTCATTGGTAGTACAACTGCAAACGACTGAGGGTTACTCATCGGAAATCGATCTCTTCCCTGTTTTGGTTGCATTCCAGGTAGCTTAAAGAGTATTTTTTTTAAATCTCGTGAATTTAGTTGATTTGTCTTCGACGAGTACGTGTTGCGGGTCTTTTCCTCTCTGAATATTGCAGAATTCATCCAAAGATCGCGTCTACCGCTCAACCATATCCATTCCCGTTGTTGAACTATGCTACATTCCTTATTCAGGCTATTCCTAAGCACAACGTGAGTTTTACACACCTGTATAAGATTTAAGAAGATTGTGTTTAAAATGAAATTTGGTTTTAGACGTCACACTTCGCAATACTCCTCGAGAAATACGAGCCAGCAATTATGAGTGAACCCGGCTTCCGGCTATATATTGACAAGGTTTGCGATTTCACTTGAGCTAAACAAATCAATTTTAGATCGGTCAAATGTACTTTGGTCTGCCACCTCCTCGTGCAGCTGGTCCCGGTGGCCTTTTAGGCAATTTGTTTAAAGGTAATTTAGTAACTCACAGTAGATCTATTTAATTTTAGGACTCCTCGGCGAACCAGCTGAGAAGAAAGACGATTCGGAAGATGAGGATGAGTATTGTGCTGAACCAATGGAGGAGGATGAGTGAGTTTTTGAAAAATCTTAACAAATAGGTATAACGAATTGAACTAAAGCTTCTCAAAACGATAAAATCAATTTAGTTATGACACAGCACCAGAAGATGAATCAAAGACCGTCCAAAAGTCATCGACTTCTCGAAAGCCGCCACCAAGTGCAGCCTCAAAGATGCAAGACAACTACGATGACCTCGATTAAATTGTAAACTTATGTGTATGATTTTCGTCATTTGCTTGATTTTCCAGTTAATGTCGTTTTAGAATCATTTGGTCTCTTTTCTGTGCTTTTCCCGTTGTGATAGCTAGCTTCATGTAAATCTGTGGGTGTTTTACGTCTGATGTATTGGATTCTATAAATGTTTGTTGAGTGACAATAAATTTTATCGTTTGTATGAGGAAACATTTTTGTATCTTTCACACATCTTACACATACATTATTGAAGTTTTATAAGCGACTAAAGCTAAAGTGGGGCTAAGAAAGGATTTTTGCATAAAGTCTACATTTGCATAAACCAGCATTTTGTTTGGGAAAAGTGAAAAGCAATTATTACTTTGGGGATAACGGGGTTTTGATGTCATTTACACATTTAAAGTTTTAACTTGAACTTGTTTGTCGATTTTCAGTAGCTAGAGCATATGCAACTCCGAATTGAAATTTTTTTATGATTAATCTTTACTTGCATTTTGATTTATTCATCAAACATCTTGTATCAAATCTAATTTTTAGTCGAGAAATGACGTCGGATGAATCGGTGCCGAAGCCCCGCTTTCAAAAAGGAGACATGATTGCCGGATGGAAGGTTTGTTTTGCTTGAATTCTGGATTTAAACTTGAAGTTTCTTATTTAGGTGGTGCAAAAGCTGGGCGAAGGTGGATTCGGCATGGTGGTGGAGGTAAATTTGATTTGAGTTTATGTTTGAAAGATATGATACATCACAATTTTAGTTTTTTTTTTTAAAATTTAGGTGGTAAATCGCCATGGACTACATGCCGCTTGTAAGGCCGAATTTTACACGGGTCGACGCGATAATCAACTGATCAAGAAAGAGGTAAGGATGAATTTGTTTACTAGCTTTGAATGGTTTCATGTTTAATTTTTTAGGTACCCATCTTGCGTCTGATGCAATGGTCGAAACACTTTTGCAAGATTCATCTCGCTGGACAGGTGAGTTTCTGCATTTCTGCACTTTTAAAAATGTATATTTTATTCAGACAACAACTGATGTCAATGAAAGCCTCAACGTGATTGTAATGACTCTTGTTGGAGAGCCGCTCTCAAGGTTTTTGCATCTTAACTACTCTGTGCATTGTTTTCTTTAGGATTCGACGCCAATGTCCATCGCAAGCTTTCACTCGATCAACAGCGGTTCGCCTCCTCAAACAATGCCTCGAAGTAGGATCCTTATTTAAATTAGTTTAATAGAATTTTAGGCCATTCGAGATCTACACTACACTGGTTATCTTCATCGTATGTTTTTCACTCAAAAATAAAAACCCACATGCACAACTTTGTAAAGATATATTTTTTGTTGATTTTGCAAATGTAAAGATCTATTGTGATATTAAGCAAATTAAGCAAAGATTCCTTTTTTTTCACATGACTTATCTTGTTGTGCATGTGGTTGGTTAAATGGAAATATTATTTGTTATGCGGAAATATGAGGTTAAATGGAAATAAATTTTAGGTGACGTTAAGGTATGTTTATTCGTGACGTTAGGGTATGTTTATTTGTGATGTTAAAGTGTGTTTATTCGGAACGTTATGGTATTTTAATTCAAATTGTCAGTTTTTTAATGGCAAACTTTGATTTTAGGGAGGAAACTTTGCTTGGCATGAGGAATCACGCACAGTCTATTTAATTGATATGGGATTTGTGCGACAATATGTAAGAGTTTTTTGCTATCAATCTACTTTAGGTTTTTTTAGATTGTTTGGAAGGACGAGGAAAAGACGGAAGTGATCAAACGCCCAATTCGCAAGAAGGCTCATTTCCTTGGTGAGGTTTAACATTGAATTCTGTTTCAAATCTTTATTTAGGTACATCCCGTTATGTGTCGTTGAATGTCCATTTGAGAAAGGATCAGGGTCGTCGTGATGATTTGTGGGGACTCGTTTATTTGTTTGTCGAATTTATCAAGGTAAGAAGTTTCTGATGAAGCTGAGACACAAATCTTTGCTATTTAGGGAAAGCTTCCATGGCACGATGATAACGACCGAGTGACCACCGAGAAGAAGGCAAAAATTGGATCTAAGCTTTTGAAAGGTTTGGTTTTTAACGAATACTGTATTTAACTTTTTAATCTAGGATGTCCAGTCGAAATGTACAAGTTCTACGATCATGTGCGCTGTTTGGGAGTTGAGGACAAGCCGAATTATGATTTGCTGATGAACATTCTCGAAAAAGTAAGGTTTTTAGCGAATTCTTTTGAAATCTATTTGTTTAGATTTGTGCTCGATGTGATTATCGTGATGAAGATCGATTGGACTTTGAGCGAGGAGGCCGGTGAGTGCTTTTTATGTATATTTGACTTTAAAAAGTGGTAATCATATGATTGAAATTTTTTAGTTACTATGAATACATTATGGATAACAAAGAGAACATTTCGAATAGCCATGAGACGACGAGTATCACTGGCAAGGGTGCCCAGAAATACGATGACGAGAGTGATGAGAACAATGAGGAGACTTCGGGTATGTTTCTTATCAGTTTTCTTGAAGAATAGGTTAATCCGCTTTTCTTTTTTTTGTAGGTTTAAGTTCAAATTGTTTGAAGTTCTGCCAAATTCTTTCAATTCAATTGACCCTCAATCAATTAATCAACTAAATTTCATTGTTTAGTCACCGATTCGGGCACTACTGAAGAAAGCGATGCCGAGGAGTCGACAAACTAATCGATCAATTACAGAAGAATTTTTTGGCTCTTTAAACCACCTCTGTTTTATTGCGACAATTTCATCGTACTAACATGACTTAATATGTGCATTTTTCCTTTTGCTAATTCGGGTGAATAAACGGGTTTCAGATTATCACGAATTGTGAAATGCGGTTGATCATAAAATACCTCCAAAGTTTCCTAGAAAACCACTCAAAATCGTTTCATTTTGCAATTTTGGCAAAATTGCTTTCATTGCAAAGCATATTGCAATGCTTTTCCCCTTTTCTATGGGCGCTTTGTAGAAAAATAGTGACCGTTTTCCCGGGCGTTCCCCCCGTTTCCTCCCTCTCGCCGCGTGTTATCGACTTTTTCGGGCGACTCTCAAAAGGCCTTTCCTCGGCGGGGAGAAATGTGAGCAGGTGGCCGAGTGGTTAAGGCGTTAGACTGCTATCGAGAGAGGCAGACATCTAATGGGGTTTCCCCGCGTGAGTTCGAATCTCATCCTGCTCGAAATTTTTTGCAATTTTTTGTGAAAATTTCTCGATTTATACAATTTACCATGGGCTTTCTTCTGGGAAAGTTTATTTTGAGAAAATTTAGCTTTAGCTATTTTTATACTCATCAATCTAAAGGTTTCCCTCCCCCGTGTGAGTTCGAATCCCGAATCTGCTCGAAATTTCTTGCTTTTTTTGAAAAATATTGTAAATTTTATAAAGTTTTACATGAGCTTTCGTTTGGGAAGTTTTCAAAAAAAAAGAAATTTATACTCAAAGCTTCAATTTTTGCTTAGCCACTCGTTGTTTGAGCATTCGAGCAATCACTTTTTGACGAAAAGCCGCACTGAAAGTTGGGATTTGAGTTGAATTTACTCTTAAATAGAGATTAAAAGTTGGAGAAATTTTTCTTACCGATTTACGTATGAATCACTCGATGCTCCAAGCTGGGTGATTGTACTTGGTGGTGGGGAAAGGGAAAGACTAAAACTTCTTAGAGGTAAAAGTCGAACTTATTAAAAAAACCCATAATTCCCTTGATTCGTCGTTTGCGGATAGATTGCGGCTTGTTGAGAGACATCAAATGGATTCGGTTGTTGAGATGGATACGTGGGAAATTGCTGAAATTATTCAAAGGATAAGGTTTAGAATGAAAAGTTCAATTCTTCACCTGATTGTTGGCTGTCTGATAGACTTGCTGAACGCCGGCTGAAGGCTTTGCCGGACATTTCATGCAATATTCACCGTCTTGACCTGGTTGACCGGGATGGCCTGGCTAAAAGATTTGTCGATTCGTTAACCCACAAGGGATGATCAACAGACCCAGCTCACCAAATGAAATGAGCTTTGCCTCGTGAACTAGTCGACTACCACTCGGTCACTACTGCTCCCGAAAACCTCTGGGAAATTGGAACCATATTGGAACCGTATCTGAACCATGTTGGAACCATATTGGAACCATATTGGAACCATATTGGAACCATATTGGAACCGTATCTGAACCATATTGGAACCGTATCTGAACCATATTGGAAACATATTGGAACCGTATCTAAACCATATTGGAACCATATTGGAACCATATTGGAAGCGTATCTGAACCATATTGGAAACATATTGGAACCGTATCTGAACCATATTGGAACCATATTGGAACCATACTTGTAAACTCGAGGGATAGTGGCCGGCTAGAATCTGCTGGTAATTTTAAAAATACCATACAAAAATTTGAGCGCTTATAACTTTCGATAAATCGACAAAACGAAGTCTAGATTCGGAATCAGCGTCAAATTCTGCGTCGGATGGTCTATAGCTCGTTTCATTTGGTGAGCTGCAGCTAGCTGCGTCTGTTAACAATCCCTTGTCAGTATTTTTCAGTAATCCTGGTCACTCACCAATCCCTGTGCCCCGGGAATGCCGTTTTGTCCCCGACTCCCTGGTGGCCCCATCAAACCGCTTCTTCCCGGACGACCCGTTGGACCTTGCACACCTAAATTTGCATATTTTCCGTAGAAAGCATCTCAAGCTTGACGCGCTTTAGGCTTTAAGCTACTTTAAGCTGTTACTGTAAGCCTAAAGAAAAAGAAAGAACTTTAAGAAAAACAGCAATGCTGGGCATAATGTTCTTTCGGAAACAACAATTTCAACCAACCTGGTGGCCCAGTATCCCCGTCAGGCCCACACGGTCCAGGTCCACCGGGTAGACCGGGTGTTCCACAAATTTGCATCTGATTTCGTCCCCGGAGACCTGATTGACCTGGCTGCCCGGGAGTGCCTAAATGATTCGAGTGCCACAGTATGAAAGCTCTGTCTCACCGCGTTCTCCACGATCTCCACATTCACCCGGTGCTCCAGGCCTGGGACCTTGTCCCGGTAGACCTGAGCTACCTGGCCGACCGTTTATTCCCTGAATTCTTTATTGCTGCTTTATCCTGGATGCAATACTTACAGGGATCCCACAGGGTCCAGGCTCTCCGGGAGGACCCGGTGGACCACATGGACAAACGATACATCCAGGGATTTCATAATGTTCTAATGGTAAAGCGATCCCGTCAGCTCCACGGACACCCGGTTGACCGGGAAAACCCATTTCTGAAATGGGAACATAGAAATCCAGTTTTCTGTTAAGAAACCTCCTGGTTCTCCAGGATACCCTGCTGGTCCGGGTGGTCCGGGCGGACAATTCGAAGATTTTTGGCCACAATCTAAAGAATAACTTTGAGACTTTTTTTTGTTATAGTCACTACCATCTTTTTACTTTAAATACAATCTCAAATTCTTCAAAATGTTCTAAATCTTTGAAAAAGCTCAAATTCATCAATATAGTCTTTTTGGTAACGCTTTTATACATTTTAGACTTTGTTTTATGCATCTTGTATGCAGCTTGTATGCATCTTGTATGTAAACTTTGTTTAGCATAGATGTTTAGCATGTTTAGCATAGAATAGCATAGATGCAGGTAGTGACTATAACAGGAAAGTATCATAACCTTTCTATTAGTGAAAAGGCACTTAAACCACTCACTGCATTGATCTGAAGTGAGCTGAAAGTTTTGTGCTTGTTGATAGACGGGTTGTTGATTTGGAAAGATTTGCTGTGGCATGTAGTTCACGGAATTTTGATAACCATCGAATGCACCGGCCTAAAGGAGTGCAATTCGTTGATCGAGAAGGAGACAAATCTTCTCACTTGTGGATAATATTGTTTTCTGGTCCTTTTCCTTTCCTCCATCTGTTCTCGTAGAATTTTGTCGACAAATGTTGATCGAGAAGTGCGTGGCGCCAACTCTTGCATCCCATCCCAAGCAAGTTTTGAGAATTTCTGTAAAGAACAGATTAGATTAGATTAGATTAGATTAGATTAGATTAGATTAGATCAGCTTCGATCAGCTTCGATCAGCTTCACTTCTTGTTCTAAGAAGTGAAGCTGATCTACTTCTTGTTCACTTCTTGTTCTAAAATTTACCTCAAACTCTTCAATTTCCATCATGCTTTTATCGTGTAGATGTTGAATGTCGAGGAAAAGACGAATGAGAAGAAAGATTGAAGAGATGAGAAGAAATGTGGAACAGATCAGGGAAATGAAAGCAGTTAGATGAAGAGATCGATAGGAATGATAGGGAAATGATCGATGAAGCATTTGGAGCTGAAATTAGATGTGAATGAGGTTTGAAGATGAGTGGCTTAACAGACAATTCAAAACCTATTCTACAGGGTTCGTCATAATTATGGGTCTGCGGGTGTCAGCTTTATTTGTGACCATTTAGTGCCATCCATACGTTGTTATTTTATATCTTTTACATTTTTCATCTTTACTTTTTTATTTGATATAATTTCTAAGATTATAGTGTTTTTTTAGAGATGGTCAACGGAGTGTTCATCGGATTTGCATCAACGATTATAGCGTTGCATCGACGGAGAGATTGACGGGGACATTGACGAGGACATTGACGGGGACATGGACGGGGACATTGACGGGAACACTGACGGGGAAATCGATGGGGACATCAATGGGGACATTGACGGGGACATTGACGGGAACATTGACGGGGACTTTCAATTTCTCAAAATTCAAGAGTTTCTACGCGGCTTGTGAACAAGACGATTAAACGCTTCAAGAATTGAGAACAAATGCTGATAGAGCTGATCGAGGAAAATATTCTGTAGTGATTCAGTCCAACGTCAAAAAAGTGCGAGAGGTTGCGTCGTAACTCGAAACAATCAGCTCATGTCACACCAAATGGGAATTGCTGAGCCTTCCTTGCATCGAATTGTGCGGCGCGAACACAAGATGAAAGCTTCCAAAAAGAACAAATGTCAAGGGCTCACTGAAGCCGCCAAAAAAAGAAAAGAGCGATGTGAGAACTTTCTCAGGCGATTCAACCAACGCGACTGTCGTGAGATTTTGTTCTCAGATGAAAAATTATTCAACGTTCAACAAGTGCTAAAGCAGAATGACCGAATTTATGTCATTTCCAACCCATACAAATCGATTCGTTCCTCATCCAGCTTCAGTCATGGTGTGGGCAGGGATCACGGTTGATGGAAAGATGGCCGACGATGGCCGATGGAAAGTCTTCGTCCCATCAGGAATCAACAGGCAAGCATATTTGCACATTTTGCGACAAGACATTTTACACTGGGCTCAATCTCATTTTGAACAACGTAGCTGGGCATTTCAGCAAGATGAAGCACTCACAAATCTTGAATGGTTGAGGATTGGTGTGAGCAGAACCTCCCGATTTCATCTCATACAACGAGTGGCCTCCAAGCTCGCCGGATCTCAATCAGCTTGATTTTTCAGTCTGGTCAATCTTAGAAGCTAAGGCATGTGCTAAACCATATCGAACAGTTGACTCGTTAAAGAAAGCGCTCCTTAAAGCGCTTGTTAAAGAAAGCGTTAAAGAAAGCATGGGACGAGCTAGAAGTGGCCTACTTACGTGCCACAGTTGACGCAAAATCCACAGCCTTCCAACTAATTTATTTGGGCCCATAATTACGCATCTCGTACTTTACTAGTTTAGTACTACTAGTTTACTAGTTGCGCAACTTCAATGACACTAGGTAAGCATTTCAAAACGATTTTACAATAGCTTAAAATGAACAAAATACAAATAATAAAAAGACAAGTAAATAGAAAGATAGTTTCTATGTTTTTCCTTTTCCTTTCCTTTCCTTTCCTTTATTTCTGTCTTGTAAAGTACTTGTAAGTGACCTCATTTTCGGGAAATGAAATGAAATGAAGAGAAGAAAATTGTCTTGAAAAATTCTTGCAAAAGAAAATTGAGTCGAAAAATTCTTGCTTTACGTTTCTCAGCTTTAAAATGAAAAAGATTTTTCAATGAAACAGGTTCAATTGCTTGGTCAATTGCTTGCTCAATTGCTTGCTCAATTGCTTGTTCAACTGCTTGTTCAGCTGCTTGTTTAATTGCTTGTTCAACTGCTTGTTGAATTGCTGGTTGAATTGCTGGTTCAACTGCTTGTCCAACTGCTTGGTCAATTACTGGTTCAACTGCTTGTCCAACTGCTTGGTCAATTGCTGGTTCAACTGCTTGGTCAATTACTGGTTCAACTGCTTGGTCAATTGCTGGTTCAACTGCTTGGTCAATTACTGGTTCAACTGCTTGTCCAACTGCTTGGTCAATTACTGGTTCAACTGCTTGGTCAATTGCTGGTTCAATTGCTGGTTCAATTGCTTGTTCAGCTGCTGGTTCAGTGCTTGTTTAATTGCTTGCTTAATTGCTGGTTCAGCTGCTTGTTCAATTGCTTGTTCAGCTGCTGGTTCAACTGCTTGTTCAATTGCAAAAGTTCAATTGTATTTTTTATGTTAAAATTTAATCTTTTTTTTGTCACAAAATTCACACATAATATGCCTAGTTGAACAGCTAAATTCAAAAGAGAAAACAAGAGAAAAAAGACAAGCAGAAAAAAGAAAAAGACAGAAAAATTCTCGAATCACCAGGGTTTTTTTGTGTGGGGATCAAAAGAAAATATAAATCTAAAGACAAATTCGAATATAAAAGCTACAAAAAGTTTCGATTTTCTTCGAAAAAAAGAGACAACCGGTTCAAGACAATATTTGTTCCTTTTCATAGAGCAAATAAGGGAAAAGCGAAAGGGAAAAGGGATCATTTACATATGAAATTTGAAATGGATTACTTTTTATTTTTATTTTTACAATACTTCACAAATTTCCATATTAATCTCTCGAATCTCGAATCAAAATTTGAGCAAAATCAGAAAGAATAAGAAAAATATCTAGATATTTACAGGATTTTGAAGAAAAATCGAATACTTTTATCTACAAACGTTCGGATTTTCTTTTCTGAAAAAAAACTGATCTTTCTACAAATTCTTTCAAAAATCTATCAGATTTTTATTTCAAAATCTCATTTTTTAAATGGCACATGTAAAAATTCGAAGTGAAATCGCGATGAAAGCAGTTTTTAGTGAAATAAATGAATATATGAATAAATGAATAAAGGAATAAATGAATAGAACAGAAGATATTCAGTCTAATATCCATTTAAACAATCCTCTAGTGAACTGGAAACTGGGAGCCGAATGGAAGCTGAATGGGAACCGAATTGGAATCGAATCGGGAGCGAAACGGAACCAAATTGGAATCAAATGGGAACCCAAAAGGAACCGAATGGGGACCTAATCAGAACCGAATCGGATCTAAATCGGATCTGAATTGGAAACGAATTGGAATCGAATGGAAGCCGAAAGGGAACTCAATCGGAGCCGAATCGGGACCCAATCGGGACCGAAACAGAACCGAATCAGAACCAAATCAGAACCAAATCAGAACCGGAATTGGAATCTAATGGGAACCCCAAAGGAACCGAATTGGAACCGAACCGAAACCGAATCAGAACCAAATCAGAACCAAATCGGAACCAAACCGGAACCAAACCGGAACCAAATCGGAACCAAATCGGAACCGAATCGAAACCAAACCGGAACTGAAAGGGAACGATATTGGAGTCGAATCGAAACCGAATCGGTCTTTAAATGGGATCTTTTAAATGGCATATGTAAAAATTCGAAGTGAAATCGCGATGAAAGCAGTTTTTTGGTGAAATAAAATGAAGATATTCAGTCTAATATCCATTTAAACAGTCTTCTAAGGTTTGGATTTGATCATCAGCCAAACGCAATGTCCTCGTTCGACGCACTGAAAATATTTGCATTTAAAAAGCGTCAACGATTCTCTCTCGTTAGCAAACAACATATTCTTTCAAAGAAAACAGAAACTGAATGGGATTTTTGTTATTTTTAAGTAAACGATGAACATCTTGATGAAGGTTTGCTAAAAGATGCGCTTAGAGAAAGATACCGTACACTAGTAGCTTAAAAAACGGGTTATGGTAGCTGGAAGACAGTAGTAAGAGTAGTAGTTGTTTTTTTAAAGTTTAACGGCAGCTTTTTCCATCATTACGGTAGCTTTTTCCCAAATCGCCTTTTAGAAAACGCTTCAGTTTAGACATGGGCACTACAAATTACAAATGGAAACTTCAAACGCTTCTAACTTTCTTTAGATTTGTCGGATTAAGATGGTCTATAGCTCAAAAGATAGATAATCTCAAGAGCTTTCAAATAAACTAAAGCACATTGAAAAATATCAATTCTAAAGAAAGTTATAGTGATTACTAGCCGACTACACACGAGTACGGTCCATCCGGCTACAAACCCCTGTAACTTTCTTTAGAATTGATACTTTTCAATGTGCTTTAGTTTATTTGAAAGCTCTTGAGATTATCTATCTTTTGAGCTATAGACCATCTTAATCCGACAAATCTAAAGAAAGTTAGAAGCGTTTGAAGTTTCCGTTTGTAGTCCCATGTCTATTCCATTCAAGAACTTTGACTTAATCACTTCATTAAACAAACAGAAAAAATGAGAAAGCTTTCTTGACCTGTTTGGGCTATAATCTGCCAGCTAAAAGAGAGTTGTATTGTTCAATTTTTCAATCTTTATCTTCTTTACTATTGCTTACTATTGCTTACTTGATTTTCGATTCAATTGCCTTGCTCTTCTCCTTTCTCGTGGTTCCGAAATGCCAGTTGCTGCTTTCACTAAACCATCCAATAATGGATTCAAATCTTCGTCAGCTTGTTCTGTTGGAGAGTTTGGATCGCCACGCATCGCTGAAATGAAATGAAATTGCTAGTGTCAATGTTGAGCGAACCTTCTCTTTGATTTGCCACATGTTTCCCGAAATCTCTATCCGGCGCCACTTGTCGAACCCTTCTCAATGTCCCATTTCCTCCAGTCTCAGCGAGACTCGACAACACTTTTGATAGCTCGTCTTGTCTCTATAAAATTGTTGTTGCTAAATTGTTGCCAATTCAAGTGCTTTATTTTGTCTAATCTCTAATCTCTAATCCCTAATCTAAAGGGTGGCTGAAAATTACGTGCGCGCAGCATCTGACAGTTTTAAACAATGTACAAAGCATTACTACTCATCTTTTTGTGTTTTAATATTCTTTTTATCGTTGTCTATTAATTTCTTGTTAAAAAAGTTATTTTCTAGGTCATGACAAAGACGTGCGCTAGTCGGGACGCACTGGCAGCGGCTAGCGGCACCGCAGCTGGCGACGAGGGGCATGAAGAACTCGTCGATCGCATCGAGGCTCTGAGGGTGGCTCTGAGGACCGTCCAGAGGACCGTAAAGCAATGAAAAGATGAGGAGCATGTTCAGTTCAAGCCCGGAAGAGGACGAAAGAGGACCGTTAACACCCGAAAAATGCGTGGGATCATCAAGAGGAGGATCGAGCGAAAAGACGATCGTAGTTTGAACAAGATGGCAAAACAGCTTCAAATTTCGCGCTTCTCGGTTCAATTGATAGTCAAAAAATAAGCTCGGACTTCGAAGTTATCGACTGTTAAACGGGCAAGTGCTCACCGATCAAGCCAAGCAAAACCGGAAGGAGAAATGCAAGAAATTGCGAGCTTTTTTCAAGGTGCGACGCATTGACGATGTTCTTTGGTCGGATGAGAAGATTTTCACCTTGGAAGTGGCTAAAAATTCACAAAATCACCGTCAACTTCTCAGTCCAGCTCTCAAGAGCACTCGTAAACGAAAAGTCGCTATAAAAGGGTTTTCAAAAAACAGACCTTTTGTAGCGTTTTGTTTGGTCTGTTTGATGGTTTGAGGTGGAATCAGTGCTTCGGGCAAGATCCTTTTGGTTTTTATCGATAAAAATGTGAAGATAAACGCAAAAGTCTATCAAAAAGAGATTCTCGAGAAAGCTGTGGTGCCATGGAACAGGAGCCATCCCAATTGGGTCCATCAGAGGAGCCATCCCAATTGGGTCCATCAGAGGAGCCATCCCAATTGGGTCCATCAGAGGAGCCATTCCAATTGGGTCCATCAGAGGAGCCATCCCAATTGGGTCCATCAGAGGAGCCATCCCATCACAAGATTGGGCGCCGGCCCACAGAGCCAAAACAACAATTCGCTTTCTCGAAACCAAAATTGGCTCTTTTTTAACGAAGGATCAATGGCCTGCAAACAGCCCGGAGCTCAATCCGTTGGACTTTTCGGTTTGGGGTTTTATGGAATGGAGAAATAGGAACAATTGAGGAATAGGAAAATCAACAATTTGCATGATTTATGTCGAGAATTGATCAAAATCTGGAACGACTTAGATGCAAATTATCTCCGCCGCATCATCGATCCTGTAAAGCTGTAAAGAAGCGAATTGAAGCCTGTATCAAAGCGGATGGAGGCCACTTCGAAAATTTCTTGTAATTATTAAATGCTTTTGTTACAACTATCATATAAACCAATATTTTTACATGTTCTTTGAAAGAAAATGAAATTATGGCGTTTTCTTTGGCGCACATAATTTTCAGCCACCCTGTATATATCTACTAAAGGACTAAGACATTTGGCTATCTGTTTGTCCATCTGTCCATCCGTCTGTCCGTCTGTCTGTCTGATCTAATCTCTAATCTCTTCTCTTCTCTAATCCCTACTTGTTCAGGAGTGAAATCCTGTGAGACTGGTGTCCTCCTCGTCGCTTTCGCTGCTGCTCCATTTGTTTGAATCTCAGCTTGTCCACTCTCATAAGCCCACATTTTCCCTCTACAAAGTGCTTTATACAAACTGCTGTCTTTTTCACAACCTTACCTAGTCTTATTTCTTTCCCTTTTCTCAGCCAATCTCTTCCTTTGTTGCAGGATTTTATCCCTCGTTGTTCGGTACTCCAATGAAAACTCAGTTACCTGAATTGTTTAAAGTTTAAAGCTACTTGCCAAAAGGCTGCCGGTCATAAAAACCTTCATACAACGACTGTAAGTAAAGGGGATTCGGGTTGATTTATGATTTATGATCTATAATTTATGATTTATAATTTTAGAAACCCTAATATCTTCTCTTTTTAACGATAAACTTTTTTGCCAATGGCAATTTAAGGTTTTTTGTGTTTTTCCCAGCAATAACCCTTCGATTTTGTCTATTTTAACTAGCATTTGATTCAGAATAAAATTCCGCGTCGAATGATACCAAAACCAACTCCAAATCTAATATCTATGCAAAGTTATGAGGCAAAAGGTTAAGTCTCGTCCATAATAGCCCGGGTTTCGGTTTTTAGCCCAATAACTTTGCATAGATATTAGATTTTGAGTTGATTTTGGTATCATTCGACGCGGAATTTTATTTTGCATCGAATGATAGTTAAAATAAACAAAGTACAACAATTGGCGCTGAGAAAAAGACGAAAAACCTTAAATTGCCATTGGCAAAAAGGAAGGCAGATATTTTCGTTAGAATTTTAGTTTAAAATAAACCAAGATTGAGATGTTTTATTAAATGACTCAAATCTTACCATTTTGAATACTTCATTCTGTTTTTGATCCGGAATCTCTTGAACGGAATAGCCGAAGAAAAGAAGGAAACCATGCCATCTAGAAATCGTTTATCAAGCTTTTCTTGGCTTTTCTCGAGTGTACTTTGTGTTAAGTTTCTATCTAAGCACACTCCTTCTAGCGCACTGAGCTCTTTTTTATTCTTTTCTTTATTGCAGTGTGCTAGAAGTGATGTATTTACTCTTCCAAAGTCCAAAGTGCACTCTTGATCGTGAAATCTTGAAACCTGTTCTGTGCAAGCCTCCAAATTGTCTTCAATTGATGAATCCTTTGCGCGACATCGGTCAAATAATCATTAATCTTTTGCTTCATGCTTGATTGATCATTTTTTGAGATTTTTGCCAAATATTCCCATGAACATTTGCAATCGATTTCTAACTTTTTCAGATTTTCGAGAAGTTCTTTGTAGTCGACCTGGAATTGGGAATAGAAAGCTTGAGAGAGATTGGCGAAGGACAGCTTGATACAGCTTGGTACAGCTTGATGTAGCTTGATGCAGCTTGATACAGCTTGATACAGCTTGCTACAGCTTGATACAGCTTGATAAAGCTTGAGACAGCTTGATACAGCTTGATACAGCTTGAGACAGCTTGATAAAGCTTGAGTCAGCTTGAGACAGCTTGATAAAACTTCATACAGCTTGATAAAGCTTCATACAGCTTCATACAGCTTGATGCAGCTTCATAAAGCTTGATACAGCTTGAGACAGCTTCATACAGCTTTATACAGCTTGATAAAGCTTCATACAGCTTCATACAGCTTTATACAGCTTGCTTGATGCAGCTTGCTACCTAGCTTGCTACCTAGCTTGCTACCTAGCTTGCTACCTAGCTTGCTACCTAGCTTGCTACCTAGCTTGCCACCTAGCTTGCCACCTAGCTTGCTACCTAGCTTGCTACCGATATCTGAAGAAATTTCACTCCAACTCACCCTTGCACTCCTTGCAACCGCTCCAAATTCTGAATATAAATCGGTTCCCTCTGGATAATGCTCAATCATGTACTCAGCAAGATGCCATGTTAATGGATGTTTATAAACTGGATCTTTCACTTCAGACGTTTTTGCCAAATAATCCAAGTAAAAGCCTTTGATCTGAAAATTTGAATTTTAGACTGATAGGCAGAGGGATTTAGTGTTAAATATAGATAAATATTACTAAAAGCTTGCTAAAATTACTCAAAAAAACATCTCGACCACGGTAGGATTCGAACCTACAATCTTCTGCTCCGTAGGCAGACGCGTTATCCATTGCGCCACGCGGCCCTATTGGCAGGGAGGAAGATTTACCCTTTTGACTGGAGACTTGAGGAAACTAACAGCTTTCCAATGGCAAACTGCGAGTTTACTCGACTCTCCAGTCAAAAGGCTAAATCTTCCTCCCTGCCAATAGGGCCGCGTGGCGCAATGGATAACGCGTCTGCCTACGGAGCAGAAGATTGTAGGTTCGAATCCTACCGTGGTCGAAATTTTTCGAGATCTTTTTTTCAAAAACTTCTTTGCTCTTCCCTTCTTCTTTCTCCTACTTCTTTCTCTAGCTTCTTCCCTAGCTTCTTCCCTAGATAGAGAAAGAAGCAGGGAAAGAAGCAGGGAAAGATGCTAGGGAAGAAGCTAGAGAAAGAAGCACTTTCCCTGCTTCTTTCTCTATCTTCTTTCCCTGCTTCTTTCTCTATCTTCTTTCTCTGCTTCTTTCCTAGTTTCTTTCCCTGCTTCTTTCTCCGCTTCTTTCCCTGCTTCTTTCTCTGCGTCTTTCCTATCTTCTTTCCCTGCTTCTTTCCTAGACTCACATCAGTGCCATTCAGCGTGTTCCCTATTTTCAATAACATCCCCATGGCCACTCGGAAAGTCTTCGATTTCTCGATTTCTTCCATCGCCCTCTGAATGTCCATCAAGGCTTCAGCAATGTCCTAAAGCTCTAAATTTAGGCATAAAATCATTCCTCCAATACCTTTTCAGCATTTTTATAATCAAGCATAAAAATCCATAGTTTCAGCCTTTCCAAAAGACAGGGAATCGAGGATAACTTCAAGAGGAATTGCTCAGCATTTCCCAATGGCATTTCCGGGTTTTCTGCCTGGAAATCAATAGATTTTAGATGATTTTAGATGATTTTATTGGATTTTATTGGATTTTATTGGATTTTATTACATTTTATTGGATTTTATTGCACTTTTTCTCTCTCTTTACCTGTTTATTTTCGATCTCTTCAACTTCTTTTGTTGTTGGCATCATTTCTTTAAGAATCTTTTCGATCATTTCTTTGTTCAACACCATTACGTCGAATTTCTGTAAAGAAAATTGAGATTTAGACTCGTTTGAGATACAAAAACATTTGAGAAATCAGTTTAAACGAAAATTTCGACCAAAAATACCATAATTGCTGTTGGAATGACGTTTGCTGGCGGAAGTTTCGTCAATCCGATATTGATTTGTTGTGAGCGCTTGAGGGAAAGACATTGCAACACTTGGGGCTTCACTTCACCGTTTGTTTTCTGAACAATTGCAATTGCAATTTCTGAACAATTGCAAGAATTCAATTGAATCAAAATCAGAACTCAAACAATTCCCCCACCTTCACCCCAGTCTCCTTTGTTTTTGTCTCGAAAAGTTGCGCCAATTTGTTCGCGTCGATTGCCGGCAAGTTGAGCTGTTTCCAGAAAGTACCCTAGGAAATTTGTAATTTGAGAATCCCATCGAGAGACTATAAAAAAGACAAGAAAAATGCCTAGCGCTGAAGCCGGAGTCGAACCCGGCTCAGCCGTCCTCGTCCTCGTCTGTTCGGCCCGGCGACCCTTACCAATACACCACAGAGGTCGTCGAGCACCCCGAAAAAAAGACCTCTTATCTTCTAGCCAGCGGCAATCTAGGCTTTCTAGATATCAAAAGTAGATTGCCGTTGTCATAAGGCCTTTTTTCTCTACCCGCTCATAGAGCCTTGTAGTGTATTGGTTAACGGCGCTGTTTCCAAGCTGATCAACTCAGGTTCGAGTCCTGCTTCAGCTGTTCTTTTTCTTTTTTTTCCTCAAACCTTATTCTTCAGAGTGGGCACAGACGGAGCTTCAGCTTGTGCTGGTTTCCAATGTAGCCTCAATGTGTTCGTTTTCAGGGAAGCAGCTTGCAGACTTCCACCCGGACTCACATCTCTGAATGGTGGAGGTGGAGGGACACCACCATTCATTCCAGGTAATGGAGGCGGTGGAGGGGCGAGATGTCCACCATTTTGCACTAAAGAAAAGACTCTTTTTTTTGATTCAATTCGATTCCTTCCTGCTTTCAAAGCTTTAAAAGTCTTTAAAAAGCCTTGAGATTTTCATTTCAGATATGCTTATAGGCGTCAAAAAGCGGCTTTTGATTTTGATCTTTCTTCGGGAAGAGCATTCAACCAAATGATTGGCATTCTTCAAATCTATTTGGATATTTCATTGGATGGATGGATGGAGTATTGGATGGAGTACCCTAGAGGACAGTTACAGTACCCTAGAGGACAGTTACAGTACCCTAGAGGACAGTTACAGTGCCCCACAAGTTACAGTACGTACTCGTACGTACTAAGACTCAGTACGTACTCTTTACAGTACTCTGTACTCTGTACTCTGTACTCTGTACTCTTGTATTTCAGCACTCAAACAATACCAAATCCTCTTCTCAACTCACATCTTGGTGGAAGCGGAATCCCGCCAGGTGGTGGCGGGATAAAACCAGCGCTGGGAATCCTCTCTTGTTGAATCGATTGACGGGCCATTACCAGCGGATCTTGCTCATATTCAGCTGCGTGGAACTCGGAAAAGTCCAAATCATTGATGATCAATGGTTTCGTTTTTAGCGATTCAGCGGCCTGTAAAACAGTGATTCAAAGTTGCCACTCACCAGTCGACTGGACTGGCTAGGAGCTCTGTATCTTAGTCGCCCTGTATCTTAGGAGTTAGTGCGGTCATGGGCGACTGGACTGGCTAGGAGCCTAAGCCTAAGCTTAGTCGAGAGGCCAAGGGTTCAATCCCACCGGTTAGATTAGTAGTTCTTCTTGTTACCGTATTTTCTCTAATAGTAGTCACCAAGCCGAGTCGAGTTGATCACTATTTTACAGTTTCCAAGTTTTCACAGAAGCTCAACACTCAAATCCCCCACTAGATCTCATCGTCAGCTACATTTTCCGACCCCACATCGATAGGTTCTGATAAGCGGTTCTCGAGATTTCGAGGAATTGAGGCGACGCGACGCTCAGGGGTGCATTAGAGAAAATACGGTATATGTCCGTTCCGGGATTAAGCCTGGGATCGGTTCTAGATAGGACATTAGATCTGGGATCGATTCTAGATCGGACATTAGATCTGGATCGGCTCTAGATCGGACGTCAGATCTAGAATCGGTTCTAGATCGGACATTAGATCTAGAATCGGTTCTAGATCGGACTCATCTATGCTTTTTTCTTCTCTACCTTTAGAGCTACTTAGGGTTTAGAAATTGTGCTTTTGTATTGTTTTTACATTATTCATGTGAATGTCTTTTGAAAAAATGTCTTTTGAATGAAATCGACCTTATTCCATTGCATCTCCCCTTCATTCATTTTCGCCTCAAAACCAGCTCGATTTCCCTCAGCTGCTTTAGCGGCTCTTCTTTGCAATAAAGCGGCAAAATTGTTTCCACCATCAGATGAAGATCCATCATCCTTTTCTTTCTCTAACTGAAATCTTTTCAATCTTTTTGTTTCATCAAATTTAATTGATAAAGTTGATTAATGAAATTGATTAATGAAAAGCTGATTAATTATCTTTTAAACTGAACCATGCAGTTAGGGAACTCAAAATGGTTACTTTTGTCTACTTTTGTGCCTACTTTGAGCTTACTTTGAGCTTACTTTGTACTTACTTTGTGCTTACTTTGAGCTTACTTTTGTGCTTACTTTTTTGCTTACCTTTTCGCTTACTTTGTGCCTACTTTGTGCTTACTTTGAGCTTACTTTGCGCTTACTTTGTGCCTACTTTGAGCTTACTTTGAGCTTACTTTGTGCTTACTTTTTCGCTTACTTTGCGCTTACTTTGTGCTTACTTTGAGCTTACTTTGCGCTTACTTTGTGCCTACTTTGAGCTTACTTTGAGCTTACTTTGTGCTTACTTTTTCGCTTACTTTGTGCTTACTTTATGCTTACTTTGAGCTTACTTTTTCGCTTACTTTGTGCCTACTTTTGTGCTTACTTTGTGCTTACTTTTCGGCTTACTTTGTGCCTACTTTGTACCTACTTTTGTGCTTACTTTGTGCTTACTTTGTGCCTACTTTTTCGCTTTCTTTTTGTAAACGCACTTAATCTGGTGCATTGAATTCATTTATAAGAAATTTTATAAGAAAATGACGAATCTAGTGAAGAGTGAAGAAAGAATTTCATAAGAAAATGAATCCAATGCAATCAGAGTCAAGGACTGAATATCCTATTCTAGATTGAATACCGTAATCTAGACAGTCTAGCCTGAATACTCTAGGCTAGACTGAATACTCTAGGCTAGACTGGATACTCTATATCGACTGAATACCCTAATCTAGCTATTCTAGACTAAATATCCTATTCTAGATTGAATACCGTAATACAGACAGTCTAGACTGAATACCCTAATCTAGACTAAATTGACAAGTAGCACAAGTACAAGTAGTACAAGTACAAGTAGCATAAGTACAAGTAGTAGTACAAGTAAGCTCAAAGTAGTACAGCTAGTAGTACAGCTTCCATCAATCAATCACCTTCATCATTCTCGGCTCTCTTTGCTCTTCTTTTTGTACTTGTACTTTCAATCCTAGATTATTATGCAAATTGGCATCATTTTGTGTAGAAGTTGATGCGATCACTTCCGGGAAATCCATGCTTTTTGGCTCAGTCGGTGAGAAAATCGTCGGAAATGATGGTGGAGGAGCTTTCACCTGATAAAGAACAAAAGGGATACTGTAGTTTGAGAAAAAAAGGGTACTGTAGCTTTGAAATTATATTGTGGATAAAGAAAAGTTAAGTGCTTTTCAAACTTAGGCTCTAAAAAAACGCAAAACACTGTCGAGTCTAACTTCTTTTCAAAAAATCGTTTCTTTCTCAGCTTCTAGACTTTTCCTAGCTATACTTTTAATACAAAAAAATACTAGATTTCAAGGGCTATCATTTGATACCATTTAGCACACTGTAGCTTAAACCAGGGCAGAGAACGGGATGTTTAAAGTTAGCCACCCCAACCAGCCACCGGGGGTACGGTCGCGTAGTCTAACTTTAAACATCCCGTTCTCTGCCCTGGTTTAAGCTACAGTGTGCTACATAGTATCAAATGATAGCCCTTGAAATCTAGTATTTTTTATATTAAAAGTATATCTAGGAAAAGTCTAGAAGCTGAGAAAAAAACGAAAGAAGTTAGATTGTTCGAAAGCGCTTATTTGTGGTGTTTTATTAGAGTATTTAGAATAGATTGTGATAAATTAAACAAAGAAAATTAGATTTTAGCTAGTAAAGAGGGTTTATGGATTACTTTTTAGCCAAACTTACCGGTTTTTCTAAATCATTCTCCTCAGGTTTCTCATTTTCTTGATTCTCGATTAATTTGATCGGCTCTGGGATTTTCCGTTCTTTATTTAAATCGGGTGATGTTGAGATGATTGGAGTTGGCTGAATGGATTAAATTGAGAATCTTCATCGATTTTCAAATCATTCATCTCAATCTAGATAGATTTGGTCAAACTGGTCAAACAACGATGATCAAAGTATCTTTTGAAACGAAATTGGCTTTCTCTGGCTTCTTGGAGCTTTTTTTTCTCATAACTCTCGAGCTTGTTCATTGATTCTATTGGTTTTATAAAAATAAGGCTCAAAAATGAATGAGCTAGAGGAATTTAAAAGAGTTTTCTCGAAAATCACAATTCTAGACCGAATTCTAGAGGAATTAGATGCTCAAACAGTCGAAAAATCCGCCTAATAGTGGTCTTTTCTGGTCTCGTCCCACATGTCGCCATAGCGCAGTCGGTAGCGTGCTGGTCTATCACTCGGACAGCCAACGACCCTAGCCGGGTTCGACTCCCCTTAGTCCCACTTGGGTTCCATTTTATAACTTAAATATTTGAACTTATTAACTATAATCTATTTTAAGGTTTTCTAAAGAAGTTTTAACTAATAAGCTCTAACTAATAGCTGCCTAAAGAAGCTTTAAGCCTCTTTAAGCCGCTTAAAGCCTCTTTAAGCCGCTTAAAGCCTCTTTAGGCGGCTTAAAGCCTCTTTAGGCGGCTTTATTAAAACAAAGTTAAAACTTTAGTTAAAACAAAACTTTATTAATCAAAACACAGCTTTGGTCTTTATGGTCTTTATGAAGCTTACAGTATTATTGTTTGGCTCAGGTGTCTTCGATTGTTCACTTCTCCAAGATAATGGCTGTCGAGGGGGTTCTGGGGAGACACTGAATTGGATTTTTGAATTGGACTGAAGCAAAATGAAACATTGAAAAGCTTGATCGATCTACTTGATCGATAATACTCATTTCCATTCTCTTTTAGTGAACTTACGGCCGAGCATTTTGTTGATCAAACATTTGTCGACTCTTGGTGACAGATAGATGCTCTTCTTGGTGTTGAATAGCTTCCTGGAAAAGCTATTCAGTTAACAGCCATGTACTGTATTGTATTTCAGCTATTGTACGTCTTACTGTACTAACGGTACTACTGGTAGCTACTGTACTAAAGGTACTAATGGTAGCTATTATACTAATCGTACTAATGGTAGCTATTGAGCTAATCGTACTAATAGTAGCTATTGTACTAATGGTACTAATGGTACTTACTGTACTACTGGTACTTACTGTACTAACGGTACTTACTGTACTAATGGTACTTAGTTACGTCTTCAGTCCACCCAAAGTATTCTACCTGATGCCTTTTCCTCATGACACTTCGGCGATCTTGTGACGAGTTTGATGGGGCTCGAGAGACGGCTTGTGGTCTGGAATTCATAAAAATCATTCATATCTACTAGATTGATGCAAAAATATCTACACTGTATTCAATGGAATGACAGTGTAGAGATTGTAGATCCAATACTAGATGTACTGTAGATTCAATACTATAGAACCTAAAGTATACTCAATACTATAGATTCTACAGTATATTCGACACTGTAGATTCTACAGCATATTCAATTCTGTACATTCTACAGTAAATCCATTCAAAATCCATGCAAATTCTCCCCAAATCTACCTCAATTTCGCCGTGCTCTCATCACTCGCATCACTACTGCCCCCTTCTTCGGCTGCGTCTTCCTAAAGGCAAATTTTGAAATTTACAGCACTGAACTAATAAAAACAGTAATAAAACAGTAATAAAACATTATTAAAGAACTTATTAAAGAACGCTATTAAAGAACGTTATTAAAGAACGTTATTAAAGAACGCTATTAAAGAACAGCTTGCATTTTTGACTTTGACAACAATTGTTTAAACTTTATAAGTCTTATTTTTGTAGAGTTTTGTAGATTTTTATAGATTTTTATAGATTTTTATAGATGAAACTTCTAATACCTGATTGAGTTCTCTCTCGTAAAGTCTACACTGCTCGATCAACTCTTTGTTGCCCGTAGCAATCTGTAACGAAGAAAAAGCTAAAGTATCAAGAGCTAACGTTCAGCTAACCATTTGTTTCATCACTTTTTCCATTCCCAATTCCTCTAGAGTGTCCGTTGCATCGTAGAAAGTGTCCTGAACGATTTCGTGTACGGTTTCGTGTAATGAACTGTAAGGAATCGATTCCACGAATCAATGAATCGATTCCACGAATCAATGAATCGATTCCACCAATCAATTCCACCAATCAATCCCCATCAACCAAAGCTTACCCTATCAGGAATCCCGTGTAACGCTTTATTGATGACAGTCATTCCAATGACGAGGGTTTCTGGATCGGGACATTCCCTTTCGCTCACTGCTTTCACTAATAAAGTCCAATCCGGGCGATCTGTAAATCAAGGGAAAGAATTCTTTCAATTCAAGATTCTTCTTTCGATTCAAGATTCTTCTTTCGATTCAAGATTCTTCTTTCAATTCAAACTCACTCAATGATTTATCCACCGTTGAAACAGCCGCCAAAACGATGAGAGAATTGTTGTCGTTGTACTCGATAAACACCAATAACAATTTCAATGCTGTTTTCACCACCAATCGAAACTGAACATCATTGTTTAGGCTAATTTAGGAAATTACTCTAATTTAGCATCGATTTCGGAGATTTGGCTAGCGCAGAAATGCCACTATGAAATTCTAAGGGATTCTAAGGGAGTCTAAGGGATTCTAAAGGATTCTAAAGGATTCTAACGGATTCTAAGGGATTCTAAAGGATTCTAAGGGATTCTAAAGGATTCTAAGGGATTCTAAGGGATTTCTAAAGAATTCTAAAGGATTCCTGTTTTCAGTTTTACTCTATAACAGAAAGTTTTTGATAAAAAAATCCTTTTGAAGTTTGTTTGGAAAAATCGTTTGAAAAAACTGTTTAGAAAACTGTTTAGAAAACGGCACCGCCGAGATATAAGGTCGAATTACTTTCCTCCAAGCGCGACCGGGTGGTCTAGTGGCTAGTGTGTTATCGCTCTATCGGTTCCTGGTTCGAATCCCCGCGCTGCCCGGGCTTTTTTTCTTTTTGTCAAATTTAAAGGTATCTTTAAGTAGACATGGTTATCGGATCGGATCGGGTTTTATCGGAAAGGATCGGATTAGAACTGATCGGGCTAGCCCGAGCGGATCCGATTCGATTTGATCCGATCAGATCCGTCCAGTCGATTGGACTATCTGATCCGATCGGATCCGATCCATCCAGCCGATTGGGCTAGCTCGATCTGATCCGATCCATCCAGCCGATTGTGCTAGCTCGATCTGATCCGATCGGATCTGTTCGATCTTATTTTGCCAAAAAACCATGTCTATCTTTAGGTACTTTAAAGTGTAAACAGTAAACCATAAACAGTAAGAAACTAATGGCAGAAAATGGCATGGCTCTTCAGTTCTCCTGGAAGGCAAAAGATCCTTCAGGGCAAAAGATCGCTCTTCAGCCCTACTTTAAATGTAAAATGTGAATCTAATGAGAATAAATCTAATGAGAATAAAATCTAATGAAAGGAAATCTAATGAAAATGAATAATTTAGTTAAAAGTAAAGGGCTTTTTACACAATACAGAGTACAGAAAATACAGAAAAACACAGAACACAGAATTTCCTTTTTCACTTACCCATTCCTGCCGATAGGGACTCATTTCTTTGCGCTCTTTTTCGTCGTACAACTGAAACAAAAACAACATGAACATTTGGACAAGGACAAAGAAAAGGCGACAGGACAAAAAACATGGCAAGCTATCAGCACCCACCGGTGAGTCGAGCAACTCGTAAAGCCATTGAATCGTCGCATTGTGAGCGATAATCCCATTCATTCCGTCAACGTACAACATCACTTGGCCGAGTGCTGAAACGATTTGGCTAGCGCAGAAATTCCGTGATTTTCTCTAATAGTAGCGCCGAGTTGACGCCGAGGTGATTTTACGATTTTCAAGTTTACACAAAAGAAAAACACTCTAATTTCTCAAAAGATCTTATCATAAACTAGATTTTAAGCTTAAGCTAAAGCTTTTAAGCTAAAAAGGAACAAAAAGATTCTCTGGAAAGCCCTAGAACCTAGAAATTTTTTATGAAATTCTAAACTTCTGTTAATTCCTTTAATTTTCAATTTCTAGCTGTGGTGCGTGCCAGATCACAATATCCAATCGATAAAATATGCAAATTACTGTCGAAAAGTACAGTAATCCCTTCCCAACTCATCCACAGTATTACAATTCGTCTATTTCCTCCAAACCTAATCACTTTACTGATAACTAACCGTTGTGAGTTCCAGATAAAAAGATTAAATAGTTAAAATCTGTCATTCATTGTCGAAAGGTACAGTAATCCCTTGCAAACTTATTCAAGGCATTAAAATTCGTCTATTTCCTTCAAAGCTCGTTTATTTTCTGATAACTAACTGTTGTGAGTTCCAGATAAAAAGATTAAATCGTTAAAATATGCAAACTACTGTCGAAAAGTACAGTAATCCCTTCGCAACGCATTCACGGTATTACAATTCGTCTATTTCCTCTAAATCTAATCATTTTACTGATAACTAACCGCTGTGAGTTCCAGATAAGAAGATTAAATAGTTAAAATCTGTTGATTATTGTATATATAGTAGCTTTTTGGTCTAATTGATTTTTCTCAAGCAGATCTGATAATATAGTAATGCTTTAAGGGTACTAAACTAACTAGTTAAAGATTTAAAGGCTAAATCCGATACTGTATCCAGTGTAAAGGCTGTATTCTTTTATTTCAAAAAGGTTTTCCTTTTACTTCCCCTTTCCTTCTACTTCCCCTTTCCTTTTACTTCCCCTTCCCTTCTACTTCCCCTTCCCTTTTACTTCCCCTTCCCTTTTACTTCCCCTTTCCTTTTACTTCCTCTTCCCTTCTACTTCCCCTTCCTTTTACTCCCCCTTCCTTTTCAATTCACAGCATGTTGCCAAGAAATCGACCCGATTTGAATGGGAATTTCTCATTTTCCATATAATCTATCTATCATTCTATCATTTCTCTATCAAAAAGATATTCATTTGATGCAAATTCTTTCTCTTTTCTTTCTCTCTTCTTTCTCCTTTCTTTCTCTTCTTTCTCCTTTCTTTCTCTTCTTTCTCCTTTCTTTCTCTTCTTTCTCCTTTCTTTCTCTTCTTTCTCCTTTCTTTCTCTTCTTTCTCCTTTCTTTCTCTTTTCTTTCTCCTTTCTTTCTCTTTTCTTTCTCCTTTCTTTCTCCTTTCTTCTTCTTCATCATATCAATGATTGATCTCTTTGTCGATAAATGAAATGGAATCAGATCGAATTTCCCGAAAATGTGAGAAAATCTAGTGAAAGTCGTTTCCCGAAATCGATTTACCAAAGAATAACAGAAAATAACAGAAATTAGAGGACTTTTGAGTACATTTGACTGAACTGAAGATGGAATTGCCTTCAGTTCTCAAGCTTTAAGATCTAAGAGCTTTAAGATCTTTAGCATCTGATCTTTAACATCTGATCTTTAACATTTCATCACACAAATCAAAAACATTCTTCAAACTCACCTCTTAAGATGTAATTCTGATGATTCTGATCGGCCACTCGTCCCAATTTGATCATACAATCGAGGCCGCCGTTTTGAACGAATTCGTGCACAAGATCTTTGTCATCCTGGAGTTTTTAGTTGGAACTAGTTGGAACTAGGGAAGAGCAAAAGATCTGCGCCGACGGGACTCGAACCCACGACCTTTCGCTTGCTAGGCAATCGTGCTAACCACTACACCACAACCCACTTGTTCGGCTTTGCGAGGGAGGGAGCTAAGTTCCCTCCTACCTGGATTTCCTTCCTCGCTGGACATCTCTGAACTTCCCTCCTCTCTGGACGTTAACCCCCTCCTCGCAAGCGTGACCAGGTGCATTGTGGTGCAATGGTTAGCACAGTTGTCCGGTAAATGAAAGATCGCGGGTTCGAGTCCCGGCGGCGCAAAAGTTTTGATTTTTGACAGTTTCAACTATATTAAGAACTTTAGAGCTATCCAGAACTATCCAGAACTATCCAGAACTATCCAGAACTATCCAGAACTATCCAGAACTATCCAGAACTATCCAGAACTATCCAGAACTATCCAGAACTATCCAGAACTATCCAGAACTATCCAGAACTATCCAGAACGATCTAGAGCTATCTAGAGCTATCTAGAGCTATCTAGAGCTATCTAGAACTATCTAGAGCTATCTAGAACGATCTAGAACGATCTAGAACGATCTAGAACGATCTAGAACGATCTAGAACGATCTAGAACGATCTAGAACGATCTAGAGCTATCTAGAACGATCAAGAACCATCTAGAACTATCTAGAACGATCTAGAACGATCTAGAACTTAATTATTTATCTAGTATAGATCTACTTAAAAGCCTTATCTGGATAAACTTGAAAAATTAGAACATAAAGCTTGAAAATCGCACCTGAAAGATTTGCTTTAACGAGAAAAGCGCTCGACGTTGATCACGGCCTGACGCGTTTAGGAGTTTATCTGAAGATAGTAGATTCTAGATTGTAGCTTGTAAAATAGCTAAAATAGCTGTAAAATAGAGAAACTACTTAAAATGGCAGAAGTTATATGAAAATTACATAGAATAGCAGATCTTCTATGAAATTTTGTTGCTTTAAATTTCAAATAAACATCTTTAAAGCCTTTTAAAACAAACCAACGATCGTTTTCACCCGTAAACTCGTCTGCGTTCGAAGCACGAGACTGCAGCGACGACTGAAAAAGAGATAAAAGTTGAATTAGCTAACACTTCGCTACGTTTCAGTAACTTTGTACAATAGAGCTACAGTACGAGTCTAGTACAGTACGAGCTACAATCACTACAGCCCAGTACAAGTGAATTTAGCTAGACTGGTAATCTAGCTAGCTCACAAGGCAGTAGAATGTAGCTAAATGAGAAAAGCCATCCCCATAGTACAGATTAGAAAATTAGAGGCAATTAGACAATTAGAGGCAACTAGACACAACTTGACCAGGCTCCTTATGTGTATAAATGGTGTGCCAAATGGTGTGCGATTGTCTGTGTACAAGAAAAAGTCGACAAAGCAAAAGTTTGGTCGAGAAAGGAATCGAACCCGAGCAAAAATTGCTTCCGTCGTTTTGTATTCAAGCCTCTTATCCACTAAACCACTGACCCATATCGGAGACCCTTGTGGAAAACGTTATAAAACCATCCCATCCCTAAAGGAGTCCCTTCAAATTTCGAATTTTCAACCTGAAACTAAAGCCTTAACACCCTCTAGAGCTGAGGGAAAAAGGCGCGTTGCGGTGTAATGGTTAGCGCAGTTGTCTGGTAAGCGAAAGGTCGCGGGTTCGAGTCCCGCTGGCACGGAGTGATCTGCAAAATAACAATTTTTGATCTGCTCTTTAACTTTTGCTAGAAAAACGAATTGCAAAAATGGAAAACAGATTCGAAATCGCTGAAATGCTTTGAAGGGGATATTGCTTTTCGCATTTGGCCACATTCTAGATTTCCTAGCACTATTTTCTGGCACTGTTGGACACTTTTGTTTTCCCAGCACCTCCTAAACTCAGCTTCCCAATCAAAGAAATCGCTATCGTCATCATCGCTTCCATTCTGATTCTGATTCGAATTTCCATTGCAATTTGCATTTCCCTTTTGTCTTCCCTTCACTATACCCAACTTTGTCGATCCTCCAAATGGTCGAAATTGTGATTTCCCCTTTGCGATCTCTGTCTTTTCACAAAACGAATCCTCTTTTGGACTCCGCGAATCGATTGGTGTGGGTGAATGGGTGAAAGCTGGATTGGAGTAAGGTTTTTTGAGTGATTCGGATTGCTCAACTCCATTGAAATCTCTGTGATCTTTGAAGTCTGTCCTTTTTGCCAATTCTGAGGGTTTTGAACTGATTTCTGACTCTTTTCCGAAAGCTGAGCGCTCATTTTGAGGCTTGAATTCATTAAATCTATTTGAGCTACTGAAGTCGACTTTGGAGTCAGCTTTGGAGTCGACTGTAGAGTCAGCTTTGGAGCAAGCTTTGGAGCAAGCTTTAGAGCAAGCTTTGGAGCAAGCTTTGGAGCAAGCTTTGGAGCAAGCTTTGGAGCAAGCTTTGGAGCAAGCTTTGGAGTCAGGTCCAGGTTTTGAGTCAAGTTTTGAGTCGACTGTAGAGTCAGCTTTGGAGCAAGCTTTGGAGTCGACTGTAGAGTCAGCTTTGGAGTAAGCTTTGGAGTCAGCTTTGGAGTCAAATTTTGACTCAAGTTTTGAGTCAGCTTTGGAGTCAAGGTTTGAGTGAATTCTCTCCTTTTTGAGTCCACGATCAATGGAGTTGCTCGGCAAGGGATTTGAGTGAAATTCAACAGATCGATTCCTAGATTCTTCACCGGTATTTTGTTGATATGCACAGTTGGATAGATCTTGAACTTTTTCATTTCTTTGTATCTCCATTCTTTCGGGAGGCTTTGGCTCCAATCCATTTCGAAAGGGATACAAATTTGTTGGGGATTTCGAAGAGGTTACAGCAAATTTTGGATCTTTAGAAGAAACTCCAGAGAATTTTGAATCCATAGAAGAATTTCCAGAGAATTTTGGATCCTTAGAAGGGTTTCCAGAGAATTTTGGATCTTTAGAAGGGTTTCCAGAGAATTTTTGGATCCATAGAAGAAACTCCAGAGAATTTTCTACTTGTAACCATCAATTCTTCAGATTTTTGATCATTTCTGAAGAGTCCATTTTTGAAGAGTCCATTCTTGAACAAATTCTCTTCACTCTTCTTGCTGAAACTCGATCCAACTTGTTTTAAACTGATTCCGGAATTGATTCCGCAAATGTTTTGCGCCTTCTCAACCTCGTTTTCTTTCTTTAAGCCAATTCTCTCGTTTTCCTGTCGATTCCTAGCAAAATCTTCATATTTTGGTAAAGTTTTTGAAGCGATTGGGCCATCTAAAGAAATCTCAAATGATCGAAATGATTTTTTCTCGTTATTCTCTTGTTCTTTTGCCTGAAATTTGGCTAAAGTTGCAGAAAGTCCGGATTTCCATTCTTGAGGAAGGATTTCTGTTCTTCTAGAGTTCTTAGGGGAGAATTGAGGCACTGTTCTTCTAGAGTTTAATTCAGATCTTTCTTCAAACGATTCTGGAGTGGCTCTAGAAAAGTTGAATCGTTGATGGTTATGGGCTTGGCTTTGGTTCTGGCTTTGGTTCTGGCTTTGGCTTTGGTTTTGGCTTTGGTTCTGGCTTTGGTTTTGAGCTTGTAAACCTTCTAAAGCTTGATTTTCTAAAGATCTAAAGCTTGAAGATTGATTTTCTAGAGATTTGAATGATTTGATTTGATTTGATGGTAATTTCTCGGGAAACTCTAACTCAGCGAAGCTTCTTGCTGGCTTTGGAGGCGGAAAGTCGGGATGTGAGCCGGGTTGTGCGAAATCTTCATCGATATATGGAATCACTGAATACGATGAATATGGAGACTCCTCAGGCTCTAGCACTCGCGGTTTCCGCAACATTCTTGGCAATGTACTCGATTCAACTGCACTAGAGTACCACCCCTTTTGCCGAATCGTTGGACTCTTTTTCTGAACAAGTTGTACCCCATCTCCACTCATTGTTGATCTCCTGCTTAATTGAGGATCTTCTCCACTCATTGTTGATCTTCTACTCAATTCACGATCCTCTCCACTCATTGTTGATCTTCTTGATTGGAAATTGTCCTCATTTTCGAATCGACAAGTGATTCTTTCAAGACGCGGAGTTGCAACACTTGTTGATGCATCGATGTGAATTGATAAATCGATGTCATAAGCTTTTAGCGTTGGGGATTTTTGAGAATAGTTTGGAGAGAGTGAAAGCTGAGAATTCGATTGATTATAATTCGGATTGGCTGCCGGTGCGTATACGGATGGGACAAAGTCTGAGGAAAGAGTGGAATTGAGAGGCGAACGGGAGAAGCTCGGCATTTGATGAAGGCAGAATTGATTTGCAGATTAGGCAATAGTCTTTCCACGGTAGATGAGAGTAAATAGAATGATCTAAAGTGGAGGATTCAGCCACACAGAAGTGTTTGCAGTATTTTCGATTACAAACCCTTTGGGTAAATCTTCAATTCTTGGCCAAAATCTGGTCGAATTCTAGTCGAATTCTTGGTCGAATTCTTGGTCGAATTCTAGTGAAATTCTGGTCGAATTCTTGGTCGAACTCTGGTCCAATCCTTAGTCCAATTCTTGGCCAAAGCTTGGTCAAACTCTTAGTCCAATTTTTGATCCAATTCTGGTCGAATTCTTCATCCAATTCTTGGTCCAATTCTGGTCGAATTCTTGGTCGAATTCTAGTGAAATTCTGGTCGAATTCTTGGTCGAATTCTGGTGAAATGCTGGTCGAATTCTGTTCAAATTCTGGTCCAATCCTTAGTCAAATTCTTGGCCAAAGCTTGGTCAAACTCTTAGTCGAATTCTTGATCCAATTCTGGTCGAATTCTTGGTCGAATTCTTGGTCGAATTCTGGTGAAATGCTGGTCGAATTCTGTTCAAATTCTGGTCCAATCCTTAGTCAAATTCTTGGCCAAAGCTTGGTCAAATTCTTAGTCCAATTCTTGATCCAATTCTTGATCCAATTCTTGATCCAATTCTGTTCAAATTCTGGTCCAATTCTTAGTCCAACTCTTAGTCCAATTCTTGGCTAAAATCTCGGTTCAATCTTGGTTCAAAATCTTGATCAGAATGCCAGATTCAACAAAAAATCTAGCTCTATAATGATGGAAATAAAAGGAATAGTTAGCTAAATAAAATCAAACAGTTAGCGTGAATAAAATCGAGCTAAATTTTGCTCTCGGAAAGCTCTAATCAAAAAGGATCTCGGAATTTTTAAGACAATGAAATTTAGGATGAGAAATGGGAAATGAAAAGAGGGAAGAGAGGGAAAAGAAAGAAGGAAAAGAAAGAAGGAAAGAAGGAAGAAAGGAAAGAAGAGAAGGAAGAGAAGGAAGAGAAGGAAGAGAAGGAAGAGAAGGAAGAAAGGAAAGAAGAGAAGGAAGAGAAGGAAAGAAGGAAGAAAGGAAAGAAGAGAAGAAAGGAAAAGAAAGAAGAAAGGAAAAGAAAGAAAAGGATCTCAGAAAGGGTACGGGATATCGGAAATTTACATAAAAAGATCGAAGGCTCTGGTTTCCGAGAAGGGGAGAGACTGGGAGATGGGTAAAAGGGTACACCCATTCACTGTCTCTCTTTTCCCCCTTTCTTCTTACAGGGTTCTATTTCTCCTTACAGGGTTTTGATATTCTATAGATCTAAGGCTATTCATTGTGTTCATTCGCGGTTTACAATGGAGATGAATGACTCGAAATAACCTCATAGGTAAACACAGAATTGAGACATCGGAAAAGTGAATGCTGGACCTTGAAATGGAGACTGGGAACGATAGTAATGGATTTTTGGAACATAGCAATGGATTTTTGATGTGAAAACTATTGAAATTAATGCTAAACACTAGAACTGAACCCTAGCTGAAAACTGGCAGCTGAAAACTGAAACTTATAGACTGAAGATGTACCTAAGCAAATAGTTTAAACACCTAGACTAGGATGGAGTTACTGCAGAGCCTTGGTACTTGGATAGAGTAGTTTAGAGAGTTACTGTAAACTCGGAGACGCTATCAGCTTAGCTTTATTGAGCCTATATATCAAAAATCGACTCACCTATCCGATTTCAACACTTCCAATTCATCTTGTTGATCAGCAAGTGTGAGCTCTGAGTCAAGATATGTCTGGAAATCCCCTCCTCCACCCTCCAATCCTTTGTACACTTGAAGAGCCGAATCATCGGCCTGAAAACAATTGAATATATAAGAATTGAATATGATAAAGAATGGATATGATAAGAATTGAATATGATGGGGGTGGGACAAATGCGACCTTTTTTTGCGCACCTGGACATTTGCGCACGTTTTTTTTGCTGGAAAAGGCCTTAGGAAAGGTCGTAGAGCTTCAAAAATGTTTTCATGGAAGGGAATCGTATGCGTAGATTCCGAATTTCGACAAATCAGACCTAGCTGGCACGTCAAATTTGGGCTAAAAGGCAAAAACTACGCAACTTAACGCTTTTCCGCAGCTTTTGTCTTTTAGCCCAAATTTGACGTGCCAGCGAGGTCTGATTTGTCGAAATTCGGAATCTACGCATACGATTCCCTTATATGGAAATATTTTCGAAGCTCTACGATCTTTCCTAAGGCCTTTTCCAGCAAAAAAAAGGTGCGCAAATGTCCAGGTGCGCAAAAAAAAGGTCGCATTTGTCCCACCCCCGAATATGATAAAGAATTGATATGATAAGAATTGAATATAATAAGAATTGAATATGATAAAGAATTAAATATTCATTCTGCGTACCTTATGTGGCGCTCTCAATGTTCGAATCACATCGGGAATCTGTTCACCGACTGGATCATAGAGACGGAAGGAGAACGTCACCTGCAAATGTATTAGTAGAGAATGAGAGAAAAAAATGTGTTTTTTGAGATGTTTTCATGTTAAATTTGAATTTCTGTCACAAATTTTAAATATGAATTTTATCTTTTTGTTAAATGTTAATTTTCGTTGACGTCGCATTCCAATTGACGTCGCCGACCGCCGCCGCCGCCGCCGTCGTCGGAGGTAGTCGATGGGAGCGCCGCGTCGTCATTTTCTTTTTCTCTCTCATTTCTTTATTTTGCAAAATGATAAAAACACCACGTTTCTTTTTCATTTTATACCCGTAATAACCATTTTTTGCTTGTTTTATTTCTTTAGTTTTTATTTTTTAGGAAGATGAGGCGTGGAAAATCGCTTTCGCGGATCGAACAGATGAAAATTGTGATTTTGAAAGGAAGAAAGTTGTCGAATCGGGAGATCGCAAAGAAAATGAAGCGCTCGCACCAAGTTGTCGCAAATTTCTTGAAGAATCCTTTCAATTATGGCAGGAAAAAGTCTCCGGGACGTCTTCAGAAGCTCACGGTCCGCGCTGAACGGCATATTGGGCGTCTGTCGAATTCGGTGATGCTACAGGACTTATAAAACAGATGCATCCTTTCCCCAATTGATTTCCATTTGGGAGCCGAGTGGAGAATGCGGAACTTTTCGTAGCCGGACCACAATGAAGGCCAAAACTAACTGTAAAATGGTTGTAAAGTTGAATGGAAAACAACGAAAGCAAGACTCATCTTCTGGATCGTTAAAAAACTGAAAAACTTCCAGTTTTGTATGCAGCAAATTCGAAGGCGTGGACGACTGGCGAATTATTCGAGAGCTATCTCAAAAAAAGAATCATGTGATCGAATTATTCGAGAGCTATCATGTGATCAAATTTAACCGGAAAATTTTATCGTTTATCGATGGCTGTCCAGCCCATTCGAAGCCCAATTTATCAAAAATTCAGCTTCAATTCTTTTTGCCGAGTGCAAGACAATCCAACCAATAGATATGGGAATCATCAAAAGCTGTAGGATGGTTTGAGAAGTTGAATGGAAGCAATGAAAGCAAGCCTCATCTTCTGGACCGTTACAAAACTTTCGCCAAAACAATTGGTTTCGCCGGAAAGTCTTATCAGCTTTTTTTGTTGGCTCTTTTCAAAATGATAATAGGGTTTGGAATTGGAAAGATCACAGAATACTTTAAGAATACTTTAACGGAATACTTTTAGAGTCAAATTTATATATTTAACCATTACTTGATTGAATTAATCACTACTTGATTGAATATCTTATTATCAAAGAACTCCCAACCGGTCTCATCGGTTCCAAATAGCAATTCGATGTGGTTGCGAATGGATCAGCGTCATTTATATACTGGATACGACAAGTGAATGTGTCTTCAGCCATTCTGATGCGGTAACTGAAAAATTAAATGAAAATTAAAGAGAGAAGAGAGTTTTTAGAGAGAAGCAAATCAAGAATGCGAAAGAATGAAGTTTGAATGCAAAAAGAAATTGAATGCAATGAAATTGAATGCAAAAGAATTGGATTTTTTACAGACCAAGAGAAATCTGACAATCCGATCAATGTGGAAATTTGTGCAATTTCTTTTTTTGTTTCTTTTCGGGATCTTTTTGTTTCTTTTCCTTTCTTTTCTTTTCTTTCTTTTCTTTCTTTCTTTTTCTTTCCTTTCTTTTCCTTTCTTTTCTTTTCTTTTCTTTGATTTTTCACAACCAACCGTTTGCGTACACATTACACAATTCTCTTTGAGAAATGGAAAGAATGAGAATGGAAAAGAAGGAGATCCCAATGGCCAACTCCATCTCTCAAACCCTTTTTACTCACTCAAATACTGCTGGGAATGGATTTTTCGTGATTTGAATGGATTTTCCGTGATTTAGTGTGATTTGAAAGTACAGACTTAAGATTTACAGAAAATACAGACCGCCAGATCGCGGATCATTGGATTAGTCTATCAAAATCTGAATGATATGCAAGTGAGATTCTTTTGGATCAATAACGCAGTGAGTAATCGATTTTGAACATAAATGGATTTCAAATGAATGATAGAAACTTAAAAAACTAGAACTAGAACTAGAGGCTTTTGTTTAAAAGTGCAAATTTGCTATTCAAACATTGCCACATTGAAAGAATAGAGTAGAGCAATTTGTTTGCTCCCGAATCTCCAATTTATTTGGTTTTCAGTCAATTTACAGATAAATGTCTTACTTTCAAAGGTTTAAAAAGAAAGATTGGAAAAGAAAGATTTGAAAAGAAAGATTTGAAAAGAAAAATTGGAATTGGAAAAGAAAGATTCAGAAATCAGCTTAGACTACTTGCTTCTTAGACTACTTGCTTCTTAGACTACTTACTTCATAGACTACTTGCTTCTTAGACTTCCTGCTTCTTAGACTACTTGCTTCATAGACTACTTGCTTGTTAGACTACTTGCTTGTTAGACTACTTGCTTCTTAGACTACTTGCTTCTTAGACTACTTTCTTCTTAGACTACTTGCTTCTTAGACTTCCTGCTTCTTAGACTACTTGCTTCTTAGACTACTTGCTTCTTAGACTACTTACTTCTTAGACTACTTACTTCTTAGACTTCAACAATCCAAAATTTCTCAAAAAATCGATAAACAAAGACGTAAATCTCGAAAATCTCTGATGGCTTTTCTCAATTTGACTTTAAAGAAAAGAAAAAATGAGAAAAAAGATGGGTTTAGGGAGAATTTTCAGTGGGAGTACTCGGTAAATAGCGAGAATTGAATCGAATAGAAAAAAGTGGAAAGGAAATCGATAGGATTAATCGATAGGTGCATAAGGATAAGGAAATTGAAGTGATTTGATAGGAAAGAGAGTTTGATAGGGAAGAGAGTTCATTTGTGAATTGACTGGGATTTTATTTGTGAATTGAGTGGCTTATGTACATAATCTGATTGAATTTGATGTTATTTTTTAACTTGATAGCTTTAATAGGTGAATAGTGAACTGGAAATAGAATAAGGATCAGTTGGAATGTAGGAGATGACATTAGAATCAAGTGAAGCCGGCTTCCAATCATGAAGCCGATAATCAACAGATAATCAAGTTAATCAATCAAGTAGATAAAGTTTAAGCTACAGAATAATACTGTAAACGAAATTAAACAGTTTTGGATTCGTACTTACGTACTATTACGTACTTTAAAGTGGAAATCGTGATGGTAAAGCTTCAGGATTGATGGCCAGTTCTTCAAAGAATGTATCCATAAAACAAATCCTATTCTTTACTTTCTCCATTTTCCTTTCTTCCTCTTTCTTTCCTTTCCTTTCTTTCCTCTTTCTTTCCTTTTCTTTCTCCTTTTTTTCTTCTTGGTCCACTCTTGACATTTCTGTGGACAGAGAAAGCAAAAAAAAAGAGAAGAAATTCGAGTAAACGTTTGCCAATTTGCTCATCTCTTTCAATCTTTTTCAAATCTTTCAAACATTTTAAAAGAAAATCCGTTTTTTCTTCAGATTTTTCCAAATAGATGAATTTGATGAAAGAAATGAGAAGAATAAAATAAAGAAAGGCAAATGAAGCAAGGAAGAAAGGAAGAAAGGAAGAAAGACAGACAGAAAGGAAGGAAGAAAGGAAGAAAGGAAGGAAGAAAGACAGAAAGGAAGAATGGAAGGAAGAAGGACAGAAAGGCAGAAAGGCAATTGAGTTAATGAATTGAAATCTAATGTGGCAGAAAGGGTGAACCTTAATGAACCATATTTTAGCTTTATGAGTCTATTTGCAGGTGATACTCATCAGCTTTGCCCAAAATCAAAAACCCTTTTCAACAAAGCCACATGCTTCACATTGAACATGAAATTTACGGCCAAAGAAAAATGGGACAAGAAAGGAAGAAAAGGAAGGAAAGGAAGAAAGAAAAGAAAGGAAAGAAAAGAAAGGAAAGAAAGAAAGGAAAGAAAGAAAAGAAAGAAAGAAAAGAAAGGAAGAAAATCGATTATGGATTTTGAGGAAAACAGGGATTGCATAGACAAAATGCTGGATTTGAGTGTTTTGAACGGATTGATCGTTTCGAACGGATTGAACGAACGAAAGTTTACTAGGCTTACTAGGTTAGTAAGCCTCGTTTTTTTTTGCTTAATAGGCTTACTAGGTTTTCATAGTTTTACTAGCAGAAATTGGGTTTTCATAGTTTTGAAACTTGTGCATACACAACTTGGATTTGGGTCGAGTGTGGTGGGGCTTGGGCCTGGTAGAAGATTGACTATATGCTTATACAGTTTCATTGCTTTACTTTTAAGCTCTTTGCCGACCCTACGACCGGGGTCTTTCGGATGAACCAAAAAGGAAACGAATCAAATATTTCAACACGGTTGCCGATGTAATTTGTAAAAGTAATTACTGACGATACTCGGAGCGGGACAGATTGCTTGGGAGGAAGGGAAACATCCCCTCTTGTGGGAAAGCCATGCGCCAGATCGCGAGCGATTACGCCGCCGCTCAAAGAACACAGATGTAATTTGTAAAAGTAATTAGTGACTCGGAGCGGGACAGGTTGCTTAGGGGAAAGGGAAACGTCCCCTCTTCTGGGAAAGCCGTGCGCCAGATCGCGAGCGATTACGCAGCCGCTCAAAGAACACCTTGCGATCTGTTTAAATTGGGGATTTTTGCTCTGTAATCAGCTGTAAAGTTGCGATTTAGACTTAAAAAATGTATTCTATTGTAAAACAGAATGGAAAACAGATTTTATTCTATTGTAAATAGATTAAAATCGACAAGATAGAAAGAGAAAATGAACAGATTTTAGAAAAACGATTCGAAAGGTTTTTCGAGGTCGGGAAAGCGATTGGCTGTGTCTATTTTGTCGGTTCTTCAACTATAGTTAAGTTACACAAAAAACTAGTAAAAGATTCAGGTTCTTTTTCATAACTTAAAGATGAGAATGTTTTCTACTTCAAAAGTTAACTTCAAAAGCTTCAAAAGCTAATTTCAAAAGCTTCAAGAGCTTCCAAAGCTTCAAAAGCTAACTTCAAGAGCTTCCAAAGCTTCCAAAGCTTCCAAAGCTTTAAAATCTAACTTCAAAAGCTTCAAAACCTAACTCCAAAAGATCCAATACTGGCCTCGAAATCCACATTTCATATCGTAATAAGCAGGTGTGTTTTAAAAAGAAAAAAAAGGGAAAAAGATCAAAATAGTAAAGTGGCTCTATTTTCACGCTTTCATTTTTCTTTTCCTTTCCTTTTCCTTTCCTTTTTCCTGGGCTTTGGCTCAAAAATCATCGCCTGGCCAGCAGTAGATCAGAAAGGAAAAAGGGAATGAAAGGATGGGACAGGGCAAGGGATTCATTGCTATGAATCGGGGTCGAATTTCGCGCCCACTCCATTTCAATTCTTGATTTTGTTTGGATTTCGGAATTTATATCATCAACTATTAGTTAAAAGTCTAGAAGTCTAGCCTAGCTTTAGTCTAGAAGGCTAGTCTAGTCCTGCTTGTTTCAAAGGGAATCTTCTGGGTGAAGCCTTGATCTTCTTCGTCTTCTCTGATCTTCATAAAGTCTCATTGTCAGGAGAGTTGGGGTAGGAGAGGCCTGGATCATGGGATAGCCAGATATGGATTGAACCATGAGATAGCCAGCTCTGGATTGAACCATGAGGTAGCCAGCTCTGGATTGAACCATGGGATAGCCAGGTATGGATTGAATCATGGGATGGTCAGCTCTGGATTAAACCATAGGATGGCCAGCTCTGGATTGAACCATCGGATAGCCAGCTCTGGATTGAACTATGGGATAGCCAGCTCTGGATTGAACCATGGGATAGCCAGGTCTGGCTTGAACCATGAGATAGCCAGCTCTGGATTGAACCATGGGATAGCCAGGCCTTGAACCATGACCAGCCAGGCCTTGAACCATGGCCAGCCAGGCCTTGAACCATGGCCAGCCAGGCCTTGAACCATGGCCAGCTCTGGCTTGAACTATGGCCAGGCTAGCCCCGGATCTGACTAGGGAAAGGTGAGCTCAAGAAGAGCTTTAAGAATTGAGCAAACTAGAAAGGGTTTGTTCAGACAGACATAACAGACGCCAGAGTTGAAGATGCAACACATTGAAATACTTCAAATTCTTGATTTATAATTAAAACACATAGAAGAACACATCAAGAATGAGCTGAAAAAGATCAGAAGTAAGAAAGCTGATCAAAATTCGTTGCTAATTGAATGAGTGAATGAGGAAATCGAATGAAAATGAAACACACCACAATCCTGATGTGAAAGAGGTAAAGAAAGGGGAATTGTGTGTGAGGTTGAGAGATGAGGAGAGGCTTTTCAGTTTCGATGTAAAGTCAAGATCCCTATTGATCAGAAAAGAGGAAAAAGAGGCACATCACCCATGTGTTCACTTTCTTTTCATTCTTTTCATCAACTTCTTTCTC